AAAGCAAGACAAAACCCAACAACCCTTAATGTTTTTGTAATAGTTGGATCATGGAATAGTATAATCTCATCTCACTTTACCAATACCAATTCTTACTCCCCAATTTACTCTCTCGCTTTACCAATCTCCATTGAAAAGTATGAGGGTTCTATTATCTCACTCAACAGTAATCTTTGACATCTGCAATATCTCGCCACTTTTTGAATAATTATATACCTAGTAGAATGATGTACCCATAATTTTATCAAAGATACTGTATTGGCAGCCAATTTATTATGAGAGATCCTCGCCCGCATGCAGACAAGCCAGAGCGAACGTCACTCGAAACCTATGGCAAAGGCTTTGAAGAGTACTTGCAGAGCCCTTTACAAGTAAGTAATAATTGAACTGTGCTATACATTCATATTGCAGCATAATCATATCAGCCACTGAAAGACAATCTGGACTCAGCTACTTATGAAGTATTTGAGAAGGATCCGGTCAAGTACATATCGTATGAGAACGTAAGTCTATATTAGAGCACGGTCCACAGGTAGGTGATAGTGTGTTATATTATTGCAGGCAATAGCAAAAGCACTGGTGGACAGAATACCTGAGGAATCCGTCAGTGACGTCACTTGGTACAGTATTACTACTTGTAAAGCCTTGGATATGTAAAGGCAGGCATCATTTTGTATCACACACAAACAAAGTTGCACCTTGAATGTCGGGCTAAATACATCGGGTGTGCCTTTGTAAGTATGAGTGCAGCTTGTTTTGTAATGAGTGCAGTAAAACGATACCCTACTTCAATAGTTTCTGTGGCGATAAATATACTCCAACTGGTGCACACATATTGGGTATCTGTTACACTCAGTGTAGTGATGGTGGTCGGAGCTGGTAGAGGACCCCTGGTCGAGGCCACTCTCAAGGCTGCCCAGACCTCTGGCAGGAATATCAGAGTGTATGCAGTGGAGAAGAATCCAGGAGCTGTCAACACGTGAGGAGATTTTTGGCGGCAGTGAGAGAGGGGGAAGAGAGAGAAGGAGAAGAGGAATGAATGAAGGAGAGGAACGCTGAGAAGGAGACACTTCCTTTCCTGTGAAAGGAAAAAAATTTTGGTTTTGGCTTCTAGACAGAAAGTTTTTGTTAGAAGTGCCTAAGAAGGAGAGGGAGGGAGAAAAGAAAACCAATCACTTTTGTGGTTACCTAATTTTGTATTATGCTTATTGTGTACGTATGTAGGCTACTGAATCGGCAAAGAGATGAGTGGGGAGAGAATGTTACAATCGTTTCCTCCGACATGAGACTATGGACAGCACCCGAAAAGGTTCTGCCTAGTCTACAATCAAATGGGTAGTGTATATAGCTGTCACGATGCTGTTCATAATGCAGGCAGACATCTTGGTCAGTGAACTGCTGGGGTCATTTGGTGACAATGAGCTCTCTCCAGAGTGTCTGGATGGTGCACAGTCTTTCCTCAAGGGTAAGCCTCAGATCTTCTAAACCCATTTCCAGGAAATGTGTTCAGGAAATACAAATTCAGTCCAAGTAGCAGTTAATTTTGTGGAATGTTCTCTAAACACACCAGAAATCTGACTTGCAAGTGGGAGTGTCATTAATTGTTTGGGGAGATTTTTGTAGCATCGTTTTATATACCTGCTCAACGCGACTCCCATGTTCCACACATTTGATCCAGCTCTGTGGGGCTCTATAACCATTGTTTGGCTCCATAAGTATAACCGTTTGTGCGTGCAGAAGCGCATGAGGGATGAGCGGGTGGCAGATGCACTTGTTGTCATCCTAAATGCAACTGCCTCACTGATATTCCATCAATATATTGTGTATGTAGCTACTTTTCTTCAGTAGGATGCTCCCACTTGCCAAATATGCACGACATTCATGTGCCTATATATGTACTACGATACTCTATGCACCAACTATGCACCTATAAACACCAATATGACATTATGGCAGGTGATGGAGTGAGCATTCCATGTTCCTATACTTCCCACCTCTCTCCTGTTTCTTCTGCCAAACTCCACTCTCTGGTCAGCTGTGCCATTGACAAAGAGAAGGTACGTATTATACCGACAGCATACATTCGTAGCTACTCATTTGCATTAGTGGCTATTGCAAAAGAGCAAGTCTAAGTTCATAACTGTGAGTACGTCACTCACCATATACAGTGGAACCTCTGTATAAAGAAAACACTGATACAATGTAAATTTGTACAGATTTATTCAGGGGTTAAAAGCACCAGATTATAACTGTACATGTAGAGAGGTGTCCTTTATGCTGAGTGTGTTTCATAAGAGGCTCTACTGTAAATGGTATGTACACTTGCTTGCTTCGTTTGCATATCATTCTCTCTTTCCTCCCATTCTCAAAGGCCTACCCTCTTCACCAGTTCGACATCCCATCAGTAGTGTACATGAGGAACATGTACGAGATAGCCCAGCCAAAAGTCTGCTTCACTTTCTTGCACCCTAACTGGAGTAAGTTTCATCCACAGAATGTATAATATTTTGGAGGCCTAGAAACCTTTACTAAATCACTCTGTGGATCATTATTGTGTGTGTGTGTAAAATACCATCTTGTTTTTGAACAAACATCCATCAATTTTTGTTGCTTGTGTGTGTAGGTGTACCAGTTGACAACAGAAGGTATATTTGTCTCCGGTTTACCGCCAAAGAGTCAATCACAATGCATGGATTTGCCGGCTACTTTGACACTAATCTTTACGACCACATCAAACTGAGTAAGACACTTTTGTTGCTGTAATGTTGTGTAATATGTACGCTGTGCAAATAGTAATGCACCGTGAGTTGCTGCTTGCATAAAACTACCATTAAGGTTTGATTTTACTGACTATTTGTGGACCTTATATCAAAAACTCTTTCTCAAGTTTTGACTCATGAATGAAGATTTGGGTATAGTTGTATGTACTCTGTTCATGTTTACAGGTATTGAACCGACTACCTATTCAGACGGCATGATCAGCTGGTTCCCCATTTTCTTCCCTCTAGTGGTACGATGTACGCAGCACATATCCTGTATAAGGAACCTTAGCAAAATTTCTAGGATAATTTACTTTTGAGCAGGCGAGTTATCTGGCAGACCAAAGCAAGAAGTTTTCCTCTTGAATGCATAATTACTTGCACTAGACGTTGTAGCCCTAGCAATTTTCGTGTGCGGGCATACGCGCGTGAACTCGCAGCGCAGAGAGGTGTGCTCTAATTGGAACTTTCTTCCAGACCCCAGTGTACGTGAAGCAGGGAGGGGAGATAGAGGTCCACATGTGGAGGGTGTGCAATAGCAAGAAGGTCTGGTACGAATGGTGTCTCACTAAACCCATCACAACCGCCATTCAGAATCCTAACGGACGATCGTACTGGATTGGACTGTAGAGACACAACACCGCCTCTGTAATAATATTATTATTATGAATGCTAGGGCTTCTTTGTATTATAACCTATTTATCCTCACTATATAATTTTTGATTATGAGTTTTATATATAATATTATAGCAATGAAATTTTATTCATCTCTACCGTGAGAAAGCATGCATGATTTAGTACTCAATTATAATGCCTGCATAAAATATTATATAGGCTTAATTGCCAAAGCCTCAAATGCAGAATTATCTAAACTACAGAGACATTATTGTGACTTTGGCATTCAAAGTGGGTTCTGCAGCTGTTCTTGCCGGTCAGTGTCTGCCTCCTGCTCTTGCAGCTGACACTCTCTGGCCCTCTTTCTCTTGTGGTCAGCCAGCCTCTCCTCCAGTGTGGCGGAAGTGGGTCGAGAGAGGAGCGGTTTGTAAGCTCCACCACCTTGTTTACACAGAGGTGAGACTTGGGAGGTGGGAGGAGGGGAGGGGAGGAGGGAGAGCTCCAGAGAGTCCAGCATCCTTCGCAGCATTGTGCTCCTGCACACAGACTAACAATCAAAATTCTGCACACACTTGGTTCACAATAATCATTAGCAAGAGATTGTTTTCTGTGAATGAGGGGAGTACAATGGGAGTCTAGACACTTAGTGGGATAGTGTATATAGGCAAATACAGTGGAACTTTTGGTGCACATGCACATATTGGTAACGTAAAATCTTACTTGACCGTCATCTCAGTCCACATCTGCTGAAAGTGAGAGACAGTTTTGACGTAGTTCCGTTCGCATCTTCTCCACTCCACTCCCTCGTAGACCGAGTCATACAGCACTAGAGGCAGTTCTACAGACACAAAACTGTACTATCATCTATTTAAAGTTGTGTAAGGTACTTGAGTTCAGGAGTGATTGCTTTCACCAACTCTGCACAAATTAATGTGAGTCCATTCACAATAGTTACAATCCAGGCTAAATGAAAGCCTAAACATCTATGAGGAGCTCAAAACAGAAGGGATGCACTGACAAGCAAACCAAGTCCACAGACAAACACTCTGCCCCTCGGCCACACAAGCACACGCACAGTAGTATTCTTTGGGGGCACAAGATAGTTTGTGAAAGCATGATCTTCATGAACTGCCATGGCGTGTTTACACGTGCAATGAGCCTTGACTGTTGGAATAAACGTACATTGTGTTTTGACATAAAGTTATTAGGTTTGCAGAGGCTTAAATTATGATATACATTCACACACGCTACACATTACTCTACGAATGTTCTGAAGATCTTATACGCTACTGTGCACATGCTCGCAGTGGCCACATGTTCTTACCCGATGCCATCCCATACTGAGGTTTGGAAGGACACTTCTCAATGTCCAGCATGTGATCAATGATTTCCGGCTTTTCCAAACCATGTCCAATGAGAAATAGTATGGCCACCATACATCGAACCTACAAGACCGTTCCAAAATATTCTTATGCTTGAGGAAGTATGCTCTTGCAGTGGAAGCTAGAACACAACAGTGCATAAAGGGTTTCTACAGGAATACTATGAGATTACAGCACATGCACACCACAAATTGGTTTGTACAGCAAAACCTATAGTACATCCCATCACCAAAGTAAACAGTAGCATTGCACATCAGTGAAAGTTAGGTTGGCATTAATTGGATTAGGAAGACCCTCGGCTACATAGTACATTGTACAGCAGCTAGCTATATACAACAAGATTACCTGATGCCACAGGAAAGCCAGGCCGACTATAGTAATCTCACACTGTTGATACGGTGAATCGCTGTGAAGTGGAAGATGCTACGTAAACCAATGCATAGCTACCAGCAATTGCTTGTATATAATTATACAGATTCACTCAAACCAAAAACAATGGTACACGTCACAAGGACTGCGTCTCAACCAGCAAGGTAAACCAACACACACAATCAATTATTGTTTGTGCACATAATTACACAGATTAAACAATGATTAGGATGCATCCCACTGTGAGTAGAAGCAGCAAGATAATAAACAACTTCTTTAATTTTTTGTATTTTTTTAATTTTTTCCCGAGATAGAGCATAGATAAGGAGACATACAGAAAGAAAAGAAACAGTAAGCAAACAAAAACAAGCAAAAAAACAACCAACATTCTTGTGTATAATATTTATAGCTAAACCACAAGGATGCATCTCACTGTTGAAGTAGGACAAGGTACGTATAATTATGTATACGAATGCATTACAGCAATTGTTTACACCAATTATAAAATAGCAGGGATGCCTCTTACCCATCACTCAATTCATTTACGTCAATGCTAAGTATTCTCCGGCGAAAGTTAGTGACACCTCCGCTTATATCCATCTGTGTTTCACACATATACAATAAAAAATTCAAAAGCTATTTTTTCTCAATGTTTTCTCAACATTGCATGTTGCCACACATAGGTGGTTACTGTGGCTATACGAATTGGTGAGTCACACAATTTTACAAAAGTAGTGGCTGACTCACATTATTGCACATGTTAGTTGTCAATTTTTCGACCAAATATTTGACTACTAAACTTGTCTACTAAACTACAATACAGTAACGTATACATAATGGAACTGTGATGATAGAAAGTTTCTTACTCGACAAAAATTGCGAAAGTCATGTTCTCCTACCAGCTTCTGTGCAGCTTCTCTCATCTCCTATAAGTAAATCGTGCCAAGGCAGCTACTGTCACCAAAATGTTGTTGGCAAACTTACGTTAAGCTACGTTAAACTCTATGCTAATAGCTACTTACACTGATGTCAAGGTTTCCCTTTGGAAAAAAGTACTTGTACGTTCGGTGGAGGCAGTTGAATCTGGCATTGAAGTCAGGCCCCACGGGAGCCCACGACAAAACTCTAATATCCTCAGGAAGTGTGCTATTCAGCATCGCCATGTATGGCAACTCTACTGTCTTATCACCTGTACAGGGATAATATTGTCTTCCGTGATTGGAAAAATAATGTATAATTTCTGAAAGGTATATACTTTATAAAGCAATAATAATTGCTGCTTTCTACTATTTACTATTGCAATGGCAGGTGATGTTAGAGACAACTATGTCCTAGTCGTGTTTACTTTACCCTTTCTCTCATGTGCAGTGCAGTCTTCTGTAATTTCAACTCCCTCTGCTTCCAGCAGATTACTACGAACAGTCAGTGACACAACCTTTAGTAATTAAAACATCACGATAGTAGGAAGTTGCCAGGAGATCTTTACCTGTCCAAGTGCACTAACACCCTTGTCGGTACGTCCGCATCTTGAATAGTTGCAGTTCAAAGCATCTTCCACTAATTTCACCTTCTCCAGTGCTTCAAACAAGTGAGCCTGCTCAAAGTTAAAGTAGCTGCTATTTTCTATGACTATGTGTTTTAGCTACATACCTCAATGGTATTGTGAGGTGTTTTCTGAATTGCAAATCCATGATAGCTCCAGCCTAGATATGCAATTCGCAAAGCAACATGTCTTTTTGCATACCTAAAACGTGATAAGATTATCATTGAGTTAAATGACTGTATCCTAGCAAAGTCGAGCTGACTTTCTGAATTCAAAATTGCCGGTCGTTCGCGGCTTTTTGGGGCGGGGTTGCGCTGCGTCGGATTTGGTATTGGACCGCTCAAATTGTCCCGGCTCCGTCCCAGACATGACGCTAAAACTGCACCTCTGGTCTATGGTTACTGTAGACGACTGTAAACGCACAGACAGGTTAAGAAACAAAAGTTTCTTCTTTATCATTGATCACGACTTCTTTTGCGATGTAGGCCAGGTCAGGAACGTGTGCGTCCGCGCGACGAAGCGTATCACGTGCTGATCTACGCGCGCATGCGCCCGCGTCCTCGTGTTTGACACCATCGGAGAAAAACTATGACCGTGCGCATATAAACTCGCGTGCAAAGAAACCTTTCCGCACTGTCTTATAAAGCCCGTTTCTGCATTGATTTTTACGTAGTGTCCACAAGATGGAGATTGTCTTCAGATATCTGGCCGTCGTATATCTTGTACTGCAACTTCCACTGGAAGTGAAGACGGCGCCACTACGAGGGTGCGATGGATGCGACACCGGAAGATGCGAAAATGTGACGCTGGTGCAAGAGTCTTGTCCCGAAGCCCAACTGGTTTTGGACACGTGCGGATGCTGCACAATATGCGGCAGTAGATTCGGCGAACCATGCGGAGGAGCATACGGATACCTCGGCACGTGCGAGTACGACCTAAAGTGTACCGTCCACCCCTCCGAATATCTGAATGGAGTCAATATCAGTGGAATTTGCACGAGTGAGTTTTTCATCGATGTTGTGTCTTCTATCTCATTGGCCCACCTGTAATCCAGGGTTGTAATAAATTGTAAAACTATGCACAAGAATATCCTCATTGGGTGTTTCTATGTAGCTACATGCTAAAGGAAACCAGTAAAGTGCAGGCCAGATATAATGCACTGCTATAGTAGCTATAGACCTGTAGATAATGCATCTAAAGGGCTTCCCTTGACATTCCTGTGGAGATGGAGCAGGTTCTGTTGAAGAACAGATAAGTCTAAGCCCATTGTTCAGAATGAGCCCTAGCCCTAGGGCGGGTGGTTTGGTGCCTCAGTATCAAAGCTATGTAATTATAATCACCTATCCATATGCACCTCTTATATCATTTATCAAAAGAGTGTTTGAACTTAATTTGATGTCTCTTGTGCACTTTACAACACCAATATTTCAGGAGCTGTCTGCAGAAAGAACTGCACGAAGAGAGCCAGAGATCGTGTGTGTGGAAATGATGGAATGTGGTACAGGAACATTTGTGCACTAAGGCAGAGCAAATTTTGCAAAGGAACCAAAGTTAGCGAAGCAGATTCTGAAGTCTGCGGCAGAGGTTTGTGATATTGCTAGAGTGTGTAGTCTTTTAGTGCTGCATGTCTTTCGTTCTTGTGATTTTTCAGGATACTTATCATTGTATAACACATGTATGATAAGGTGATTTTGCTTTGGTAACTGAAATTGTTATTCCTTCCCATTCCCATACGTTTCAACTTCCAGGTACATGCTTGTGATATGAATTTTCCATTATACTTGCAGCTCTGCAGTGTAAACAGTGCATACGCTTGTGGCTAGACTCGAGCCTACTACAAGGGTAGCCAATACTACTCTACTTTGCCGCAATCACTGCATGGCAACTTGCTCTAGCACCCCCAGAAATGAAGCCTTGCCACCTCAAACTTCCCGCATACTCTATCTCCATGCACTGTACAAATGAACTGTGTCACACACTACTGATAGTATTGGTGGAGACTCAGTGACCACAGACAGAAAGGTACAAAGAACTACAGTCTGAGATCATAAGAGGAGCTAATTCTGCATGCACTGTGGCTAGCTGTGTCAAAAGTGAAGAGTTGATAACAAGCCGACACATGCAGTCAAATGTCCTGTCTTCTGTTGAGTGCCTTATTCCACTATAGCTAGCTGGCATGAGATTGTGACACTGGTGAGCAAACAGGTAGGCTCCTTTAGTACAGGGTTTAGAGTGCACCATATTGACTTCAAAAGCTAAGCAACCCTTAGAGATTTTACAGCCACAAAATTACTATAGTTCAATCAGGACAACAGAATGATTAGCTCATTCTTGCAAGACTCCAGTCATCATGCATGTCGCAGCAAATATTGTGTGAATCGGCATCTAGTGAACGACTTCAAAAGGCTTAACAACCTTTGTGGTGTTACCATAGAGATAGTGTTGCTCACAGCAGTGATGAGATATCCGTGTCGTATCCTTACAAGCATTTAAATGGTCTCTATTTGGTGACGGCTGCTCTCTCACAAGAGATAGCTAGTGTCTCGTGAAAGAAATCTGTGTTGTACTAGTGCACATGTGTAGCAATGCTGCAGCTATTTGCAATCAGTTTGCGAAAGTCAAAAGGATAGTTTGTTAGCCACAACTGCCCACCGTTAAATTTCTAAACATTTTCCCTTTCAGTGAGTAGGAAGTGATCGACACATAAAACCACAAGGACTACATACCTTGCTTGTACCAAGTTGATGTCAGTGTGAGACTGTTTTTAAGGATCAGCCTAATTCTGTGTTGACTGCCTGTTCCCATGGTTAAAGACGTCTTATCACTGGGTACTGAGGAAGTCCCACCGAGCCTGTTTGACTAGTGACTCCTGTTTGAACAGTAAACGAAGTAGAGTAAGCAGATGTCTTCTGGTCTGTGTACTCCCATCGTAATACGTACATTGCAGAATCTTTTCCACACAGTCGGGCTGTGTCTATTGTTCTTTAAGCAGTTTTGTGTTTCTTTTCTCAAAAAATGTGCTCCTTGTACATAGCTTTTTCCATACAGTATGAATACCATTTTTGTTGATGAGCACTAGATAGTTCTTTGTTTCTTATATCGAAGTGATGCGTAACTATCCACCTAATCCCACTTTTATGTTTTGAGCTATGCAGAAGAAGCTGTTTTTCACACTAACCACTACTCCATTCATTATCGCCAATTACAAAAACATATGGAGTGTATGGATACCTCAGTACACACAACCCGTTCAACAGCCGCTATAAGCAGAGTTGGTTTTATGTATATTATCCTCCCGTTGTACCACACTGCACTCACACAAACAATTCTACAGCATGCCATGAGCTGACAGTTCCTGAACATGGCAACATCACATTCAGCAAAGGCATCGCAGTAACGTCAGTTGCCAACATCACCTGCCAACCTCCATATATACTGCTGAGCGGATCTGAGCTACGGACGTGTGTTCAGGGACGAACAAGGGGGACTTGGAATGGGACGCAGCCTACATGTGTAAAACGTAAGTTGCGTCACAAATTTGGCTTCTTCCGAATGAAAACATCGTGTGCTACTAAATTTGGGCAAATCAAACACTTGGCCACTGCACGTAGTCTTCCATGTCCTTCTGACAAATCCATAATTCCATTAGAGAGAGGAAAGGAATGCGATCATTTCCAAAGTTATGACTGTGAACAACAGCCAGGGTGAAGCACTGTACACTTTGCCATGTTTACTAGAGGATAGGGGAAGTTCCACTAATTACAGATAGGAAGTAAACTACTATTGACCTGCTGTATATGGCTGCAGGTTCTCATGGTAGAGTTCCTGAAAGGTTATGATCTCGCCTTTGTTTTCATCTACTTTTTCTTCCCAAAACCCTACTATACCACACAGATCCCTGTGAACTACACCAGTGTGAAACACATGAACGGTGTGTTTTGAACGAACGCAACAACACGGAGTGTGTCTGTGGGGACGAGTGTCCACGTCCACAAGGGGACGAATGGGTCTGTGGGACTGATGGGAAATCATATCCAAGCCGGTGCCACGTGAAACTCAGGGCCTGCCAAAACTCAACACCATTTTTACAACCCTCCTACGCAGGGAAATGCAATCCAGGTAATTAATTAAACATCGGTAGTTGCTTCTGAATGCTACTTTCTTGCTTAATATTGCAGTTGATAATAGTTTTAATCCCATTGTTGTTTTTGTCAGCGGCCAGTACTTTTAAGGTTGCAGCTGGAAAAAAATCAGATAGTCTTCCACTGTGTATGTAGGCCACCCTCAGTCGTAACCTGCAGAAGCCATTCACTATGGCAGCCACTCAAAATGGCGATCCAGTTCCCTAATTACAGAGTTCTCCCTTCAATATCTATTGTGGGTTAAGTTACTCCTGTGTGAACACGTAGTATTGAAGGCAGACATATTGGAATAGCTTCACGCTCCCCATGAAAGGGTACTCACTAAGTCTCTAAAGGTGTCCGGTTTCATGTCCACCTCAATTCCCAAAACACTACAGTTGATGGTAAAATGGATCATTTGGAGATTTCTTTGTGATCTCAAACTTCCTTCCCCACAAGGGGACATTTTGGAACTACAATTGGCTTCCCACTTTAATATTACACCTAGCTACATTCATAGCTGCATTATTCTGTTTCAAAGGTACCAGAATATATCTTTGAATCTTTGAATGCAGTGTGTTCTGAGAATTATTAGGTCACTGGCTTCACTACACATGTGGCGCCCAAGTGTTGATGGGAATATCAACATGAGTGGTGCTCTAAAAGCTGTGCCTCCATGTGCTCCTCCCTAGAGGAAACCACTGATAAGGCCTGCAGCATCGCAGCAACCACACATATGTGGGCAACAATGCAGAGTCCTTTCCATTGTCGATGATACATATCAGCTATGGCACATGTGTGTCTATACCCTCTATACTTCCAGCTGTATGTATAATAGTGGAGTGAGTTTGGTTCGCAGGTTCACAGGTTGAACCCTACACTGCAAACTTCTCAACTTCATTTTTCATTATCCGTGCTAACCTTAGACTGGTATTGGACAGTTTGCGGTAACAGGTGAATGCAAGCATGCTCGTGATACATGTGTAGCTGAAAGACTGAGCGCAAAGGGTGGTGGCAGGTTTGCTTGTAAACTAAAAAGACCTGGAGTAAATGCTGAGAATGTGGACTAACTTGCTACATGTGGTATAATAATTACCAAGGACCATCTGTCAGTGTACAGTGTCTTCCTTGTGGTTAGCCTGGCAGCACAATGGCTGGTCGGCCTGGCTTTGATGTGCCCTATCTGCCTTAGGGCCTATGGCTTCACTGCGTTCTGTGACTGCGCTGGCTACCAGTATATACCTCACGCTGTACAGCAGGACATTTTCCGGGAGAAATCTTTGTCGATTTGGTAGCAAAGAAGAAAAGAGGATTTCTGATACTTTTAGAATGGGCATTCTTAATCTCACGAAGTTCGTGAATGTTTCTTTCTAGATTGTTTACCTCTATTATGAAAGATTAATTATATTATTTGGAGGTATTATTAGGCATTTGTTATTCTTTCTATACAGACGAGTTTCCCCGTAAAAGAAAGCGGTGAAGTATCACACCAAACTGATGATGTTTGTGTTATTACATTTGTGTGCATATCCATTTTTTCGCTTTTTAAAATTTTTGTCATTCTTTGTTCACTATGCATCTTTTGTAATTATGTGCGTTTCATTCCCTTTGTTCAACTATATTTCCTCTCTATTTTTGTAATTTTTTGTTTCTCCTCATTATCATACCAGCATCAATCAAAAACCCCAATCTAGATTTTCATGGACGTTTTGGCATTCCCTCCTCAAACTCTTAATCTTTTAATTTATGCAGTATCACAAACCTTGACCATTCTCCCTTCAAAAGTATTTCTGAGTTTGTAACCACATGAAATTGTTTGAATCAGAAAAATCTGACAAATATATAACAGGGTGAAGAGCTGTATCAGGGACAGTGTTTAAACATGTACATATTGGTAATCTCATGTTTCTAAAACTCGCAAGAACTCCATTTTTGCTGCCTATAGATCTCCACAGTGCAGTGGTGTATATATATAATGCATCATATTTTCCAAGGAAGAAAGAAGTGGTAATGGGTTTGAACCCCATTGGTTGAACTATATTCTTTCCTCTCCTACTGAATTTATTCCTGTGGAGAATTATGCCTATTCAGAATCCGTGTATGCAAGCATGAATACATGTCATGTAACGACATGGAAACATGTACGTATTTAAACCTCCAGCCAATTTAGTTGTTTTGAATATATGCCATTCAGAACATAGAAAATCCCTAAAACCAAAAGAAATTGTTTTGTACACTCCAGAAACTCAAAACATTCCTATTTACGACAAGTCCCTGTAAAAAACACTCGAAGGAGAATCATGAAAATTTCAGCCATTTGACTGCAAGATGAATTTAGAAACCTATAAACCTTTTTTGAATGAAACAAGACAGTGCGCCATCCAAGAGCAAGAGGGGTGGATTGGCGTTGGCTCTTCCAGTGGGTGCACTATTCAGCTGTATAGTGTTGTTTGTCATTCAGAGAATAGGAAAGTCCTTGAAACTGAAACAGCAGTTATGTATACTCTAGAAAAGCTTTTAAAAGCATCAGTAGGTAATAGGTCATAAACACTTGACCAAAACAAGTGCCTTTTCCATGAGCGACAGGGATCGATGGTTGTCTCTCTTTCCTTTGGGGTGTTGTTTCTTGCAGTGGTCGTCTTTGAACCGGTGTGCTCCTACGAGTATGTCATATCTGTTGATTTTTCACTAGGGCATGACAATTCAAGTTGCCTGCCACCAAGTAGTGAGACACCTTGCCAGACGCTGGAGTATGTGGAAAATCATTTGAATTCTGTCTCAAACAACTCAGTGTTGATTGAAATATGCCAGCCACAAATAATTCTGAGCAAGGCTATAAATTTTTCTGATTTTGTTGACCTCTCTATTCAGGGAGAAAGTGGTTCTGGTCGCGTTGAGATAGTTTGCAATATGTCCAATGCTGGACTCTCCTTTGTCAATGTATACGGCTTATCGCTGAGCCATATCAACATCTCTGAATGTGGAGTCATCAGACATTTTAAGCTAATGGAACTTTCCACAATTGAATTTTCTGCCTTGTACATTATTAATTGCTGTGATGTCAACATCACAGACACCGTTGTATACAGGTCTAAAGGTACTGGTATCACAATGGTTGACACATACGGGGCAGTAAGCATTAAAAGCACAGAAGCAATAGAGAATTCTTTTCACTTGGGTACTAATTGCTCTATATCAGTATGTGAAGGTGGCAGAGGCTTAAATTTACAATTTTATCTAAACACCACCTCTGACCCCTCATCCAGCCTTCTCCACATGCAAAAGCAGTGCAGCAATGCTAACATCACCATTGAACATTTTACATGCATGAGTAACAACGCTAGTACAACGGAGAAGAATACTGATGCATGTTATACTGGAATAGGTGGTGGAACTTTGATTCTCCTTGGAGACAATGCTACTAATGTCACCATCACTATTAATGACTCAGTGTTTCAAGACAATATGGCATATTGTGGGGGAGGCTTGTATTTAGTTTACAACAGCTACAACAAAAACAACCATGTATCATTCACCAATACAAAATTTTTCAACAATAGAGTTGTAAGAGGGAAATTTGCAGGTGGACTGCAGGTGATCTTCTCTTCAAGTTCACTAAATGGCAATTTAATGCCCAACACACTCAGATTATTCTCGTCTACATTTGAAAACAACACTGAAGGAGGTGTCAATATCTGGTCTGATCACATGGCAACACAAGGTGATAACAAAGTAATATTTTTCACCAACTGCTCCTGGACTAATAACAGTGCTACAGAACATGGAGCAGCAGTCCATATAATGGCAGGGGTATCGGTTTCTGGAACTAGAGGTCACTATCCTGCAGTTGTGTTCAAAAACTGCAACTTTTCTTCAAACAAGGTCAAGCCAATAGAAGTACCAGAGAGTAATATGCTTACACAGACTAACGCAGTTGGTGCCTTTTATTCCAATGTTCTTACCGTTGTGTTTGAAGGCAGGACAGTATTTGAACGCAACAGTGGAACAGCTCTCTACCTCAGCTGTAGTATTGCATCATTCAGTGCAGCATCCAGTGTCACATTTGTTGCCAATTATGGAACAAATGGTGGAGCAATCGCACTAATAGGACGATCGTACCTCTACTTGGAAGGATCCAGCACCTTTTCTTTCATCAATAATACTGCAACCCATTTCGGAGGGGCCATCTACTTCCAAAGTATAGACACTGTTGTCTACCAGCCATGCTTCATAATTAGTAGTAAGTGCAATGAAACATCTAACTTTCATTTTGATGGGAATATTGCTAATAGTGGCCAAGGACAACATATCTTTTTATCATCCTTGGATGGGTGTAGTATATCTTACTGTAACAAGCATTGCCCTGGAAGTAAGCCAACTGATCTTCTACAGTGCCTAGGTAATTTCACTTTCGAAAAGCCCTCTAACATAACTACTGGCACACTTCCAACAAACTTTATTCTTAACACTAGTCTTATCACCCTGTATCCTGGACTGCCTCAACAGTTGAATATAACTGTATCAGACGCAGAAGGAAATGTGGTACCAAATGTATCTTACCAGGCTACTTTGCCAAATATTACTTCAGCCATTAGTATCAATACTCATTATGAGTACGTCTCTAATAACACCGTAAGTATTAATGGGGAACCTGGTAAAAATGATACGCTTCAATTGAATGCCTTGCTAACAGATATCTCATTGTTCGTTAATGTTTCCCTATTGCAATGCCCACCTGGTTATGTGTTTGACAGTACTACAATGACCTGTAACTGCAGGGCCTTGGACTACTATGGGCTACTAAAATGTGATCCAGAAGCATACATACGTCGTGGAGTTTGGATGGGCAAATGTAATAATAGCCAATTTCTCTGCACAGCTGACTGCCCAATAGGATTTTGCACCTATAACACTTCTAATCCAACGCTCTATCACCTACTGCCTATGAAGGTCGATCACCTAGAGCCAGCTATTTGTTCCTCAAGTAGGAAGGGCACCATCTGCGGAAGCTGCAAAGAAGGCTACTCTGTGTACTACAACGCACGGAACTTCAATTGCCATGTAAACAAGCAGTGCCATTTAGGTCCATTATACTTTGTCTTGTCGACAGTCATCCCTTTGACTTTTGTGTTTACCGTCATAATACTCCTGGACACAAATTTTGCTAATGGCTGGAATGGATTTCTGCTGTTTGCACAAGTTGTATATGCCCTTAATTTATATGGGGATGGAACCATTGAATACACTTGGCGACAATTAAATGTTTTAGATGGCATTATGTACACCATTGCTTTTTTAAATCTAGACTTTTTCAATTCAGACCATACAGCCTTCTGTCTATGGAAAGGTGCCAATTTTATGGACATACAGATGGTTAAGCTTGGATCCATTGTGTTTGCTCTGACACTAGTCTTTCTGTGTGTTTGTCTCTTCAATCAGCGCAAGATTGTAAGACTCTTCCCCTGTCTGTTGAGACGCCGTTACACAGTCATAAATGGAATTTCTGCCTTTTTCATCCTCTGCTATAGCCAGTGTGTGGATACATGTTCCAAAGTACTGGCTGCTACTTGCCTGATAGATTCTAACAGTAACTGTGTGCGGAATGTTGCCATATACAGTGGGGATATGGAGGCTTTCAGAAATACTCATCTCAAATACGCAATTGTTGCTCTGTTTTTTCTTGTTTTTATAGTTATTGTTCCACCGGTTTTGCTCCTGCTCTATCCGCTTTTTTTCAAACTGCTTGGACTTTGCCAACTCAGTGAGTCAAGAATTGCCATTTTTCTGTGGAGATTTATGCCCATTCAAATTCTGGACTCCTTTCAGAATCCATTCAAAGATGAATATCGCTTTTTTGCTGGATTGTATCTACTATACCGTGCCCTTGTAATGGTAATGAATACTACCCCACCAACCATTTTGGGACGCTATGCAACTGTGCAGTTAGTTCTCGCAATTATTACTGTTCTGCATGCAGTGTTTCAGCCTTACAAGGAAAGAGTGCACAATATTGTTGACCTGCTGCTGTTTTTTAATCTGTCTTTTCTTAATGGAATAGCATATTACACCTATACCATCTATGAAGAAGGTCTTGTACGTGAAAAGAACACGACTATTATGTTTTGGACCACACTTGAGCTAATACTGCTGCTTGTTCCCCTTGTTTGTGTGGTGGCTTATCTAGCCAAGAAATTGCTGGTGGTGCTAAACGTTTGGAAGACCATAAGGAAAGGATACCGTGCCATACAAAGTTTTGCATAATTTAATGTTAGCTACCGATAATTGACTTAATACCAAGTGTATACTGCCATTTTGTAATTCCACTGTCAGTTTCGTTTTGAATTGCCAAATTTTATCCGAGCCTGTCACACACTGGAAAATGCACATTTATACACAACAATTATATGACGTGGTTCAATGCTCATATAGGTAGCTTATTATATTATACATACTGACCTACAGCTATTGCTGTAGTACAGTCCCAGACACATCCTAAGTCTGGTGTCATTGTCCAACTTGGGAAGGGGGGCCAAGGGAACAGACAGATAGATGGAGGTTTATCCATGCATCTCAGATGATGTCACAGTTCAGTATAATTATATCAGAATGATGGAGATTAGCTACAATGTTCCTCCATGTAGAGAAAATTGAGTGGTTTTCTTCCTTAGCCAGCCAGAATATTATTATATAGGCTCTCAGAGCTGTCAACAGATTATTTCCTCAACACAAGAAAGCCTTCACAAGAAAGCTGCTGCTGCTCAGAGCCATCCGAATTTCCACAACTTGAGTTGAAGTGTTTGATTCACTGGGGTTGTACTATATAGGCACCTAGCACTCTCAGTTACTGAGAGTTGTACTTAGCTACAGCTAGCAACTGGGCTGATCCTCTCTATTATATTTAGAGCTTGAACTGTTTCAAACGGACCACTGAAACACTTCATCTCAACTTGAACAGCTGTCTGCACTGCCCACATTGTCAAAACAACTGTCAAAAACAATAATTGTCCAAAAACCACCACCTATTGTCAGTGACACTATGGTTCTGCCCACAGATACGCAAGTACAAGGGGATACTCGAGCCTAAGTATAGTGTCATGACCAGTCTTTGCCTCTTTGCCTCCTCTGGTCCTAAACTTATTGCGTCTCAATAATATGTGGTTGCAGTCGATTGATTACATATGCATTTGGAAGATAGGCTACAAGTCATTACCCTCGGCGCGCATGCGCAGCGAGGGTATGTGTCTGTCTCACGGTGCGCCTTTTTTACAATGATGTAATAGGAGTGTTGGCTGTTGGTATAACTGGAACGTTTTTTCATCACCTCTCAAGGCCAGCCCGAGTGGCAGGTGGTTAGAGTCGTGGGGACTGACACCATAGGTGCCCGGGTTCGAATCCTCGATCCGCACTAAAGTGTCAGGTGGTCCAGAGCATTGGCTGGGAACAGCTCTGGTTCCTCCCCTTACCCACAAATCTACACCACTGACCCACGTTTCTCAAAGGGCAGCGTATAGTTCGGCATTGCACTGCGTCCGTAGACGTCTATCTGGAGAGATGAAGGGCTGGCCGTTTTTGTTTTTTTTTGGTTTTGTTTTTTTGCACTAAACAATCCACAGGTAATACGAAAATTAATAGAGAGATGAAAGGTTGGCAATTTTTCAACCTTATATATTTTTTATGGCCTCAAACAGAAATGGGGCTGGCCATTTTTTCATGGAAATAGTGCATAACATGCTGTTCTTTTTGATGCATGGTCAAGACCATCAATTGTGGTGGTGCCACACTTGTGTATGGGTTCCACAGTGTGCCGAGGGTTTGCACTTTAGTGCTTTTCATTATATCAGCATATATACTATATATAGCTACTATTTTACTCCTCATACTAGTGTACTGTTGTATAATAAGCTGCTTTGTGTGTATAGAGCTACCCCTAAATGTCAACTGCTAAAGTTTTGTTCTATGTCAGTGTGTTCAGTTGAAAATGGATGGTTATGTTTTTCTTGAGGCTCCAAACATCTTGAAACGTCCCTTCTTTCTTCTCTTGTCATCTCCAGCAGCCTCGTGAGGCTGGTGGGAAGAGACGGCAGGGGATGGATGTTCTGTGGATCCATTCCCAGCCTATAGAAATGAATGGCGTGGGGATACACTTATAGAGAATTGTGGAAAGAAGGAGCTAAGTATATATAGCAAGTCATACTAACCTGCATGTCAGCTACATCAGATGGAATAGCGGACGGTGGGCTTAGCAGCTATACAAGAAGGACAATACACACTTTATAAAAGCACTGCTATGCCTTATTCCATGCGTACCTTCTCATCATCCAGTGGAGGAGGGAGAGAGGAGGGAGGGGGAGGGAGAGAGTCTGGGGGTGTGTCAATCCCAGATGAGGCTCCAGGCCCACTTACAGATATCAGAGGGTTCAACGGGGATGGGGCTGCAGCTAAAATAGGGTAAATACCTCCTACCGCCTAAGTTTGTTAGCTCACAAAAGTGCCCTGGCTGAGAGAGCGGGTTGACGGTTGTTTGGTTCTGTATGGCCTTGTTAATGGCATCCACCCAGGCCAGCAAGTCTGCCTCGTCACGAGCTATCAGAAGATACTCTGCTCCACTTGGAAGCCTAACACAAAAAAATGAAATAAAAAAACCAGGCCTTCTCCCTACAAATGCGCCACATTGCATAAATATGTGCGGTATAGTGAAGGCTTGGGAGTAAAGCCTGCATACACATGACACAAAGCTTCATCATGCATAAAGAAGTACACTCTGCTCCATTCTAATCTGTTATGGCAACATACTTCAGCCGAAGTGCATTCTTCTTCTTTTGGTAGTCCTTTGCTATCTCACACACTCCATGACTGACGTTGATAGCTGGAGCAGCAGCTGCATTCTGTGTGTAAACACACGCACATGGCTTAGATTTTCCAAGATATCTAGAACACATAATACACAAGGTGGAAGAATTGTCAGTTGCACCTGTTGAAAATCTCTCTTTTCTCTGTAAAAGTGTAGCAAAGGTCCAGTCAACACAGTGTAGTACTGTCTCCATGACCTCATCACAGCCTGTGCAACAATATTATTGTCAAAACAGTGTGTATTAGGAGTAATGGCCTATCACAACTGGTGAAACCCATTGGTTAGAGGGGTACAAGTCCTTCCTAAAGGCTTACCTTTCTCCCTCCCTCATCCAGTTCATTCTTTCTTTGTAGCACGCCATCCATATCTGGTTCAGGCTGCATGACATAATGGGATCAACACTCTAAAAGGTTGATGGTTTTGTAGCTTACCATTGAAAGTTGGTACTCGTGTTTCTCTTCCTCTGCCTAATTGTAGAATGAGAGTAGATAGTATGTAGCTAGTATGAATGAGAGTAGATAGTATATGCAATATACCACATACGTACTCTAAGTCTCTCTTCTAGCTCTCTTGCAAGCTGTTGCTCTTTTTCCATCCTTTCTCTTTCCTACAAAATGACATCCACATAGTGAAGGGAGCCCAGAATATGATACGTAAATCTACCAGAAACATGACTACAATCAACATACCTCTCTTTCCCTCCTCTTCTGCTCTTCTGCAGCCCTTTTCTCTGACTCACGTTTCCGTTGAGCCTATGTACATAGATAGAAGAGCTTATTCTTAAGACCTATATGCACACCCCCTTGGAAAGCAAAGCAGAGTAACTCCACCCTTCTTTGCCCTATATACACAGTGTGTAAAGTGGATCTCACCCTCATTGGTTGCCACTAAGTACTAATCTAGGATGACTTGGGATATTATATCGTACCTATCAAGGCGTAACAACAGAGGATTTTCTCTCACCTCTTGTTCCCTCTGTCTCTGTCTCTCTAGTTCCCTTCTCTGGTCCTCTTCCTTGCTTCTCCGTTCCTCCCCTCTCCTCCTCTGCTCTTCCCTTTGCCTCTCCTCTTCCTCCTTCCTCTTGCGCTCTTCTTCCTCTCTCTTCCTCCGTTGAGTCTCCTCCACTTTGGTCTCTCGGCTAAGAGAAGAGAACTTCTCCTCTTGAGCAGCGAGCATCTTCTCAAAGTCTTCTTGTAGTCTGAGCAGCTCCTCGACCGTGTCCACTGAGTCCTGGCAGTGATATATATATGGCAGAATAAGGCTAGGTTCACAATATGATCCCCCATTGCGCAGTCCCGTGTCGCGTCCTTCCGTAATGGATCCTATCCTTGCAGTGTGGCAACGCAGTACGGCGTGACAGGAGCAATGCTACATATTGTGAACCTAGCCTAAGGAATGAAACAAATGTAACAGGGTGGAGTTCAGGTGGATGCAGGGCCTTAGTTAGGAAAGATGTGCACTGCATCATGATTTCCCATGAACATTGTATGTGGTGTTCAGCGCATGTGCCCTGTGACAGACAGCCACGTACCGCTCCTAGCTAGTTGCCATTTTGGGTGCTTCAGCAATGGATGTGTTTTTCAACAGACATAAGAATCTTATGGGGCACCTAAGTACCTAGGCTTTATGGGTTGCCTACTTAAGTCTACTCGTGCAGCGTGCTTGGGAAGGAACACAAGATAAAGACACAGCAAGCATACAGGACATGAGATACAACTGAGAAACAAAACCATGGTAGCTACACACCCCAATCTCATCGCTCCCTAAAAGGCTCTCCCTCATTGCGATCCACATCTCTGCTTGCTCAGCATCTCTCTTAAACATCTGAGAGTCCAGGTTTTGTTCCAACTCCACTCGCTGTTCTTCCCATCCTTCCTTTAGCTCTTTGTGACTGGCTGACAGCACACGCATCTTTTCCTTGATCTACAACAACAGATTTGATTCCTTTGGCCAATCCACAGTCATGTTGCAACATCCGCAAACACCTTAATGTCACTGAAGCACTTCAGAAAAGGCTAAACATGCTATGGTAGAACATGTTGCTTGCAAAAGCATGTTGCATAATAACAAGAGCACATTTATTTTGAAGGAAAGCTCGATTTAAAAATGTCAAAGTTTGTGTTAGAAGAAAGAGGGTCCAACCTCTTTACTGGCGTAGTGTCCAGCCTCAACTAGGACCTGTCCTTGATGGTCAAAGGCAGTGAAATTTGCCTGCCGAGCATCAATTTCCGCCTTGTGCTCCAGGTGGCTCAGCAGTAGGGCCTCTGCCCCAGATACATCCCGGGGTAGTTCATCGGTCTGCAGGACAGCTATCATGTCGCTGATCCAAGAGCTGCAAGTGTATCAATACGTACATGTTGTGTATCAACACACTCTGCAAGGTAATGCTTTTGTATTTGTCTTTCTGTGAGGACATACAGTACACACAAAATGGTGGTTTATAGCTACTTGCATCACTAGTAGCATTCCTGTATGGTGTAGCTACAGATGCATATAGACTGTATGTTGTAGCTACATGTAGTACTCTCGTGTGTATACCAAGGCAGGAAACTAGGAAAAATGCAAAACCATGGAGCTCCTTATATCCATCTGACGACATGAACCTGATACCATTATCATGTTGCTTAAATCTAGGGTCCAATTCCCTAAATCAGGAGATCATAAATTGTATTATTAACCTGCCAACTTGACACCATAAACTACCGCCCTCCAACCATAATCCATTCCTAAGTTATGCATGCATCGAATTTCAAAAACTATTCCCTAGACATTAGTTGATGCACTAGGGCAGAAATGAGGCCTTTATTGCCAATTTGAAGCACACTCCATTACAGGACAGCGAATTCTAAAACTCAAGGGGAGCCACACCAACGTGAACCACTGTCAACAGTGGCCAAAACCCTTATGCTGTATCTGATAAGCTTGGGGTTTGGTTCTCTGCATATCCCCCTTTGTAAAAGCTTATGGACTACATCAGATCTTCTGACAGAACGAACTGTACAATTTTCATCCTAATCTGGTACATATACGCAATAGATACCTCAAATCTCGGAAGTCATTCAAAAACCTCTGCAGTTGCTCAGCTTCCACCAGCTTGTTCTTCCTGCCCGTCGACCTCTCAATTAGTGCCCTCCACATTGTCAGCGTCTGCTGTTCCTTCTTTCTCACGTGAGAGGCTCGCTCAGGGTAGGTGTTGGCAAGTCTCTTGGCTTCTTGAGAAAGAAGAGACACCTGCTTCTCTAGTGCTGCAAGGTCCCGCTGTGTGCGTGATAAAATAATGTGGAAGAAATTAATGTGAGCTCCAGCCACTAAAGTGATTGTGTAGATCTACAAGTTGTCAGACTACCACTGTGCACCACGGCTCACACACGTACTGTAGCTATAGACAAGGCATGTACAAAATGTAATGACACTCAGGAAGCCAGGGCAGCTCAGCAACAAAGGTTCTATACAATGCAATACTTTGTATGGCAGGTCTGAAACTACACAGTGTGGGACACAGGAACTCAATTTACTCAGTAAACCAAATTCTGATGTTCAGTAGACAAAGGAAGCAGACACACCTCAAATCCTTCGTGTCTTCTTTGCAGAGCTTGGACAGTTGCAAGGTCCTTACCATAGTCTTCTGGCAGAGAACTATCCTTTTCCTGCAGGTATTATACAGCAGCAAAACAGCATGTGTGGAATCAGAACTGAATTAGCATGAGCAGTTTGAAGGCTTGTGTTTCTATGAAGACTACTTGTGCTTGCATCACAAGTAGTCCTTCATGAATTACAATACACATTCTGACTTGAATCCAAGAATGAAATGGAACCCAATATAGCTATACACATGACAAACCTCCAATAACTGTGCTATGGCAAAATAAACCCAGCCTCGCGCATACCTGCACTCTTTCCTTAACGTCAGTTGAGTCACGGTCAAAGGTGTGTATCTCCTTTGCCACTGCGAGGGACATGGAGCGGAGGTCTATGGTGTTGCGGAGAGAATCCCACAGTTGAGATATGGCTCTCTTTCGATCCTCTATCCTCTTGGAATCTGTACATATTGGGTGTAGCCAGCTGAATATCGACCATAATCCACATACTCAGACTTACATGTGCATGCACATGACGACATCAAATAAGGCTAGGTGCATGTATGAGTCATAACAGATTCTACGGTAAACACTGATTACGTCTGGTTCCCTTCCTTACATAATATACCTGGGTATCTCCCTCACTTATGATGTAATAAGCGTGGTAGTAGTGGGCCTGAAATGTATACACAGTAAGTATAGCCTCTTTCCCAGGCCTTTACCGTGCATATTATGCGTACATTAACGCAGGCTATGTGTACACTTGCGGCACCGCAAGGCCTGGGAAGGAGGCTCTATAAGTAATTACACAGTGTGCATACTGCACAGCATCATTCTCCCACCAGTGTGTGCGGCAGCTATTAGAGTGTCTGCCACTTGACAGACGTGAGTGACTCTCTCCTCAGACGCCATCGTATTGTGGACAAAGTCTGTGAATCTCTTCTGAAGAATCTGCAGTGGTGATTGAAGACAAAAAGTTTGTCTGTGTGATTACAGACAGGTGTGCACTAAGCATGTTGGCAGCCGCCAAACTGTTCATAAGCATAGTTCCGGTAGTGTGTTTTACTATGCCATCCTTAATTCCCCTGCATAGAAAACTGGCATTTCGTTTCCAACATGGGCACACAGCTTGACTATGTTAGGTAATGATGAGCTTGTGTGTCTGGCTGCACCAACATGGGGGATAGTAAAAGCCACCTAAAGCCAATATTTTTAGGTCCAATTCCTTGATATCAACAGTCTGATTTCTGTTACAAAACACTGCATTTTGGAAAAACAGGGAGCGTGTCTCGCGGGATTCTAAGACAAACACTCTGGGCTTCAGAAGACCTGATATGATTAATCTACCATCAGGGTACATACTTCTTATGGTACACGGTGCTATGGAATGCATTAAGACCACCCACGTTCTTCATAGAAACACAAGCCTTCAAACTGCTCATGCTAATTCAGTTCTGATTCCACACATGTCTAACCTCAACGTGTTCCAGGTCTTTTCCCACGTCTTCATTTTGTGCCACGGCTTCTTTGGCCAGAATCCACACCTCGACTTCATCAGAGTCTCTGTTGAACCTATGGAGCTGCTTGCATTCCACTAGTCTGTGGTGGCGGGTGGAGGCAAGCAGGGTTAGTTCTGAGTAGGTGGCTGTCAGTGACACCTATGAGGTTGGAGAGAGAGGGTGGAGGCATGGGAGGCAGAGAGGGAGAAGTGAAGCTAATTCCTTTATGGGGTGACACTCAGGGACTCTCCCTGGGGAAGCCCTATACACGTAGTAAGCTTTGTCTGCATGGGGTGGCCTTTGTGGCCTTATGGGCGGTACAGACAGTAGGTTGTGGTGTGATTGTGGAAGGTGTACACCTGTTCCCATCCCAATACCACCCCACTGTGGCAGCCATAAAAGAACTCCTATAGTTGTAGGCCATGATTGTTATCTACAAGGGGGCTGAAACAAGGTGTAGAGTCCTCCCTTTATAGCCAACCCCCTTGTGGCAGCCTTAGAGTAGTGTATACTATTTATCTACTAGCTCTTGGAGGCAGTGTGTCTTAGTAAATCTCACCCAACTCCCTCACTTTGTCCTACATAGTAGATCTCACCTCCCTCTCTGTGATGGTTTCACTATCAAAGTGTCCTCCATCTACGAGTCTCTGACTCTCACCCTGCAGCTCCTCAATTTTTGCCTCGTACCCCTCAATGTCCAGCTCAATTGCCTCATGTTTCTTGATGAGTGCCTGAGTGCTGTCTTCATCTTTTCCGTACTCCCTCAGAGCCACAAGCGAGTGTTTGAGATTTAGCCAAGACATTCCCTCTGACACTTTGGCATAGTACTGCATTGCACACATAAGAGAGTGAGCGAGAGAGAGAAAGCAGGGGGAAATGAGGGAGTGGACGGCAGAGAAAGTCACAAAGAGATTATTATGGTATGCGTTGTTACAAGTACACAATGTTCCATATAATGCATATCTAAGTCTGTCAGATCTTTATGTTTGTACTAGGTGTCCTTGTTAGGTGAACAAAAGTATAGGTGTGCATTGAAGGTATAGTCAGAGTGGAGCTGCTTAGATATAAACTAATCAGATTTTACCCTGCACAGTACATCTTACAGCTTCACACAATGTGAATGTGTGAGCCGGGAGTCAGTGGAATAGCTACATATAATGTAGTGAAATAAATGGTTGCATTGTGTAGGGGTAGTGTGTAGGGGTAGCTAGAGGCAATGTGAATCTATGAGGGCGTATAGCTATCCATCAGTGGGATACAAATGGGGTAGTAGAAAGGGTGCTGTATAATTCCCACATACTGTGTATTGTGTAGGGGTGTAACACTTCTAGACTTGACGGCTGTGTTTTCTCCTGTGTCAAAACCTTAGCTGAACTAGTACAATAGAGTGTGTAGTGATCGAATGAAGTAAACATCAGGTGGCGGAGACGCCACGGCTAGCCTATTGTCTGAGGCTAGAAGTAGTGTTAGACAGTTAGGCTCACATTGTCTGCCGTGCTAACCATAATGGAAATGGATGGTAGCTATGTACAATACACACACATGCAGCACTTGCTTGATAAGGTGATAAGGTGGTAATTAAAGGCGACTGCTTCAATGAGACAATGACTGATTTTTAGGTTCATGGATTAGGTGGTGTATAAATCCCTACAACAATGCATGTAGGGTGGCGTATACCAGTAAACTACACATGTAACTGTCTTCTAATGCATGCATAGACACCATGGCTAGTCTCTGAGCCATGATATGGTCCTATAGACCGATAGGCTAGACTATTGTGCTGTCTGCTACCATGAGCCCTGGGGGCGAGTGAATACCACAGTAATTGGGATGTACCCATGCGGCAATGTTTGGTAACAGGGAAAACTACAAGGATGAAACAACAACCCACTGTCATGTTAACTTCCCAGCCTTTATGGTTCAAACCACAACTGTGGACCCAACCATGTATAATTGTATAATTGTATGGATTGCCACTATACATCTGGGACTTATAAAAGTTTGAACTCTTTACAAACAAGGCAAACCTTCTTTCCTGTTTGGCTAATAATAAAGATCCAGAACCATAGTAGGAGCTCAAGTACACTATCCAGATTGAGGAATACATAACTTCCACATAGTAGCTATACCTGCTGGACATGTAGAGAATCGCTCAGCATTGTGCTTCTCTGGCCCACCATCTCCCTCAGATTAGCCCACATTTCAAGGAGACTAGCTCTCTGCTCCTGAATCTGCTCGCAAGCAAAGTGCTTTGCTGCAATCAACTCCTGCGCAGTGTTCGCCACAGACTCTAGCACAGGTGAGTGGCTAGATTGTTCGGTTTCGAGGGTGAGATGCGTTTTCTGGAGGCTCTGGACTTCAGCTAGTGTTCGGCCGAGGTCAGAGCTAGAAGCCAGCGGTTGTCTGTCGTGGATCCAGTTGACTTCATCTTCAACGTCGTGCTGGAACTGGTGCAGTTTTAGGGAGTCTTCAAGCTGTTGGTGTCTGCGTGCCATCGGGTCTTCCAACTGGCAGTACCTGAATGTATGTACATGCAATTGAAGCAATTGTCAACAGCAGGAAAAGAACACAACTACACCCAAAGCTCTTCTCATTTGGCCTGGGTAGGATTCACATTAATAGCAGTCTAGGTTGAGTGACAAGGGTGTAGCTCGCAGTTCTGAAATCAGAAATCAATAACAAAAGCCAAATCTCAAAGCTGCCACTAGGGGTGAGACGTATACGGTATGAAGGTTCTTTTGAAGGTTATTTGCAACATATAAAGGGTTGATCATCTGTTCTACAAGCTCATTGAGGCTGTAGTGAATATGCTTCTATAGAGGGTGTGTGTGGTGGCTTCACACAATGAAAGTACTATGAAGTGAGTTGAGATTCATTCTTGCACTGCTGGCAATTTGCCGCAAACAAGGGGGTAGTAAGTTTTGTCTAGTGTAGTTGTCCCATAGTTGTTATGTGGTGGCTAGACCAAGTTGTGATGAAATCACCACACAAACACCTTTCACAATACTCACTTTGCCACCAACTCTCTGCCCCTGTCTTCAATCTGCTCAATTTGGAAGTGACCTGCCTCTCGAAATGCCCTCACTTGTGCCATGATAGTATCCACCTGGTCTTGGTTGGCTTGGATTTCACTCTCTATCAACTGATGGGAGAGAAACATACTAACCATATTTTGTTACATACCAGGCAGTTGTGCTGTCATTATTGTCTAACAAAGTGGTTCCACGTTAGTTGGTACACACACGTCTACTGAATGTGTAGTTCACCATTCATGGCCATGTGTAATGATAAGGACAACTTCTTTTGCTGATCACAGCCTAACATCATTCTGAAACTTAGCACATGTAGCCCACATGAGTGACAGCAGTTACAATTTCAACGTTGTACAAACAGTTACCAAAGCATTTCCCTGACCATACCTTGCACAACTCTACTGCCATTAGTTTCGTGTGTGCGCACACACATACACGGCTAAAAGTCACCCCATTTACTCACAGCATGTTTCTTAATGAGGATGTTGACAGATAAAAGATTTTTGCCCATATCCTCGGAGGACATTTGTCCCTCCATATCCAGTATCCACTGCTCCATGTCTTCAACTGCCCTCATAAACTGCTGCTGTTCACTTGCCTCCTTCAACTTCTGCCCTCTATCCTGCGTTCTGTATAATTATCAGTCAGTAAAGGTCTCCTACTCTCAACACAATAAAGGACGACTGTACAACATGGCTAAAGTGGGGAGGTTGTGTGGTCAATCAACAAGTATGGCCATTCAGATGGGCAACGGCTTTGTTTTCTAAAATAATGCATGGAATTATTGCAGAGACTAATTGTACAAAGGGAGTTAAGCACTGCCTAACAGCCTGATTTCATGAACCATGTGAAAACTATGAGGTAGAAAGGCAAAGAGAGCTGCCCTAGGTGGGATTCGAACCCACGACACTCACGACACTCTGCAGTCTAGGCGAGCTCTCTACCAACTGAGCTACCAGGGCAACTCAGCTGGTAGGGGTTCGAATCTACAACACAATACAACACAAGGCAAACCTCAAACCACTGTGCTATGGCACAGTATACTCTCACTTAGCCAAGTTGACCAAGTTGACCAAGTTTTTACCCAATGCTATAAGAACAGAGGGTGATATGGGAACTTTCCTTCATTTTTACTCGTAACGGATTCATTGTGGTCAAAGTCACATCGTGGACAAGTCTCTTTCCAATACACTAAGATACTCCTTGTTTTCATGTAGTTCGCTGTACTTTCTAATTTGGCAATTGAACCCAGATTCCTCCCACTGAAAACGTGACCATGTCAATGAAGGAGTCTACAAACAATAGTATGCATCACTCCATGCATGGATGCAGCATGCATTTCCATGTCACACTCTACTGCCTTTGATGTTTGTCAAGTCAATCAAAGGGTAGTCAAAACAAGTTCTGACTGCTAATGTGGCGTGTCTGGTGTAGGCAGTGGATTCCCCCTGCTTCATGGGGGGAAATTATCAGTCATGCATACAGTAACAGTAAACGCTATAGGACTACCTTTTCACATTGAACAGATTCATGTTTTGTCACTATAATTAAAATGCATTTGGATTCCCCATGCTTCAGGGGGAAGTTATCAGTCATGGCACACAGCTATATACCGTGCATGCTTACGACTATGGGTGCAAAGTTTATACCAACGTTTGCACTTATTACGGTATTCTCTTAGGCCACTACATTTGGAATGGACGAGTTGGCAATTACTAGAATCTCTCATTCAGGATGTGGTGAGTGGTGGCATGCCAGACGGCACACTCCTCATTACTTTGATATGGCTACACATAGCAAGCGCGTTAATTCAATGAAAGGCCGTCAAAACAATCACGTACATGTGTGTGTAGTGTGTAGTGTGTGTGTGAATGCACCACTGCCCACTTGGGTTGTAATGCACCACTGAACAATTGAGTATGTGCTATTACACTCTTTGAACCACTCACTTCTCTTCCAAGTGTTGCCAGTGGGCTCTCAGGTCTTCCATTCTGGCCTCAATCTCGTGAGAAGCATAGTGGTTTTGCTCTATCAACTCTCCCCCAGTCTATGAAAAGTATACATACTGTGCCATGAGGAAAATACCCCTCTGATCCCACTCTGCAATTTTGGCCCACTGCTGTTATAATTGCCATTGGAATTTCTTGGCATTGTGTTTGCGACCACTAATTGGGTACTTCGTTAGATTCATTGCCAGCCACAACCAAGTGCTTAGCCCATTTCCACTAAGCACTTGGAGCACTTAACTACATACATACCCACTATTATATGGTGCCTACACACACTCAATGAGATTAAGTGGTGATATCACCTCTGAAAAACGTGTCTATGTGTACATGTGCCATCCCTGGTTCTCAAGGCCGGGGCACCCATCTATGCCTATAGGTGTTGCTCTGACCTCTCTAATGGTACTGCCCTACACTTTTGTTTTACCTCATGTATTATGTTATTTTTGTAACCTTTTATACCTCTTATATGGTTTATTTTATATATCGCAGATTATTATTTTTGATACCATTTGATAACTTTTGTACATTGTTGTAGTCCTTTCAACCACGTCGTGCATACGCCTCCCGTGTTTGCAGTCCCAAGTAAGCCCTTGGTGGATATTATGTATGTTAATTGCAGCCCCTTTTGAAGTCCTGTTTTCTTTCTCTTTTTCTTTCTTTCTATTTTATGTATAGAGCGTGAGCTGTTCAGTTTTCATGTACCTCAGTCACAGAGTCAACTCTTCCCTTATTGGACGACAGCTCTCCTTGGAAAGCTGCGTGTTTCTGCAGCTTGCTCTGTAGGTTGGTTGGATCTCTGTAGCTCTCGTCACTGGCCACTGTCATCTTCTCTACAATCCACGATTCCGCCTGGAATATATTACATAGGATGTGTGACCAATAGTCAGTGTGTGACACTTACATTTGGGTCGGCAATCACACCCAAGTAGGTAGCTATAAAATGTATGCACAATACCTAGTAATTAGAGTTTCTTCTCGACTTGAATTTGAAAATTTGCTGCTTTTGGGCACCAGTCGAGAGATAAATAATAATATATTATTGTGATGGAATGTTGACTTAGGGTTTTTGATTAGTGTATACACTGTTTGTTTCCAAACATAGCGTGTGATGATAGTGCTGCCGTAGGAAGCATGCACACCCAATACTAAAAGACGCCCAAGCACATGCACATAAAGGTGTCCTTTGAAGACAGCTTTCTCTGTGATGAGTTTTCATTGTCGATCCTACCAACAAGATACCCACAGGACAAAGCCCCAATAAGGTGGCAAGGCATGACTATAGAGTAGAATCTGACACCCAGGTCATAAGATCAAAGAGATTCTGGACTCTTTGATCATTGTTAGTGGCAATACCCCTGGTTAATGATGTACTTGGAGTATCCTACCTAATTCAGTTCTTTGGGAATAGGGTGATCGCGAGGCAGATCTTTAGCATGAATTATATGTTTGTGGTCTCCTAAGGTCCTAAAATAGCGTGAAATTTCAAGTACCTGATTATTATTTGGTAAGAAGGAGGAGACAGGAAGAACTAGTCAGTTCCGTAACTTAATGGGGTTTGTTTATTTTGACACTAATGAGCTCAGAAAGTCACCTTAAGTAGTTCTGACCGCATTTTACCTACCTCATCAACGTCACGTAGGAAATGTTGAAATTTCATGGAATCTGCCAGTTTCCTCGCTCTCCTCTCGGAGATTTCTTGGAGACGAGCATACCTAGAAACATGTAGCAAGTAAAGTCAGGCACCCTCACATACACAAACAGAAAGATCAATACATGCATAAGTTTGCAAACAAACCCTCCCATACAATTCTCTGGAAACTAGGAATGCACTTTCCCAGTGTATATGTACTGTGCATAAATTTCAGTCGTGTACATGACATCCCTACACCTGCAGAGTAAACCAGCATCCATTATGTTTGTTTTTCTGTTAAGCTTTCTGGTAAAAGTAGCATGTAGGCATGTGTAACGCCAAGCATTTCTTTAGTGCACCCTACAATTTGGCTACAGAGGCCAGCGGCGAGGTCTTTAAAGGAGGAAATCTGTGTTCATATTCCGTGAAATTACAGACACAGCTACACATGTTAGGCAGCATTACATGCACCTAGCTACAGACATATATATTGAGTGGGAGTTACAGTGGTTCAATTTTTTTTAGCATTTGTGTTGTATAGTGCTGAAGATTTGAACCCCTACCGGCTGAGTGGCCCTGGTAGCTCAGTTGGTAGAGTGCTCGCCTAAACTGCAAAGTGTCATGGGTTCATGGGTTCGAATCCCACCAAGGGCAGTTCTTCCTTTTCATTGGAAAAAGAAAAAGAGCTGGCCTTTGCGTACATGTATAGTTTGACTTGTTTGCTGTGCCCTTTGCCTTCCTGTATCTCGTAGTTGTCACATACGTACCTTTGAACTACGGTGTTTCTTCTGGTGACTACAGCCTCGCTCTCATAGTGACCTTCAGCCAGTAACTTCTGTGAAAATACTTCGAGAGCATTCAGCTTCTCTCCCTGAGGGGCCAGGGACTTCTCAAAATCTTGGTGCTTCTTTATGAGAGCCTCTACACTGTCCAGAGAATCCTGCATACAAGCATTAAACATTGGATCGTTGCATATTCGGTCTAGACAAGGCAAGTAGAGTGCATTGTTTTGACTTAGTGTGTGTGGGAAAGCAAATTTTGTTCATCATGAATAATGTAATGTGAGTTTATACAACACATAAATGCACGATCTTATGTGCAAGCTTTTTCTCGTTCTGTGTGCGTGTGAATCTTAGTGAGGTGTGCATACCCCTCACAGGTGGGAGTCACTGTAGACACACTCCATGCACAGTGAGCTTCTCAAGTTAAATGCATAGATTCATGGACTTCCTTGCCATTTTATATAGGATGTATATTCAGAGAACCATCCATGTGTCTTTATGTGTTTTTGAGGGAGTCAAACCGTGGAATTGATGCAACAATCTGCTGATTGTATGAGTTTCAAACAATTCCATATAAGTTCACGAAGCGGAGATCTTCAATGTTATTCATGTGTTTTTTTGCATGTACCTGTGGGACAGGTGTGTGTGCAGGGATTGTGTCAACCAAGAATAATAATGCATAGGAGTGTGTGTTGGCTAGGAGCTACACTTACCCAACATGCAGCTTGATGTGTAGCTTGATGTGCATAGTGGGGAAGGGTGGCTAAACATCCTGTACACACAACACACACACACCACACACACACACACACACCACACACACACACACACATCAAAATGCTCTGCACCACAACATAATCCTGTTATTTTCCAGTGTGGGAGTTGTGCATAAACTCCCAGAGCATCGGGCACAGCACAAAGACATCTAACAAACATCTGCTGCTCTACTGTCCACATGCACCTCCAGTGGAAGCACGCAATAGGAATGCCAGGTTCAACAACAGTTAAATAAACTTATGACAAAGGTTTATTCTACTGGGAGTTTACAAACACCCTGGTATGTTTTTCTAACAGGTGTTTAGGCAGCACAAGGAATTCAAGGACAACAATGTTCGAGAAAGGTGCAACATACTACAATTCCCTGCAGGTCTCGCAACAGATGCTAGGTCTAAACTTCGCTGGTGTGGGAGGCTTACAGGTATTGTTGGTGCAAGTTTGAGCGATTTGTAAATGGGAAGGACACAATAAACATACACAAACGAAATTCCCACAGTCTCTCCCGCAACAGATGCTGCACCACTATACTCTGTAAGTAAAGGCCATAATGCTTCGATAGTGTGGGAGTCTTGGTGGTATTGTTGATCAATCGCATGACTCAGAAAATGTGCATCTTCGACACACCCAACAGATGTTTGTCAGTACATGAACATCAACATTGGATGTGGGAGAGTCTAGAGGGCCATTGTCCTGTACTTCGCTACTACACTCATTGTAATGCCTACACAGGGCTTTGCTGTGCCTCTATATCTATAGACAGGTAGTTTGTACACATTTGAACGCCTAGTTTCCTAACTCTACATTCTACTATGCGCAACTGGGTAGTAATTGAAAACTGCATGATGACATACAGTTACAAGTACATGGGAAGGTTCGTACGATGTTTACTTCCACACATACATGGGAAGGTTCGTAGGAAGATGTACGTATAATCCTCAGCATAACACACACTAGGAAGTGGAACTAAGCTTTGCTTTGCAGGTGGGAATTTAATTGGCTTACCGGAGGAAGGAAGCATTACCAGGAACACGAAAGCACGGGGTACTGTTAATACATCCACCCAAACAATTCCAACGCATACCCCAGCATCCTCATTGGAGAGGAAGGCTTCTTGAGTAGTAATCCACGTCTCTCTCTGCTCGGCGTCCCTCAGGAAGACCTGGAACGAGTGGCTCTGGAGGAACAGTTCCTGTCTCTTCCTCCACGTTTCCAGGAGACGAGCGTGCTCCTCTGCCAGACCCACCAGTCGGGACTGGATCTCACTAGCCGCATAGTGAGCAGCTCTCACCAGCTCCTGTGGAAGTTCAGAGAGTAATGATGCTATAGTCTCGGGCGTGGAAGCCTCTTGGCTTGGCCTGATCCACCCTCAGTACAAAATATGTGATGCTGAGGTCAAGGTATGCCACATATCTTTAACGAGGAAAGAGGGAAGGGCTTAGTCTAGCAAGCAGACCTTCTCTCCAGTCTGCACATGCGCCAATGCACTCACCTCACTGCGCGTGCTTGCGCATGCGCAGGACGGGGAGAGAGGGTCTGCTTGCTAGACTAGGTCTGGGCAAGACAGCGATAGTTGTTTTTCTTCTTTAGGACCAGTTAATAAAACACATTTTCGAATTTGAATCGTACTCTCCTTACCTCTCCCTTTTCTTTGATTTTGGTAAAGTTTTCATCCCTTGCATCAATCTCACCCTAAATGAAGTTGCAAAATTGCATTGTTTATTGCTTCAAACTCTTTGGTTGGGGTGCAGTCAGAAGTAGATATTATTGTACTTTTTCACATGTGGCCAGTTTGGTAAAACATGGAGTAGGGCATACTTATTCATGGCTGGGAAGTGCAGACAGACTCCTAAAGCTAACACACAAATGCAAGCACACACACATGGGGTGATTTTGTTACATTGCACACTTTACACTTTGGAAGCACAGTCCAAAAAATCTGAAATACATGGCAGGAAGTAGTAACATGTAAACACACAGTGGGGTGATGTAGTGGGTGTGCCTGGCTCACAAGTAGTAGTAATTCATGAGAACAATGTGATAAGGTCGCATGACCGTGAGACCCCACACCTTTCTTTCCTGGTGGCGTTCAAGGAGACTCTCAGCCTCTGGTACACTCTTGGCTAGCTCATCTCTGGTCAGCCTGTCGTGTATATCTTTAGACCATGCCAGCTGTAAGATCAAGGGTTAAATACTCATTGAGCAGTGTACACGGCTCTAGGAAAACACACTTCCTTCAAAATGACAGACAAAACAAATTCCCCTACCCAATATTATGTCTTACACAATTAGGTAATAAGAAAGTTAGGGCTCAGTGTTTTGGTGACTAAGAGAGATTATTTCTCAATTAAATAGTAAGTAGTAACGTACCAAGTCTCTAAGGTTTGCCAGGAATCTTTGAAGCTCTCTTGACTGCTCCAAGTTGGCCTTCCTGATAGTGGGAATATGCATGCATGACAGCAGAATAGTGCACCCAAAAGTGGTGATGTCATCATTACACCACTCATGTTATTAAGAGACATAGAGGTTAAACCTATACACGTACAGAGGAAATGTAATCTTTCTACTCCACAGCATTATTGCACTCACATTCCTGTCACACCCTACACATGTACAGAAGAATGTCCCCCAGACGTCAGAGAATAGTTTGCTATACCTCAAAAGAGTACCACACATTCCTAGCGAAACCATAGTTTGAGCGTCACTAGGGTAGCATCACTTCCACCATAAACAGGACCAGGGGAGAGTTTCTTTTGTGCACGTACGTAGTATGTATATACCTCTCGTCAGCTCGCTGAGTAAGCTGTTCCCAGTTCTCCATTATTTCACTCTGTTTCTCCACAATCAGAGGCTGACTTGCCGGCTGCTCGCCAATCAGCCTCTGGGCCTCCTGGTCTAATTGCTGTATTATGAACAATCATTCACATACACAATCTACGTAATTGGCTTAATAATCTATTCTCAATTAATGTGATGGGGGCAGACACCTCATGTTCATATGGTGTATGTTCGTTTGTTAACGGTTCCGCCCATTGCTCTGGGTGCGTGGTCTATGGCCCTAGTGCTATGGCAGCCACCTGAGTATTATTTATATTTAATGTGATGGGAGCTGTTAGAAGTATGAGTAATTCCCAAATGTATAACACATGCACGTCATTATTAAAATGAAATTCTTAACATTACTCATTACCCTAAAATAACTGACCTCTAGCTTGGCATCAATAGCTGAAATATCTCTCTCCAGTTCTTCGTGTTTCCTAATGAGAGCTTCAACTGATGCTAGATCTTTTCCCAGGTCATCTGTCAACAAGGCTTTTGCCTGCGTATTCATTTAGCATTGATAAATGGTTCCTTATACATATGTAGATAGTGAAGGTGTATAAAGTACCAAACGTAGCAAATCTATAGCAAAAAATATTCAATCGGCATGCATTTTGGCATGCTTGCAATGTTACATGGTAGTGTGTAATTTGACATTGTCTGTTTGAATACACTTGTCGCTAAAACGGTCCATGTATGTTGCTGCCAGCCTTGAAGTAAGGGGGTGTTACTGTTGTGCAGGAACACACATTATACTGTGTTGAACAGTTTCACTGTAGTAAGGATCACCTGATAACATCCAGTGTTGTAGAAGGACAAGACTGAAAACATGTGCTCTACATGAGATGTAATAGCTGGGCACAATACCTTTTCATTCATGCGGTCATTAGTCTCAACAGCATCCCTCACAAACCGGTGGACCTGTTCAGCCCCAGCCAGCAGCTTTCTCCTCTCCTCAGCCAGAGAATTCAGCTCTTCCCACCTGTACAATAGCACCAATGGTACTTTCCACAATGCTCTAAGCAAATGCATCGAATCCACTTCAATAGTGGGAGTGTACAATTGTTTTGTCTTGGGACAACAGTGTCTATCCCTGCTGGTATATGTTTTCAATAAGGTGGGCACATGCACTTCCCACAAATGGATGAAATTCAGCTTTGTTTGCATCTTTATAATGGAAAAACATAACCTAGTGCAGTAGGTCATGGGAGCTTATGAGAAACATATCCCTCTCAAACAAGCAGTTACTAATCTTACACACCATATACCCCACAGGGATTTGATACACGCGTGGGCATTCTACAGAGTCATACACAGGTTCCAACATTTCACAGTATAAGGTCATTGCATAGGTGTTTCACCTTGCATTAAGAGAATCTTGTTGCTCGCTGATTATCTGCTCTCCTGTGTGTCCCTCAGCTATGAGACGAACAGCTTCATCGTTCACCTCGTCCAATCTGCTCTTATCTGCTGTTAACTCCTGTGAACAACCGTGAGAGAGAATATCTAAAATTCTAGTGAATATTTCTCTCTGAGCTGCCTTGTCAGGGTACTCATCACTCTCACACTCATTGACACCTGTAGTGGTGGTGGAATCTAGCACTGCACAAGAAAGGATACACTACCCAATCACACAATGGTCAGTGCTGCAGGCATGCAGCTAGTGTTTACTTTACCACAGGGAACTAGTTGCAATTATTTCCCAGTATCCATGTCGTGTGGATGTTATGAGAAATAACTGTTTTGGTTAAGTGAACTCACTATTATTATTATTATTACATATCAATTTCATATACATTAGCTACGTACAGTTCGAAACTCATCAAACTTCCGGCTGAGCAGGACACAGTGTTCCAGGTCCCTCCCAGTCTCAGCAGAGCTAGCCACAGCAACACGGTCCCTTATCAGGGCCTGGACCACATCTACCTGGATTATACATTAACATACACTGTTGTTAGATGGAGTGAATTACACAGAAGACACTGTGTAAAGGGCAAGAGGGCTTCTAACTCGCACTTATTCAATGCACAAACTGCTTAGTTTCTTTCCCAGACCCTGTCTTCCTCCTTTTTGGGTGGTCTGGGACAGCTGCCAAAAAACTTACTTTTGTTTACAGAGTTGACATACCTTATAGTCCCACATACCTCTCGCCTATTATGCAAGTCCACCCCCTTGCAGGAACACACCAGATGAAAATGAATGATCTTTGTGCCCTCAAGACCCAAGTGGGCACAAACATCATTCACATTCCTCTGGTGTGGTTCATGTGAGGGACTGGACTTCGGCAGAGAAGTATGTAAAGAAATGGGGCTACAGGAGATACATCGAAGAAAAACAGGTAGAGTTCCTTGGAGAAATTGGAGAGGGTTAGACCTATCTCCACCAGTGTTTCTTGGGGGCTCTACAAGCTTGCATTCTCTCAGAAAAATATTCACCGCCTCACAAAGGGGCAAGAGGGTCAGAGAACTGAGAGGGGGCCAGAGGAGGTTGAGGATAGTTGAGAATAGAATCTTTAGTGAAAGGCAACACTTACCTATCACTGATTTTTGTGATTCTCACATAGTTTAGTCTACTATCCAATTAGATGAACCAGTTATTGCACCTCAATTAGCTCCCATCTTTATCAAATTAGTGTGCCAAGTTTCTCTAATTTGATTATTAGCTAAACTTATACCTATGTTGCTCAGTTACTTGTCTCTTTTGCTATTTTTAACAACTTGTTACATGCATGAATGGTTGCCTTTACATTACCCGATGAATGGAGGATACCTTTCGTCTATAGTGGACCAGTGAGAGTGCCTGTTCCAGACCCAGTCTCTTTGCATCAGTTGCCTCCAGTAGCTCCTCCCACTTGGCAAACAGTTCCTCCACTCTAGCTTCAATGTCATCAGATGCGTAGTGATCTCCTTCCACCAGTGACTCCCCAGTCTGCATATCAAACATTATATTTACATGCATAGATGTACTGAGCCCCATGGACCATGTGCTTAGGAAATTTGTAAGAGACTAAGGTCCAGGCAATATGAACACATGCGGTGTGGAATTTCCAGTCTCATGTAATTAGAACATAGTTGAGAGAATAAGCCATATACTATACAGTAGTAGATTCACAGGAAACAGTTGTAATGGTCCAGGGTGAGTAGCAAGAAACTATTCTTCCCTTCACGTGATGTAGGATTAATAGCTACACGCAGCTTCCAGGATGGTAGCCTCATAGTAGTGGGAGAACATCCATAGCACAGGAAGAACTGAGAGGGTTGTTTGGAAACGCTTCACCCACCCATGATATCACAAGCCTCAGGGTTGGAGGAAACCGTATGGTGTCCTTCCACTCTCATACATGAGGTATGTAGTCACATGAGGTTTTAAAACCAACAACAGCAGGGGAAATACCCGCATTATTCTCACACTTCACACTAGCAATGATTCAGTGTGAACAAGTGTGCATGCTATATAGCACAAAAGGGTGCACCATCAATGGATAAATAGCGTGGGTACAGTACAAACCTGAGCAATGTTTTGAATTCTCATTTCATTGGCATTCACTTCTGCTTCAAACTCTTGGTGCTTCTTTAGTTTGTTCTCCAGATTTGTGGGGTCCCGAAAACTTTCATCATTTGCAACTTGCTTCTTTTCCTGGATCCAACTCTCAGCCTAAAGACAGCAACATGCAGAGCAAGCACATTATTATAGCAGCGTAATTAGCATAGTAATATCCTGCCACTGGAATGTAAACTGTCTACTATTACCATTTATGGGTAAATGCTAAAAATAAACATTCCGATCATTCTTGGGGGTAAATAAAAGCCAGCTGAGCTCAGAGCCTTTTCAGAAGAGTGTGATCGGTAAACTCTAAAGACTTGCTCCAATCTTGCTAGCTGTTTTGACTTGCAAACCTACTGATGGAAGCTCAAGTGAGAGATCTGCAAAGAGCTCAGTACAGGCGTAAGTCCAGAAGGAACCACTCCTATCCCCTGATGAGCGACCGAGACAAAGACTACAGCGAATTTTTACACTTGGTCGAATGTGGAACTCTGCAGCTCCCACACACTCACCCCCTGTTTCACAAGAGACCTATACAAGAGCAAGGGGACAACTTAGAGGCTAAGATGATTCCCATTGAGGCTGAAACAAAGCGTGAACTTCTGAAACAAGATCAAGAAATGGTTGTCAGTCCAACAAAGAACATTACTAACCGGAAATAGAAGTAAACTTGGAGGTTCGGCCCGTGGTTGATAGACTTTCCGTTGAAGAAAGTAGCTGCAGTATCGGCAGTTTACTTGTAACTGGAAGATGACTTTTAATGCATCATGCAATACAGTCATATATTACTATCTCCTTTATCTCCTGGATCATGTTTTTGCAGCCCGCAGCTAGTTAGCGCGAGCGACTCGCGCGGTGCTGCACGCCGACTCTAGCGGTGGTTTTGCTGGACAAGGGGTTCTCTTTCCCGTGCAAGACAAAAGTTCGTCGGCCGGAGCATATCTGATGGGCTAGACAGTTAAACGGGAGAAGCGAGAGACGGAACGTGCGTGCGCGAGCTACGCGGGGTACCTGACCAGGCGCGGGTGCAGCAGTGAGCTTTGCAGGTTTACAACCATCGCGTTCAATTTTGAAGATCCTAAGGCGCAGGTAGAAGACCTCGCGCCATCCCTCAGTCGTTCTGCTAAAGGTCCTAAGGCGCAGGTGTAGAAGACCTCGCGCCATCCCTCAGTAGCGCCTTGCACACGCCCGCCCCGCCATCACACTTGGGCCGGGCCCGCCCCTGAATTCCAGAACTTTTTGTTTTACCGTATTTATCGGTAGTCACTTACTTCATTACAGTTTTGCACAAAAACCATTAGTTTTCGACAGTCCTCCAGCCTATTTTTTCGTGCCACTGCACTCTGTTTGACTTTCTCCCTCCTCTGCAATACAGCACGCTGCCTTGTAGTAATGTCTTTCTGCTCATAGTGGGCACTGGAGCAGAGTCTTTTGCCAAACTCCACCATTGCTGTCACCTGGTGAATAGATCTACCATAGCTTCGTGTGAGAGTGGACAGTGGCTATAGCTACTTGTTTTGCACATTGCCATTAATTTACTTAGCTATTGGTTTGGTCATAGTCTCTTGACATAATGGTAATTAGTATCATAGAAGGACCCATTGGTTGCCATCCACACAGAGGCAAAAGACACACCCAAAACCAACTCAAAGAAGACATGTTGGTCATCCCCTAATCCAGCGCCAGCCAGGTTTGAGTTTGCCAATGAGCAGGGGTGCATGGGGGGGGGAGAGAAATGCACATTACAGGCCTGCATGCTCGGACATGCATCCAGCATCACTTGGGCACAGCTGCACATGTCTGCGCTGTGTACATAGCAAAACAGCAGGCTATATCACACATGGTAGTATGGCCTACACATTGAAGACAGGAATATGTGGGTATAGAGGAGAGGGTAAATAGTAGGAGAGAGGGAGGGAGCGAGTGTGGCTCACACTCTTCTTCTGTCCTCCTCTCACCACAGATTAAACAGGGCACAAATACCCCCCCCCCCGCATACATAAGACATGATAGACAACGTGAGTGTGCCATTTATACGCTATGTGTAGGTGTGTTGTTCGTCTAGTTGTGTACTCAGGTGGAGTCTTTCAGTATGACATATGTGCTTTTTCATAGATTAAAGGACGACTATTTTCAGTGGTGAGTCAGCTGATCCAGCAAAAACAAACCCTGAGTGTTTGACTCCAATTACAAGCTTCATTAAGCATAAAGTCACCCCCACCCTGTAAAATTTACTAACCTTTTCCTCTTGGGACGCAATAAGTCTCTCAAAGGCATCGTGCTTTTTTAGGAGGGCATCGCATTCATCAACACTCACACCCAGTTTGTCGGTAGCCAGGTGTACCTAAGCAATAGAGTTGAATGGTCACAGTATTAGAGTGTATAATGATTGAATGATAGGGTGGCTGTCAATGTGAAGGTTTTTATATTAATACTTAGTCTACTGAACTTCCAATCTGAGGTTAAATCCGAAACACCTAGTCCCTCCATCCAGGGAAATAAGAGAAATATGAATCTGGCATCTCCATGTCTACACACCATTGAACTACATGTATACATGTGTACATTGTGTACCCGCTGCCAAACCTCAAAACATATCATGTGAGGGCTGATTCCTCTTCAGCTACCCACATCTGCTAGAGCACTTATCAAAACAGCCTTTCATTCAATTTCTTACATCAGAGTGGATTACATGCACAAAGTGATCACCTCCCCAGTTGGAAAGGAGTATTTATCAGCTCACAAAAGAGAGGCATTTTACAGTGTCTGGGCCGCCTGATTCTTTTGCAATTTGGTAGCAATGTATGTCATAATGTTGACATCATGTTTACACCCTCGTCAATTAGACAGGCCAAGGGGGTAGCATGCCAATCATTGTGGGGTCTCAATTCAATTACCTCATGACTGCTGCTCATGGTGTCAATCAACTTGGCTTCCCTAATGAACTGCTGGTGTTGAAGTGTTTGGTTCAGTCTGGCTTGCTGCTGTGTCCATAGCTCCTGCAGCGATTCACTCTCCTGCTTTAGCTCTGCCAGACGCTCTCGTATCTGAGGTCGCAGCAATACAAACAAACGTCAGTATTTGGAGCCCATTAACCCTCCTTATATGAGTACACATGAGTGTTATAATGACAGGGTGGGTATTAAACATGTGACGTTATAAGTCTAATAAGGCTTGTTTACCGCAGCTGGGCAGAACCGCATGTATTTTCAACATTGTAGAGTTATGTAATCATACATAGTAGGGCCGGGGCTCCAGCACATTGACCTCACAACCCTATACAAGCTATAGGGCTACAATTTCAAATTACTCTTCCCATATACTCTGCGTGATGCCAGAACATACCTCAGTACTGGCATAATGTGATTGCTGGATAAGTTTCCTCCCTGCCTTAGCCACCTGGGTAACCGAGTCTTCTCGAGTGTCAATCTCTGCTTTGTGCTGGTTGTGTTTGGAAATGAGAGCCTCGGCACCAGACACACTTCGAGCCGGTTCCTCGCTACACATGGTCTCTTCCATGTCACACACCCACGACATCAAGTCTCTCACCTGAATAACGAGTATAAATTCATTGCATTCCTAAATTATGACCTCAGCATTGATAAGTATGAGAAAACAAACAATGCACAATGCACCCACGTCTAAGGACTGTAGTGGGAATTGTAGGAAATACATATGGAACTATGAACATGAGCACTATTTATGAACTTTGACACCCAGAAATTGCAAAGGCAAAAGGGGAGAGGATTCAAACTAAACAGCATTGTAACTATGTGCATCAAAGTAACTCACAACCATGTTTGCACGCATGTAATACGTCCTACTGCACCTACAGAGCTGAGTAGTTTCTGTAGTTCGAGAGCAGCTCTGAGCTTTTTTTGTGAGCAGATGAGGCCGCCTGTAGGGAGTCACATGCCAGTTGAATCTCTTCCATACTGGTAGCCACCACTGAGACGCTGGCTCCAGAGTAGCTAGTGGTGAGACGAATACACTCCTGTGTTCAACTCCTTCACCTAGAGAGATACATGAAATGGTGTCAGAAGGCAAGTGGATTAAATGAGCACAGACATTAAAGCTGCCCTGGGTGGGACTCAAACCCATGGAACTCTGCTCTCTAGCAGAAAATTCGAACACCAAAATCCTAGCCAAAACAGAACTTAATTAGCTCTAATATGAATATAATAGTGAACAACTTTCATACTCCCTCTAAAGGTACCAAGGCAGCTTAGCAGGCCAAGGTCAAAGGCAACTAAACAGGCTTCTGGAACTCCTCCAACTGCTGAGCAAACTTGGGGAATCCACTGGCCACATTCATGTCCATTTCTGGCTTCTGAAAGGAAGAGCTCTTGATGTCGGGAACAAATGCCTCTGAGACACTGGCTCCTGGGTTTTTCTGGTTGATGAGTGTGAAGCGAACCGATTGCTTGAATGCCAGGGGAGAAGGTTGTCATGTTCCGAACGCATGATAACGAAAAACATGGGAAATCATGTGTGCCTTTGCCGATTCCGTCTCCATTGAGGTAGGTACGGATGCACATTCGGTAGCCGTGAGGACTGGTGTAAAACGGAGGAGAATAAAGACTGATGGTACGTCGATCGACAGCATCTCGGTATCTCCTCCGGAGATCAGGGAATCTTCCAAATCAATACTCCGTTGGTGACCTTGACATCTAGTATATCCTGCCGTAGACGAACCTCGTCAATTGCTATCGAATGCTGTGTTAGGTTGCTCTGCACTGTCTGCAGTGTTTCGCTCATTTTCATGAGTCGAGTCTCCTGTGATCGTATTTCCTCTCTCATTCCTCTGTCACATGCCACAGGAAATTCCTCACATTCCAAGAAACGGGTCTGTAATTTTTGACACATGTGACACAAGGAATACTGGCCACATTCATGGCACTTTCAGGTTTCTGAAAAGAAGAGCTCTTGACGTCGGGAACAAGATGCTGGCTTCTGGGTTCTTCTGGTTGATGAGTGTGAAGCGAACCGCTGCTTGAAAGGCCAGGGGAGAAGATTGTCGTGCTCCGAGCGCATGATGACGAAAAACATGGAAATATGTGTGCCTTTGCCCATTCCATCTCCGTTGAGGTAGGTACGGATGCACATTCGGTAGCCGTGAGGACTGGTGTAAAACGGAGGAGAATAGAGACTGATGGTACGTCGATCGACAGCATCTCGGTATCTCCTCCTAAGTCCTGGAATCTTTCGATCAAGGTGAAAGACATGTCTGTTGTAGAGACAACACTTACTATTGACTGTTGTGCTAATACAAGGGAGCAGACCAGGGTATACAAGTAAACCTCCAAGATCCAAATTAATAATAGATGCATGTGTCTACACAGGGGAAGTGCATGGATTTGAGTCAGAAGTGTTTGTGGTGTTTGCAGCAAGCACATCAGATTATAGAAACATCGGGGACAAGACAAAGGTCAGGTGGAAAGTGTGTGGGGGGACTCTTTTGCTTGTACTGAAGGCTTTTGATTGAACGTACTGTGTCAGATAGAAAGGGATTGTGGGGGGTGTTGCCCAATATCAGATAGAAAGCAGAATATTGTGGGGGTGTTGTGCACTATAGGCAATGTCAGATTCAAAATGGGAGGGGAAGGAATGGAAAGTCAGTGTGTATAGTGGTTGGTGCCTGTACTAGCAGTTTTAAGGAATGTTGAATAAGGGGTAATGTGTGATGGAACTAGGGGTACATCCCTAGATGGAACCCAGACTAAAGATGGGATTAAAGCAAGCCTTATTGTAACAGTGCAGGACAATTAGTGATGCTGTGAGATAAGTAGTTACAGAGTGTCTAATTTGCAGAAGGGAGGGCTGAGGAATTACCATGTGTAACAATGTAGGGATGCATTAGTGATCAGTAAGCTGAAGGGAGTGCTTTGGGGTTGAGGGAGGTGGTAGGCAGGGCTTATGTACAAACACTTCCCATCAACTCAGGATATCCACAAGCCTGTGTTATACTAATGTACCTTGTTCCCCAGAGCAAAAACCTCTCTCTCAAAAGTCTCATGCTTTCTCTGCAACACTTGAACAGTGGCAACACTTTTCCCCAAGTCATCGTGAGGAATAGAGCCCTCCTTATCCTGAGTGGGAGTATAATAAAAGGCAGGGTAAACACACACTTAATCTAGCATCTTTGGATGTATATACAGATCAGGACAAGAAAGATGAAAAAATGATGAAATAGATACTAGCATGTGACCCCAAAATGTCAGTAGCTGTTGTTTACAGGCAAGAGTGGCATTGAGTAAAAGGTGACAATGTTGATATTTTGCCATGTGACCTCAAAATGTTGTTGTTTACATGACCTCTCTCAGAATACATCCAATGAATTCGATTAACTAATGAATTCGATTCAAATTTCACCTTTACTCTTCCGAGGATTTCTCCAGCATCACGATTGAACCGGTGGATTTCATGATAGTGAGCTAGCTTCTTCTCCCGAAACTGGATCATCTCCTGCAGCTTGTTCCAGCCCGACCTGTTGGCAAAATAGAGCTTAACATGTGTATTATACTAGGCAAATGTTTTTTGCTGAGTAGTCAGACAAATAGCTAACACTTAACCAGCCGCAGACACATAAATGTCTCCAGAGCCTCCAGAAGTCCATAAGAATTTACATGGGGGTTATAATACTAGGTGCTAATACTTTATACATCAATTTCTGCTTATTTAGACAGATCCCCACGGCACCCAAAGGGCTAATTGAGTAATTGTCCACTTCTTGTTTGATCCTGACCTCGTAGTGTCCTGCTTCTCTTTGATGAGGACCGTGTCAGAGTGGCCTTCAGCCACTAGCCTCCTGGCAAGACCATTGGCCGCTGTGTAGCGTTCCATACCAGCATTGACATCGCGTTTGAACTCTTCAAACTTCTTTTGCAATACCTGCATACAAAGTTTGACAACACAACTTGTCTATTTTCTCAGGCACCTAATGGTACTGCTTCGTCCCCAGAGCATGAGGCATAATACGTATTATAGTGATTATCAACACAGAGCTCCCCCACTCTTTGTTTATGTGACTTTTGTGGACAAACCATCTTTTAGTTCCACATGACTCAAGATCAGAACTATACACAGAGCTCCCCCACTCTTTGTTATGTGGCTTTTGTGGGTTGTGGTGGGCAAACCATCTTTTAGTTCCACATCAAGAACAGAACTATACTTACCAGGAGGTGGTCAAAATCCTTCCCATATTCTTCGGCAGAAGCCACACTCTGTTTCTCCCTAACCCAAGACATGACCTCGTCAACGTCTCTAATGTACTGGTGTAGCTGAATCGATTCCTCTAGTTTGGAGCGTCGTGCCGCTGTCAGGGTTTGCAGGCCAGCTAGCTGCTCATCCACTTGGGCCTGAAGGTGTATAATTTGAGGCATTACTGCATCTTTGTGTGTGGTCAAAAATCATGAATAGCAAGGAGGAATTTTATTCACACGACTGAGCACATGGTAAACACATGCAAGTCCAAGCAATATGTCCCCCTCAAAAAGTAGCTAATACCTTGTGCATACCTGTCTTAAGGTGTATACAGTTCATAAAATATTATTATGTGAGGCATTACTGCATCTCTGTGTGTGGTCAAAAATCATGAATAGTAAGGAGGAATTTTATGCATGACTGAGCACATGGTAAACACATGCAAGTTCAAGCAATATGTCCCCCTCAATACCATTATTGTAGTAGCTAATACTTTGTGCATATATACCTGTCTTGCAGTGATGTTGGTCGAGTCAAAGTGGTCAGCCATGACTAGTCTCTTGGACTCTTGCTCCAGATCCTCCACTACCACCACATACCCTTCAACATCCTCCTCCAGTGTCTACATACGTAGTATAACATATAGTAATCGGGGGAAGGAGGGCTTGTTAGCTCACAGATCCATTGTTTAGCACACAGATTCATTGTTTATCTCAATGGACATGTAAAAAATGTCAATTGGCGAGCAAACATAGTTATCTGAATCACATTTTTTAAATAGGTGTACTGTTAACAGGCCCATGTGCCGCATGCATGTACACACATGCACACAAAACTCTTGTTGCATTCATTCATGTTGTACAATAATGGACCGATGTGTGTATTCCACCATACCAGGGAATATGTAACCCACTTACTTACATTGCTGTAAGCTTTCAGTAGACAATAGGCATACATGTACTCGTACACTATGTGAATAAAAACAGTACACAGAGTTGTACTGACTGTCGTATCTTTTTGCCCTACGTTGTAGCTGTTGGCTTTGCCAGTGCTGTTTACATGAGTATGTATGTAAGAATTGTTGTTTGCTTGACAGTGAATGTGTTACATAGTAGAGAAGCTTGTGTTTCTTGAGGGCCTTTACGGCTGCATCTTCATCTCGTCCATAATCCTGGTTTGCAGCCACTCCTGCCTTGTCGTTCATCCAGGCATCAGCTTCATTGGCAGCTTGATAGTACTGTTTAAAAACCAGAAAAAACACTCACATCCTACATATACAGTACAAGAAACCAACACAAGACCCCTCGCACCCTACATATACAGTACTTGTGGAATGTACCCTAGCCGTGCTCAACGTACACTGCTTTGTGCATGTGCATGGAAGGGTGTGCAGTCAAACAAAAAGGTCAAAGCAAAAGCAAACAGCACAAAAACAGACAATGAACCCACAACACTCTGCTGCACTGTAGGCGGGTGCAGCAGAGTGTTGTGTTCACTGTCTGTTTTTGTGCTGTTTGCTTTTGCTTTGACCTTTGTTGTTTGACAGACAATGAACCCACAACACTCTGCTGCACTATAGGCGGGTGCTCTACCAGGAGCTACCAGGGCAACTCAGCAGGTTGTGGTTCAAATCTACACTATAATGACGAACCTTTTGTGCCTCTAGGGCATCACTGAGTTTCTGTGTCCTCCTCCCAGACATCCCAACTTGAGCTCCCTCCACTGTCTCTGCAGACTGGCCATCTGCTGGGAGATGTCCTCTGCTGCGAAATGATCCGAGTCCACCAGCTCCTGTGCTTTCCTCTCCACTGACTGTATACTGGCCTCATAGCTGGACACTTCTTTCAACAGGGCCTGTGGGGTTTTAATGAGTAACGGGGAGTGAATAGGAAATAATACACGAACATAGTACACACAAAAGGATTAGAGCAACTGAGAATATTTTGCTTACTAGCTGAATGTTAAGGGTGTGTTGACAAGAGGTTAAAATAGGGAGTATGGGAATGAAATGAGACCAATGTCGATTGTAGGGACTTAACATAATGCCATAGCACGGCTGTGAATGTACATGAAGTGCACGTGACATGATAAAAGAGGAAGGGGAAGCCCATGAACCCGTAGGTGTAATGTCGGCTTTAAAACTAAAATGTGAGACAAGCAATGCGCATATGAAGCTAGGGTGCAGTAAACAGAAACAGTATTTGTGGGAATACACCGCCTGGTCAATGCAACCAACAACACAAACACAACAGGTCTTCGTGCAATGTGTGGTGTTGCCTTTCTCAAATGCTTACCTATGTATTGACAAGGGGAAAGTGACCTACTCACTGCACAGTGTACAAGCATGCACAATAGCATACATACTCAGGTCTCCATTATCAATGCATGGTATCTATTGATCTGGTGATGCTTTGTTCCCACAAGCGCCTGGGTATACACTGTATATACAAGCTTGTTTTGGCACGTCTTTGTACATTCACCATATATGCACCTGGTGTTTCTTTTGGAGGTTTTGCACGCCGGTAAGGCTCTTGCCATAGTCGGGTGAGTCTGCCAGGGACTTGTGCTCCTTCACCCACTGCAGCTCTCCCTCTATCTCTCTGTAGAACTGCTGGAGCTTCAGGGAGTCCTCCAGTTGCTGCCGTCGCTCTGACGCAGGCTCAAGAAGCCTCGAGAACCTGAGGAAACAATTGAGACCCATAATTGCCTTTATAGTGTGTACATAGGTTGGGGTGTCATATCACACAATTCAGCGACACACAAGAGAAAACATTTTCAATGTCCAATCACTGCACAAAGTGAAGGCATGTGTGTCCATATATGTAAAAGCTCTACATGTGTACAATATTAGATTTGGTGTCGTTTGTTCCCATGGTTATGCTGACTTATACTACAGGGTAAGTAGGATTCCATGTTGGGTTCAATTTATAGTGGCTTTGTGTAGGATGTTTCCTACAGCTGACCAATTTGTTTCCTAACAAATGTGGCAATCAGGTGCAAATGTATGTAGGTGTAGCTACAAGTAAACAGTTCAGGGTTACATCACATACAGTGGTTCTTCATGGTTCTTAGTGTTTTAATGCTCCCCATTTTCCAGTATTCTGACACAAACTGACATCATCACATGGCTACTGTTTATGAGCAGGTGCCATACTAAGTGAGAGATTACTGTGTCATAGGAGTGTGACGCTAACTTTGTCATGCATGCAAGGTGTTCTAGATTTGAGCCCCAGCTTGCTGAGGTGCCCTGGTAGCTATAATAAAGCTCAGAGGGTAGCTACAGCACTCTTCTAGAGCAAATTCCATCCACAGTAGCTCCTTTTCTCTTGAAAACAATGTTTCCTTGTGTGTTGGCCTTTGCTCTGCCTTACAACCTCGTTGTTGTGTAATGCACCATTGCAGGTACATGGATACTGTACACAAAGTATTTGCTGACCTGTCATTCACTTCCTTGATTTTCTTCTGGATGCTAAGACTCTCGAAATGGTGTTGATCCACCAGTTCCTGTGCCTTCTGCCTCAAAGCGGTGAGCTGCTCCTGATGTAGGGCTAGGTCAGTTTCCAGTTGCTGGGAAGAGGCAACAGAGCCTAAAAGACAACCTCAGACCATCATTGCCCACAATATTTTTTGAAAAAAGGCCCATTTTTGCCACCATCAAAGTTTGTGGATTGCGGTCCACCATGTTGAGAGCGTAGCAAACAGGGCTGGATTCAAACGTGCAGATCATGTGATTCATGATAATACGCCTATGTAAACTACACATACCGTGCGGTTTTTAATCTATACTACAACTATGCTGGAGTAAAAGGGTTAAAACTTGGGTGTGGCACTACATTTTTGGCTGTAGAAGGGGTTAAAATTACATGGCAGTAACACAGTACACCCATGTAGTAGCTACTATACATACACCTCTAAAGTAGTCATGTCCTTGTACAGGTAGCTAATGACAGCTGTGCAGGGCTGCTTGCTATCAATAAGTATAGCGTATTATAGCTACCTACTTTTCACTGATTTGTACATGTGCACACTCCCCATAGTTACAACACACCTGGTGGATTTTGAGCAAGAAGCGCACACTCTGAAGGTCTCTTCCGATGTCATCATTGCAGAGAAGGGTGTCTGCTTCCCTGCACCACACCAGCTCGTCCTCTGATGCTCTCAGGAACCTCTGCAATTCCCACGCCTCTTTCAGTCGCTTTCCTGTGAGGTAACAGTATTCAGAAGTATAGATAGAGGAAGGCCGGAAGAAGCTATGGTGGCGAGCTAGAAATCTACAAACTATGTTGGACTTCCCATGCAACCAATCCTGTACACATGATCCATCGTTGTCCCTTTGCCTTGCCTTGCAACCTCGTTGTTCAGGGGGGAAAGAGCTTGCTATAACTGTATTAATGTCATGAGCTAGAGTGAGCTGTTGTATGTAGCAATTTCCAAAGGTCTCTACTGTGACTCTACCCTATGAGTCGGACCTTTCTCGGCAGAAGCAGAGGTGAGTTGCTCCCACTCTTCACTGAGTGTGTGGATCCTCTCTCTGATCTCCTCACTGTTGTAATGCTCCCTTGACACCAGGTCATTCCCAGTCTGTGCAATCAAACCATTAACAAACATTCACACTTGTATACAGGGACGGCGTCCTTTTAAGCTAAGAACTAAAAATGATTAAAGTGAGTTGTTTCAGGTTGCTAAGCTTTTATGTTTTAATATCAAAGCAACTTTGACAGCAGGTGATGAGCACCTATACTAATGGCCGTGAGTGCCTATTAGTGTTTATGCGCCTACATTACTCATGAGTTTATCTCCAGTACCTTGCAAACAGAGTCGACTCTGTCCTTGTTTGACGAACGCTCTGCTTCAAACGCTTGGTGCTTCTGCAGCTTGCTCTGTAGGTTCGTTGGATCTCTGTAGCTCTCGTCCGTTGCAACCGTCAGCTTCTCATGAATCCAGTCTCCAACCTTCAGAATGATAATACAGTGCAATTAACTCTCAACGTTCAGAAAGTGTCCTTATTAGTGAGGTGTCCTTATTTGGAGGGTTGAACTGCATGTCACGTCAACAAGGTATCAAGGCAAAGCAAACAAGTCAACTGCACCCAGGACAACTCCTTAGAGTGGGGTCCACTCACTGTCGAACTTTAAAGGAGGGTATATACACGTACAGAATCCTGTTAATGTATATATGACTGTGCTATGTGGACAGTTACCTCATTTGCATCCCTTCTGAAGTTCTGCCAGGCAAGAGAGTCCTGCAGCTTCCCAGCTCTGGCCGAAGAGACTGTCTTTAGCTTTTGTCGACGACCAATGACTACATCGCGACGCTCTGCTACCCTGAAATTCCATTAAAACATATACAACACCACTTTAAATCGCAATCACACGAATCATAGTCAACCAATGAGTTGAGAGAATGCTAAATGGTCAATTACTACATAATGGATGCCGTTTGTTGGAGCTGATACATTTTGTACTTAGCACACAGTTAGTACCATAGCAATGGTATCATGGTATGACCGAACCTGGCAGTGGCATAGTGTCCCGCATGAATGAGTCTGTTAGCCTGATCAGACAAGGCCCTCGTCCTCTCCTCGTGTGACACTGACGTCCCTTCAAAATCAGAGTGCTTCTTGATCAGCGCTTCGACACTGTCGACTGACGTCTGCATGTAGTTATACACACATTAAGACCATTTATGACAAGGAAAACATTTTTGGGCGTAGTTACTTCCATGTGTGGGCACATCATGCTATCCTTAGTACCTGTTTGTATTTATAGACATAAACAGCTCAGCAAACGAGGGCTTAAACAACTGTAAAATTCCAGGTAAAAGTGTACATAAACACGTCACTTTAACTGCATACATGAACCAATGCTACATGGCTCTTCACTGCTTACTTCCTAATACATTCACACTCCTTACTATGTAGTATGTATGTACTTGCTTATACTTCTACTGTGTGATAAACAGCAGAGCTAAACTTACTCCCAGATCATCGTTGGAGAGAAAGCTTCCTCCGCTCCAGTTGCAGCTTCTATCTGCTCACAGTCCCTCTGAAACAACTAGTGACAAACATATACATACACTGTCATTATGAACCACATGTACATAGCTATAGCTACCTTGAAAGTTTTTGTGGCCCTTTATGCAAACATTTGATTTACTTTCACATTTGAGGTAAACAAGCATTTTACACCACCTACCTATGTAGAGCCGGCTGATTGCACATTGCGCAACAGTAACATTACCTCATCCAATGCTAGTATACTTCCCACACTGTACATAGCTAAACAAGTATGTGGATATACCTGTAGCTCACAGCACTGCTTGAGTTTCCTGTTTCTCTTCTCCCACACTTCCCTCAGTGCCTGTCTCTCTGTCATCAGATGCTGTGCCCTCTCCTGAACCTCCTCTTCCCCTCCTCCTCCTCCCCCTCCTCCTAATGTGGCCCTGCCTCTTGATGGTGACAGCTGCTTTGCCAGGGAAGCCAAGTGGTCAAACCTTTCAGTGAAGATTACAGAGGAAGATATAAGGTTTGGCTAAGGAGGGGTTTAGATAAGAAGGGGGACTGAGGTAGGAAAAGGTGGGATTAGGGAGGGTTATAGATAAGGAAGGAGGGATTGAGGTGGGACTTAGATAAGAAAGGGAAGAGGGAGGGCTTAGGAAGGGCTTTAGATAAGGAAGGAGGGATTGAGGTGGGACTTAGATAAGAAGGGGAAGAGGGAGGGCTTAGGAAGGGCTTTAGATAAGGAAGGAGGGATTGAGGTGGGACTTAGATAAGAAAGGGAAGAGGGAGGGCTTAGGAAGGGCTTTAGATAAGGAAGGAGTGATTGAGGTGGGTCTTAGATAAGAAGGGGAGGGATTGAGCTAAGAGAGGGAGGGCTTAGGAAGGGCTTTAGATAAGGAAGGGTGGGATTAAGGTAAGAAGGGGAGGATTTGTAGAGGCTTAGAAGTGGCAAGGAATAGAACAAGGCAGATAGATTAGTGTTGTTACAACCCAGTCACCAATCTACTTAGCACTGAGTGACTCAGGTGCATACTTCTCATTCTTGGCATCAATCTCGGCCCTAATCTCCTGGTTTCTCTCCATCATCTCCTCTGCTCCAGGTACGTCTTTAGCCAGATCATCTGACGACAGTACAGACACAGTCTCAGACGCCCAGGTCAGCTGGAGGGAGGGGTTAAACACACAGTGAGGATTAACCACATGACATAGGGACGGAAGTACAGAGGGTGTATTCGAAGGAGTATATAGTTAGCTAAGGGTCCATTTTGCAAGATGAATTGGCAGGGCAACTTAATGAGTAATACGCCCTATAATATAAGTAATATTACATATGGCTTACAAGTTCCTTGGAGTTTGCCAGGAAGGTTTGTAGAAGAAAGGCGTTTTCGAGTTGTACTTTCCTGCTCGCTGCTTTACCCTGCAAGCATGTGGCATTGTGAGCACTAGGAAGACCATATGAGCATAATGTTAACCCTTTACCTTCAGATTCTCCCAGAGTGCGGTAATCTCACTCTGTCTGTCACGGACGGCCTTGGCCTCTGAGGGGTTGGCGGAAGCCACCTGTCGTGCCGTGCCAGTGAGTGTGTGGAGTCGTTCCTCTACCGGAGCTAACTCCCTCTCCAGAGCCTGTGTAGGTTACATTAGGGTGTACAAAGGGGGTTCAAGGTTTCAGTACCAAGATGAGGCTCCTCTTGCAGGGATAAGTGACCTATCTATGCTCGTTTTCCTGCTTATTTCTGTTCACAATACGATGGTGTAACTTGCTATGTGATGTGATTTGAAGCCGTGCAACACATTACAGAGGGACGTGGCATGATTCAGTTGCACAGCAAGGCCACAAACATCCTGCAACTTCGCATCAGTTATGCTCACCATGTGCTTTCTCTGGAGAGCCTGCACTGAGGGAAGATCTCGACCACAGTCCTCGGTGGACAGAGTCTGGTCCTTTTCATTGATCCACGACAGTGTCTCGTCACACAACTGCTGAAACTGCAGCATGCTACGTGGACGGTATTTACCAAAGTTTCACACACGATACACAGCTATGGTTCTTGAGAGTGGTAGAGGTTTGTACCTTTGTGCTTGAGCAAGCAGTTGCTCCTTGGTCTGTTTCAGCTTCTGAAGTTTCTCCCACCTTTAGTCAGAGACGTAACAAGACAGCAAATATCACAGCAATGTTCTGTGTCAACTCTTACAAGGAGCTAATATAGCTAGTTGTACCTCTGTTTGAGCTGTAGCTGCCTGGTTTGTATGTCTCTCGCTCGCGAGTGCCCCACCTTCACCATCTTCTCTGCCTCGCTATGTATGTCCCTCACTCTACCACTTGTGGCTGCCAGGTCAGTCACAAACGTCTGAATGTATTATACGCATGTGTGATAAACGCAGAGTGTTTTGTGCACATTATGAGCTCACGTCAAACTTCTTCTGCATGGCCTCCACCCTCTCTTTGTGACTTCCTTTCTCCTCTGCTCCCATTATTGCCTCCTATTACATCATGTATGACAACAGTAATACGTACATGATTCACTGTACTAGCACTATCTATAGATCATTCAGTGGACCTTTTCAGTGATCCAGCTTTCGACGTCATCGCACTCTCGGAACAGTCCAAACTGCTTCACACTGTCTTCCAGCCTCTTGCAGCGAGCCTACAGACACAACAATAACATGCTCAACAAACCCTTATAGCTAGTTACTCTAAATGTACCTCGGAAGTTTGAACAAGCTTATCATAGGCACCGTTGATAGCCTGCTGCCTCCCGGGCACACTCTGAGTGTCCGACTTGCCACCACCGAACCCTGCACGAGTTTATTTCTCAATACTGTAGCATAGACATAAGCTCACCTGGACCAGTTCTTCTGCCGATTGCAGGTCTTTTGGCTCCAGATCGCCTCCCGCCAATTCTTCTTTTCTCCATCCTCTTTCTCTTCACCTATAAACACAACACATGGTAAACCATCACAATATTGGTTTTAGGGATTGCTTTAGGCGGTAGTATTTACCTTTACAGGGACAGACACCATCTCCTTTCTCTTGACTGTCTTTGTTGTTTTCAGGGGGTCCACCTCCTTCACATAGTTGGCTGGAACAAATCCTTCCTGTCCATTCTGCCGTCTGTGTATACAAACATATGTACCATGTGTCATCAACGAGGTCAAAGCAAATGAAACACAATACACCTAGAACAATTCTTTTTTTCTAAGGAAAAAGAGCTGCCCTGGTGGGATTCGAACCATGACACTCTACGTCTAGGTATATACTCTAAGCAAGTGCCCTACCAGCTGAGCTACCGGGACAACTCAGCAGGTGCAGCTTCAAATCCACAGCACAATACAATGCAAGACAGAGGAACTGCGCTATGGCACACCAATACTGTCACTGCCATTATGTAATATCATGTATGATAGCAAACATAGACCAGAAGTAATGCAAAAGTACGACTTTGTATGTCTCTCTCATGAGAGAAATGTGTGTTCTGTTGTACTCATAGTTACTCTGCACGGTGTTGTACAGCTAGCTAAGAAACTGTCATTGCTCCTCACAGTGAGTTAACTTCTCAATGCTTTACACTACATCTTCCTCTCACATACCTGACAGCCCACCAGTCTTTGTTTTTCTTTGAGGCGAGGATAAAGATCTCTCCCTTGGAGAACCCCATGCCCTGTCCCTGGTAGCGGTAGAGGGTCTTCACTTGAGGAATGGCCACCTCTTCCTCAACCTCCCTCTCCATCTCCCTCGTCTCAAACTCTTCGCTCTCATACTCCACCTAATTGGCAGGGACATACTCCTCGTTCAACGCCACTGGTGTGTACATACCTCATACTCTTCTTCTTCCACTGGTTCCTCATCAACTGGACTGATAGATCGCTCCTGCAGTGCAAGCAACTCTCCATGAAGTCAAAGCTTATGATGACACTCTCCATAATTATCTACATACTTAATGAATGATTCTTTACACCAAAGTAAAGTATCAAGGGAATTAGTATATAAAACTACCTGATTCAGGCATGTAACGCCACATTATGTCTTCTTCGTACTATAATATTATACTAAAGTCTATGTGTATTAAGGCAGTACAATCTATAACATCTTCCTCTCATGCTACTAAAGTCTATATCATGTCACATACGTAGTGAGGTGTAGTGGTTGTTGAGCCCTCAATGACCTTCCGACTGAGTTCCTTGAGCCTGTCAATCTCAGAGCTGTAGAGTCGTATCTCATTCTCTGCACTCTCGTGGCTCTTCAGCAGACTCTGTGTAGTCCGTAAACCACACACACACTACTTCACAAACTACAAAAAAGCTCACAGAAACTAACGCTACAAGCGAGTGTATTTAGCAACAGTGGAGCATGCACAATGCTTTTGTACTTAGGGTACGCGTACTGTCGGTACTGCTCAATGTAGCACTATTCTATTGAGCTTCCCACGTATGATGTCAAATACCACTCCAATTATAGTAAGGTCATACCTTTGATGAGGCATCATCACGCCCATAGTTTTGGCTGGAGACGAGCGGCTCCTTCTCTTTTAGCCAAGCCTCAACCTCGTTGGCATCGGAGTAGTACTACATTTCAACACACACAGAGACGATAATAGTGTACTAGCTTTTTGATCTCAATGTTTGGTAGCTAGTATTAAGGACCTGTTGTGCCTGTGCGGCGTCTCCGAGTCTGGCTTTCCTGCTGGTGGTCATTTCCCCGAGCTTCCTCCAGCGGTCTTGGAGAGTGGACACCCTGTGACCGATGGTCTTGGAGGAAAGCTGTCCCCCAGACTTGAGCTTTGCCCCATCCTTACACACTGCCTCAAAATGTGGCTGGTGCCCTATGTATGAGGAATTAGGTAAAGTTAACATTGTTTATGGCACACTACTTAGAACGTTAAGAACTAAAATTACCTACTGCGACATCTTAGATGTGACTGCACCACACAAAAATTCACGATGATTCACTTCTCTATCACAGAATTAGCGCTTTTGCCAAGTGTTCCTTGTGCATTTCGTATGTACTAAGCATGGCACCATCTGTTGTCCTCTTTCTATGTAGCATGAGATTTTCTATATACCTTGTATCTCGGCCTCGAGTGCCTGGTGTTTCTGCTGCAGAGCTACCACTCCAGAGTGGTCCTTGCCGTAGTCGGTGGAGCTGGCCTGAGGCTCCCTCTCTCGTATCCACGCCTCCTCTTCATCCACTTGCAGGAAGAACTCCTGTACTCTTAGACTCTCCTGCAACATTACCAGCGGTTGTAATACATGGAGTAGCTGTAGCAGAACTTTGATTTTATACAAACTGGTACAGAGCAGGACACGTCCTGTTTTACATAATGGCATAATAGCAGAACCTCATTTTACTTTTGAACTTTCTTTATGCAGAGGTGGACTGGGATCGAAAAGAGCATCATTCAGAGCCTCAATTATAATGTAGTACTATGTGTTGCAAGCACATGTGGAGTACCTGAAGTCTGTCTTTCCTAGTGGCAGAGAAAGTGTGAAGTCGCTGGGAAGCTTCGTCCAAGTCTCGACTGCGAGCCACTATCTTGGCACTATCAGGATGTTTCTCATCGACAAACTTCCGCGACTGAGTCTGAAATACAAAGATCCCAGAAGGCTCTTATGCAACGAGGACTATTCATACATTTTAGAAGCTTTTCACATGACTATTAGCTATGCCTCAAGAATTTTTATCAGCATGCTTCCATGATACATTATTATAAATTGTACATTAGCTTACTAGCAACCGTTTTTATACAGGCAATGTGTTCACCTCACATAAAGTAATCTCACCTTGAGTGCTTTAGCCCTGTCAGTCTGTGTGGTAATGTCAGCCTCAGTGAGGGAGTACTTCTGCAGTAGGTCCTGGACTCCCAGTAGATGCTTCCCATAGTCTTCTGACTTGAGAGACACCTGGGATGGAGTTTGTATAAAGATTGGTAGGTGATAGTTGAGCTTGTAGATGAGGATGATTGAAGATCATGTATAGGATTAACACAGGTGATGAGTTAAGAAAAAAGAATCGATTTCTGTTGAGAGTCAAACTTAAAGGGAGGGAAGGGGAAAACGAGCCGAGTTGTAGCTCTGTTCATTGTACACTGGACTTCCAATCACGGCGAGTTTGACTCCCAACCGAAATAGGTTCCTTCGCTTTCTCTCCTGTCCTGTGTAGTTAGTTCCTACCATTCCTCAATCACACTATAATGTGTTCTGTGTTTGTTTTGCACCTCAATCTGAGCCATAGTTGCAAGGCAGTCGCTCATCTCTGAGAAGACAGACATGAGGTCGTGGTAGCAAGAGAGGGTGCTTTTGCATGCTTCCAGTGCTGCCAGAAGATCGCTCCACTTCCTCTCTATCACCCCTTGCCTAAAAAGAGCAGTAATTTTCATCAGTTTAGCAGAGAAAGGCTAAGAAGCTACAGTTGTATATATACCTGCTCTGAATGGCAGGAGAGTCGTGGTATTTCTCTGTAGTCAGCTCTGCACACAAGTCCCTCACCACCTGAATCCTGGACTCCTGAAAGAAGTAACCCATTATGTTTCCTTAACACTATGTACCACAAGCATTGTGAAAGAGTATGGCCCCGGATTATAGCATGATTCTTATTTCTTCAACCCCATAATGAGATCAATCTCCTTCTGCAAGCACATTACTATGCATAGCATTAGGACTGTCTCTTACCCCAGCATGGACATCAGCACTGATGGCTTCGTGACGCTTGAGAGCAGCGTCCACAGCACTCTTGTCTTTCCCCTTGTCCAGTTCTTGCAGAACCTGTCCCATGTCACTGAGCCACGACTCCCGCAGAGCCGCCTTCCGGGCAAACTTCTCTGCCAACTGCAGTAACTTTTCTTGCCTGAAACAGAGATAGGGAGAGAAGTATGAGGGAGGGGGGAAGGTGAGACGAGAGTGCAAGGGTGAAGAACAGAGAAAGAAGAGAGGAACACACCGAGATGTTGAGCAATCAACTAGTCTAAGAGATTTTTACCTCATCAACTCTTTCCTTAGGGCTACCTCTCTCTCATGTTCTGCCGCCTCCAGCCTCACCCATGCCTGCAACATCACAATAAATATCTTCACATCTATTGCACTATTTTCTGCATGCCTTGTTGATGTCTGAGACGAGTTTTCCCTCAGGAGGGTACCACGTCTTCTGTCGGCTGGCCCTCAGCTTCATCTGAATGTTGAACAGTTGGATCTCCAGATTGCTACGCTCAGTATACCTAGAGTAAAGCAAGAGAAGTGTTTTGTTTGTTAAAGGAAAGTAAAGGAGATGCATAATAAGAAATGTTTTAGGTTTGTTGAAGGGGAAAGTATAGGAGATATGTACTAAGGGAAAAGTATAGGAGATGCATACTTTGGAGGCTTCTCCACAGTTCGGTATGTTTTGAAGTCGGTCATGAGCTGCTGCATCTCAGGAAGGGAGTTTGGGAAGGAGCGATTGCTAAGTCGAACAATTGTCTTCTCAATCCACTCGAGTAGTGCGGTTGTCATCTCGTCGTATTCAGTCTTCATGTTCTCAATCTCAACCATCAGCCCAATGATCTGTGTGTATATTTACTACCTATAAAACTGTGTAACAGTGTAATATGGAGGCCTATTCATGTAATCCTGTGTGTGGACTCTGTACTGTGCATGGGAGACACAACCAATGCACAAAAAGCCACGTGCACCACTCCGAGCACGAGTGAATGAATCCCTATACTATACTCTATCTTCTGTTTGTTGTGGCCTTGGTGGTGGTAATGCTGTGAGTATGGTGTTTGCTAACCTTGTTGAGCCTTCTACCTCCAGTCTCCTCAGCCTTCATCTTGGAGAAGTAGTGGTAGTAGGTGACCAGGTATGTCATGATTGACTTATCATCAGGCCGAGGCACATCCACATCTGCGAGGAATAGGTACCAAAAGACACACCCACTTTGACGGGACTACACGATACTAGTGTTTATTAAAATCCTGTACTAAATACACCTTTTCCCCGGCTAGTACAGCATTTAGCAGTAAAACATGCTTAGAAAAAGAGGTTGAGGACCTTCTGCATCCAGCAGCCTTGAAAGGCCAAGTTCTTTTTCTGCAACGTCAAATGCATTGTTGAGATTGTGTAGATGCTGAGATGGCCTTAGAGCACTGTAGTCGATCAGGTCAGGCCTGCAGTAGCGTACAGAAATACAGCATCAAGGGTTTTCACATTAGCGCGTGTGAGTTATTACTGCGCATGCTCATTAGGATCGCTACACACGCGCGGCGGCGCGGAGACTCGTGTTCCTTTAGAGCACCAGTTTTCAGCTTCTCTGTACGTGTGTGACAGCTTCGAAAATGTCTGCTCTGAATATCTTACTGCTGACTGTCGCCGTGTGTGTGCTGCTGCGTGTGGAAGCGCAGCTGGAGCCTCAGCGGAGAGCTCCGACGGTACTCCGGGACCAGTGCCTGTCCGAAGACGTCGTCGCGGAATACGCCGCGGACAACACGGACACTCTAGCCCGCATTGCACAGGGTATCGTCAACAGGACAAGTAAGCAACTTAGCTGGCGCCCATGCATTATTTTGAACTATACTTTGCATGTTGCAGGAGGTGTTGGCTGCTTGAATAGCATTTACATGCTGGCCTATACCGGTAGTTCGTCTCGCAATGCCGGCAGCAACCACCCGCACGACTTTGAAGTAAAGGGTGTCGGTCAGACGCGGTATATCACGCTGCCCGAGCGCCCGGGAGACTACGAGCGACACCAAGGAGACATATGGAAACTGGACATTATCGAGGACCTGGGATTTCTGCCAGGAACCTGTCTAAGGTCAGTTATTGTAGCGGCTTATCAGGTAGCTAAAGTTACTACAGGTGCGTCGTATAACGTAGTCCCAAAAACGAATACCCTCAACATAGTGAAATGATAAGAGGAAGGGGCTGTAGCTATATTGTAATAACTATGCACACGTTCAATTTTCAGGCTTTGCGGTGTTGAGTCTATGAGACTGGCTGAGGGAGGAAATGACGGTTGGCTGGTGGATTCTGTGGTCACTTTTGGCTGCATCAATGATGTCGGCTGTAGTTTGCTCACTATGGACATGGACGTGCTTCGCTGGATCGATGGAAACGGTGCTCCTGATAGTCGAGAATTTCCACTCACCCTGGCCACCCAGTCTTCATGTGTTTAGACACAAACTGTGCATCGTACCTAGTAAATGCTGTTTCAAGTGTGTAATGTTCAGAGTCATGTTAGTCTTCTTGCCATATGTAGCAAGTCAGAGAAGTTCACAGGCCTGTTCAGATCAAAAGTCCAAAATGCACGGCTGGCTATTTTATTGGCAACGTGCCCAGTTTGGTCCAGTCAGACTACATTCTACGCCCACGTTACACGTACACAGAGTGATCGGCGGCGTGCATGGCATGGTGCAGTGGCGTGCATGCATGGCGCGTGGGTCGTCATACGTACGTACCACGTAGGTCTGTCTCGCCCCCTGCGCGGCGCGCGCCTGCCCGCCCTTGGCATGCGCGCATTACGCAGAATTTGTTCTTGCGATCACGATGTCAGCTCTTGGTCTCGTCTGCTGGTGATTTTCGGGGCTCGCGCTGCGCGTGGAAGCGCAGCTAGAGCCGGAGCGAAGCTCGCCGACTATCGATATCCTGAGCAGCCAGTGCTTGCCGGAGGACTCGATCACCGATATAGACCGTACTTAGCTATACTTACTGTTTGTTTTAACAAGTACTAATATACCTGTGTTTATGTATCAGAGCGTTGAATGCCAGTCCACTTTTCCAACTGCTGCTAAAATTTTTCACACTCACTCCTGCGTATCTGAAATCATTACCAATAAGACTAGGATTATTACACAATAACGCCACAACCATATTCCATAATTGAAGTCTAATCTTCGCTTCAATGTTGTTTGATTTTCACCCGTACATGTTTTGTAAAGGCTCATAACAAGATGAAGAAGTCTTACCCATGAGTCTTTCTCTGACACCACAGCAGTAGAGCCTCTTTGGCTGACTTCATCTCACTGCTCTCATCCTCCAACTGAATGTCCTGAATCTGAAACCTGCACATTCCAGAGAAAAAGAAGTGTCATTTGTGAATTCAACTGCCTGTCAAGCTACAAGATTCGTTAAAGGAGCAGTTTAGTTTATCTTTGCGTGTGTTAATGCTTAGAACTAGAGCCTTACTAATAGTTAGCTACTCTTGTTGTAGGGTGAGAGGTGTCAGGCGAAAAAAGAGATAATTTCTTCAAAGTCCTTTGATACTATTTGACAATCACAATTAATGTTGCTATTCTGTTCACATGGATTTCAAATCCTCTTTTCCCAAGAGCCTTTTGTCTGGGTAAACTAACTGAATGTAAACCAATGTGTCGCGCTGTTGAATCACAGTAATGGAGTTTTGAATGCATGTTCACTACACGTGCACTCACTCACCCAGCCAACACTTGAAATGCATTAGAACAACCTAGCATGCATACTATCGCCCTTCTTGCCAGTACATGTGGTCCATAATAATAGTTTGTCATCCCAAATTGATGCAAGCATGCAGCGCAATCTAATGGAAGCACATATAACAACACCAAAGTAGGTATATATTTGTAGTGGAAATGTATAGCAGATCTAGAGACCGCAGACCTGAGAATAATGGTCCAGATTAGACCAAGGATGAGACGAGGGTTCCCATCCACAATGTCTTCTGCTCCAATATTCTCCAAATTCACCTAACATTACAGTAACATTATTTAATGCTAAATCCATCCGACAACTATTGACAAATAATAATTATGCTGACTACTATAACAAAATCTATATTCATTATTATTGGAAGATCAATGCATGAGGTATGAATCTCTATGATTGAACTGACTCACTTTTTTCTCCTGAAGGAAATGAATCGCTTTCCCGACATTCTCAATCTTGTTGATTCTCAGCCTCCCTCTGCCTGCATGACCAATCTTCTCTCCTGATAGAACCTGTAACCAATATCACAAAGTACGGTTTGCTATGATGATGATGACCCGAGTATAACGTTTGAAATATCAAAATCTTTATAAGACAAAGGTGATTATTAGGGGGGGAAAAATTACCCTTTGCAATCTAGAGTCTGTTGTTACTGAGTACAACGTTAGGGTTTCTGGCAATCCCCATATAAGCTTATACCATATATACAATCTACAGAACATGCACATAATATACTGACTTCAAGCAGTTTGATGAGCAGGCGACCATCACTGAGGTCGGTAAAAAGGTCCCCCACTCTGTGTCCAGCCTGTAATGACAGAAAAAGCATCAACAAAAAGCTAGCTGCCCCGCCCCTCTAACACAGCCACGCCCCCAGTTCTCGGGGTCTCTCTAGCTTGAGCCGTGTTTGCTACGCATCATACTCACGGGCCCCAGAAAGGAGTTCATCCATTTGGTGAACGTCTTCTTTTGGATCGTCTCACGCTCGTCCTGCAGTTTCTTGATTCGGCCTTGCTCGAACCCGTGCGCCGCCTGAGTGGCCATTGCAGTACGAGCCCCGCCCCTAAACTGCAGCAATCGCGATCTTGTTGTCCTTCCTTGGTCGTCTTGCACCCTGGATCAGCTGCCAACTTATCGTCAGGTTAACTGCAAGACACTTCTTCGATCCTCCCTCGATCGTCTGAAAGAAAAGCGTAACGCGCTAGCAGCACAATAGGCTAGCTAGCTTGCACTGCGAAAGGTAGGCGTATCTGATATTTTCGCAGCGCATGCGCAAAGGACACAACGGAGCTTCCGCTGAAAATCATATCACGAGATGAAAAAGTGTCATACAACATGGGAATGTTTAATTCTCCTTCTTCGACCTCCACCTTTAGTTCCGGTAGCATCACTGAGATTGTACCACTTGGGATAGTTGACAAAAAACAGCCGAACCATTTGCAGTCTTTTCATAAAGCTTGACTTTGCTCTTTGCCTGCATCAATAAAAGCATACAGTGGAACCACTTATAAAGGTCACTTCAACAAAGGGAAATAAAGGACACCTCTCTATAAAGAACGCTTGCTGGATGGTGTTAATACTTTTGTTAACTTAACCTATGGAAAATATGCACATTTCACTGTATAATCCATTTCCAGCCTTATTGTAAGCAATGAGATTGTATGTATGCAGTGAGACTATCACAAAACTCTCTAACCTCTCCTTCCGATATGCAGCTTGGCCAGTTGCATCAAAGTAAGTGGTCTCTCTTCGCGACACGTTCAGCAACTGATGACCAATGTTCTACAAGGAAACGATCAGACACAAAGCAAGGCCAGTATAATATACACAGTGGATAGCTAGTGAAAATGACTGTGCAAGCTTTAGGTATATAATCACTGCAACAGACCCTTTGTTTTTTGTACACATATTATATAGCACTGCTTTCGCAAAAATTGCTATCAAATGCCTATGCTACGATCTTTAGCGCTTACTATCACACTTCCTGTAGTGAAAGTATCTAGTGCTGCTTACTAAGGCAACAAATATCCCCGAGAGGAGGTTGCAGATCATGAGGTACAGCACCCACTGCTCTGACTCAAATGCAACCTGTAGAGATACACGGATTAGAGTTGTTCGATCATGCAGAGAGCTGTGATACGGAAATAAAAACTCACATGTGCCATTTCCAGGGGGCTAATGCTATCTGCCACCGTTGAAAAGCCTGCAATTAGTGATAGTACACAATCACATCTCACACAACAAATAGGCAAGTAAAAAGTGTAAACCCTCATGGGTAGTGTGGGAGGATTGGTAAATGGACAGCAAGTGCAACAAGAAAGAGTACACTATTCTATAGTCCAACTGTAGTCAAGTTTGTCTCTACTTCTTTTCCTGTGCCTACAAATTAGTGGGTGGATTGGGGGTTGGTAAAGACACAGTAAAAAATGGGAAGTAAGGATTGGTAAATCGAGATAGGGAGAGGTGCAGCGGATTACAGTATACTATTCCATAGTCCAACTATAGTAGAAGTATGGTTTGTCTCTACTTCTTTTCCTGTGCCTACAAAAAATGAAAAATAATTGACACCCTTAGTGGGCAGTATGTAAAGCGACAGTAAATTGAGGCAAGTAAGGATTGGTAAAGCGAGATAGAGTATACTATTCCATAGCCCAACTATAGTAAAAACATTAAGGGTAGACGGTTTGTCTCCGCTTCAATTCATGTGCCTACAAAAAATGCAAAATAATTTGACACCCTTTTAATACACAGTTGTAGTAAAGACCCTCCAAGCAATGAAGTCCTCTTTGGTTCTAATACATAATTGTATTACAGATAAGGGACGCTGGATATCTCTATACAAGGAAACTTTGAAGATTATTCATTCAGAGGTTCCACTGTATACAAGGCACTAACAAGACAGAGACTCTTTGACGAAGATGAAGTGGTCGAGAGCGAGGCTGAGGCAGAAGAGGAGAAAGAGGCGGTGGTTCTTGTAGGCCACGCAGCGGTAGAGCCACATGCAGTGGTGGTCAAAACCAGTGTAGCAGCCTTCGCACAGCTTACAGTGCTTTGTCCGCTCCGGAATCACAATCTGAGATAGAGATGGAAAATAGGAATCACAATCTGAGATAGAGATGGAAAATAGGAATCACAATCTGAGATAGAGATGGAAAATAGGAATCACAATCTGAGGTAGTGGAAAATAGGAATCACAATCTGAGATAGAGATGGAAAATAGAAGTATATTCAGAGGGAAGAGCTGAAGAAAAGCTATACGGTCAAAGATTTAGTAGTTCAAAGGAATGTGGAAGTGTAAATTTAGGAAACTGCTAGCCATGCCCTACTCCATCTTTGTTAATTGAAGGTAAGAAGAGACTCAAAAACCACACATACATACGAGTTTGTAAGGTTCACCTCACAGCTGGCACAGAAAGCGTAAGTGACAGGCCCCTCAAATGCAAAGTCACCCTGCCTGGCAATGTCCAGTATTGTCATTGGGTTTCCATCTTTGGCAATCTTCCCAACTTTCTCCAGCCCTGGGTCAGTACGACAGAACCTCCTGCTCAAATGAACAAGAGAAAATCGAGTGAAATCTCTAAAAAAGGACCCTCTGAATAAATCTTTAACCCTTCACAAGCCACGAGCATATATGTATATATATATTATATATATACATATATGCCCAGAGCCTCCATAAGTCCATAAGAATTTATGTGGTCAATTTCTGCTTATTTAAGGAGATACCCATGGCATCCAAAGGGTTTTAAAGAACACTTGCCCATGAAACATTAATAGACACCTTTGACTAAGGGACAATTTCAAAGTGCCCAAGGTGTCCATTAGTTAAAGGTTTAGCCTCACCAAAGAAGGTATAGAAGAACGATAGAGTTGACCATGGCAATACTGAAAGCTAGAACATTTCCCGGCCAAATTCGTGAAGTGTAGGTCAAGAATCAACACTGTAAATACAATTGTCTAAAACCCTCATGCTTGGACCTATGTATACAATTTGCCTTAGTTTCCATTAGTAAACATTTCACGCTAGATTGTAGTAAAGTCCTAATGAACAGTACATTTCACTAAAGTCCTAATGAACAGTACATATCACACTATATTGTAAACTCTTAATGAACAGTAACTGAAGTATTGAGAGGATATTAGGAAGAAGGGCAGCAAAGTAGCAGACACTGGTGTGGATCATTCCTGAAACGAGAGCACCGAAGAGAGCTGGATTCGGCCAGCGACAGTCGTGCGACAAACGGTGACCGTTGAGCGACCAAAAGAAACCGCCGGCTGCCAAAATGCCCAAAACCAGACCGAGTGGCTGGTAGACCTGTGCAAATAGAACAATTCCCAGTAGAAGGAAGGTCCCTGGTAGGAGGAAACTGAGTAGCCAAGAGAGTCGGGGAAGGAAGTGAAGATGAAGATGTGGGCTGGCAGACCAGGATGAGAGTTTCGAAGAAAGAGCTTTGTGCCTGGATCAAGAGAAGATGTTGGTACATATACACACTGTGAGCATTGTATACTTATCGGAATCTCTCTTACTAGTTGAAAAACATGCAAAAGGTAAACTAAAGCCATGATACATGATGTAACGTCATAGTGTGAGACAAAGTTGCATGCCACTGAAAATGTATGGGTATGATAGACCATCGGAACAAAGGAAGCATCCAACATTATTCCGTGGACCCATCATACCCCATACACAATTTGAAGTTTCATGAAACTTTGCCTCTAAGCCCATAAAAACATAATTGTATTTATACCTAGAGGTCTTCCCCATGCCTGCATGATCAGAAGCAGTGTAGCCGTTCTTGTCCTTCATCCCTGCCAACGATGGATCTCCTGCATTCTTCACCAGTATCCACGACAACAGCCTGTGATAAACACCACAGCAATAAAGTATCCGAACGTAACAACCGCAAGTATAATATACTACGAATGCAAGACAAGAGACTAATTAATTGTTGAAACTAACGGGCTTCCAAGTTTTGCAGCCACGTGGAGAGGTGTAGTTCCACGGTTGTTGACAGCCTTAGCATCTGCACGCTGGACAGAACACCATTACTTACGGCAGGGCAGTTAATCATTAAAGAGAACATGTCAGTACATAAGGGCTTAAGATGGAACAAGACACTAGGGTCTAGTGCAAAAATGGAATTAGTTGAGCCCTTAATTAAAAAGTTAAATACGGATGCTCGGGAATATTACCTTATGACGAAGAAGATACTTCACAGTCTCTGTGTTCCTATTGGTGACTGCTAAATGTAAGGGAGTGTTCCCACTGCATATAAAGCAAGTTATTATGACCTTTCGATAGTGTATATACATCCTGAGAAATAGCTTAATTGTAGTGTAGCTATCTATACCACTGCTTACTTGTTGTCAGTGCATTGAAATCCAAGACCTCTAGTCACTGAGAGATAGTGCAGAATATGCCTGAGAGAGACATACAATGAGGCTTGCACAATGTGAAGGTAGATTTACAGTGCTCCAATCTGTGCGGCGTAGTGCATGGCCGTTCTTCCGCTGTTGTCAGCCACCCTCACATCACAACCACACTCAACTAGAGCATGTACTGCATACAGACTTCCGTTCTTGAGTGTATTCAATGTGTGAAACAAGGAGAGAGGGAGGGAGAAATGGAAGGGAGAGGAGGAAGAGGTGTGCGTAGATGACAGAAAAGAAGGAGATGTTACTGTATAAAGGTGAACTGTACATTTTTCAAACATTAAAATGGTGGTAGGGTGAAAGAAAAAAGAGATGGAGAGAAAGAAGATAACCATTTGAGCAAGGTACTCTTTTCTGCGATTAAAAGTTGTACAGGTGTAGATTTCATTAGTTCAACATCTGAGGGGCTACCTGGCAAGCAATCAGAAAAGGGGTCTCCCCATTCTCTGCTCTATCCTCCAGAGAAGCACCGCGAGCCACCAGCAGTCGAATGAGTCGACTGTGACTCCGTCTCGCCGCTGCCTGGAGAGGAGTCAGCCCCGTGACCACGTTCACCGCTCGCAGACACTCTGGATTTGCCTCCACCACCTTCTCAACGACTCCCAGGTTTATGTCAGGTTGGAGAATAGCGTCGTGTATGGCCATAGAGTGGTAGGAGACAGAGGGAGACGAATGGGTCGTCTCTGACGCCATTTTACAGTTCCTGGGATCGAAAATGACTATAGTACAAAAGTCTTTAGCTACCTAGGTTAGCTCCACTGACTGGCGAAAAGTAGAAATTGGCTCCAGACCTTTCTCGCTGCAAAATTTAACCCTTTCTCAACCGCATTGATCTACACGTATGCGCATGCGTGCAGGACAAACATTTTACCGGACATGCAAGCCTCTCTCGACATTGAGAGTGCTGCTGAAGATGGACCTCTTTACGCGCTCTCTGTACCTGAGACTGGTGGAGGAGCCGAGATATGCCGACTATGCCGCGGTCGATGGTAACCTGAGCAACGCCACTGCCGTCAAGGAGTGCTCGTTGGCAGAGAAAGTAAACGCTGACAAGTCCATTCCAGGGATATTGGGAATGAACTTGGCCATATGGCTGGTGAGTTTTCGTGTTTGTTCGTGTTTGGGACCCGCTGTGGACGGTAGAGTGCGCCACTATGCCCTTATGTCCTTGTGCAACCACTATAATACTGATGTGTATCTACGTGTAGCTACTATATACCTGAAAAAAATTTTTCTTGTAGCAAATGGCACAGTCCTTTGAAATGCAGATATAACTATGACTATAGTGCTAGGACATTAATCCGCCTTCACTCTGCCTTTTCTGTGTATAAACTTATGTAAGGTTACGAAATCGAAAATGTGTACATCTGGGAATCTTGGGAAGAAATGCAAGCATATATAAAAACGGAAAGTTCACAGCTTCCAAACACCTAGGTCACCGGCTCCACACGCACAATATTGTTAGCGTTGTGTGTCCACCCTTATAATATGTAGATGTTCACAGTGTTACAAGAAACCATGGCTGCCGTGCATGTGATGTGTTGGACTACATTGCCTGCCAGTGTATAGGCACTATCAAAAACACAATACCTTATTGTGCAATTACCTGACCAAATGCCTAATGTCTGTGTTTGTGCGTGTGTGTATACTGCTCATAGTTCCTAGCCCTTTAAGAGGAGACAGGGAGGCAGAAGGATAGGAAAGGAAGGGGGAGTGTGGAAACTAAAGGAGAGAGAGTGCGTGTGTGTGTGTGTGTGTGTGAGGATGTGAGGAGCAAAGGGAAGAGAGAGAGGGGATAAAGGGGATGGAGGGAGGGAGGAGTGAGAGGACTAAAGAGAAAGAGGAGAGAGAGATTTGTTGTTGTTTTGCAGGCTCTGCTACTGGTGTTCTGCCTTCTTTGTCACTTTCTTCCTGACTACTCCAGAGTTGGACTCCTCATCAATAGAAAGTCAGTCCAACATTGCTACCCTTACCGTAATCCCAAGTAAACACGTGTGTGTGTGTGTGTGCTCACCTGCAATTTGCTTATCTGCCAAAAATTCGTTGTAGTAATTATACTTCCTGTCCCCAGAGACACACAAATTACATGCATATACACACAACATTAACCTTTTCCCCCAGGTCCTTCCCCTCCCCTCGTAACGTATGCATCCATGTTACCTTCCCTCCCCCCACTCCCCCATCACGTGTTCTCAGAAGACGCTCTCTACTGAGGAAGAAGTTCAGTAGCAGACGAGACGAGCTGTTGGCCTCAGAGGAACTCAAGAGAGAAGAGGAGGAAGAGGAGGAGGAGAGCGACGGAGATGACACAGAATTGCTACTCAATCCAGCCTATGATGAGGTATATACAATACTTATGTACGTAGTACTACGTCCCTACTTGTCATCAAAGACTATTTGCACAGCACTCTTTAGTGTCGTCATAGGCAAGGTATATTTCATGGTTAGGTTGCATCTCCTTTCCCTAAAAGTATGAAGAAGTCAGGCCTTCTTTCTACAGTCACTCCCAAAGGTTTTTTCACTGCACTCTCTAGCTATAGTCAATGTGTTCAGAATGGGTTGCTGCTCTCTTCTTCCCCTGACGTTCTTACTAAAAGTACGAGAAAGTTAGACCAAATTACATGGTGATGGCCAAAGCTTTTCCACTGCACTCTCCAGCTACGGTCAATGTGTTCAGAATAGGTTACTGCTCTCTTCTTCCCCTGGCGTTCTTACTAAAAGTACGAGAAAGTTAGACCATTAGTAATGGCCAAAGCTTTTCCACTGCACCCTCCAGCTATAGTCAGTGTGTTCAGAATGGGTTACTGCTCTCTTCTTCCCCTGACGTTCTTACTAAAAGTACGAGAAAGTTAGACCAAATTTTTTTAGTGATGGCCAAAGCTTTTCCACTGCACCCTCCAGCTATAGTCAGTGTGTTCAGAATGGGTTACTGCTCTCTTCTTCCCCTGACGTTCTTACTAAAAGTACGAGAAAGTTAGACCATTAGTAATGGCCAAAGCTTTTCCACTGCACCCTCCAGCTATAGTCAGTGTGTTCAGAATGGGTTACTGCTCTCTTCTTCCCCTGACGTTCTTACTAAAAGTACGAGAAAGTTAGACTATTAGTAATGGCCAAAGCTTTTCCACTGCAGTCTCCAGCTATAGTCAGTGTGTTCAGAATGGGTTACTGCTCTCTTCTTCCCCTGACGTTTCTTACTAAAAGTACGAGAAAGTTAGACTATTAGTAATGGCCAAAGCTTTTCCACTGCACTCTCCAGCTATAGTCAGTGTGTTCAGAATGGGTTACTGCTCTCTTCTTCCCCTGACGTTCTTACTAAAAGTACGAGAAAGTTAGACTATTAGTAATGGCCAAAGCTTTTCCACTGCACTCTCCAGCTATAGTCAGTGTGTTCAGAATGGGTTACTGCTCTCTTCTTCCCCTGACGTTCTTACTAAAAGTACGAGAAAGTTAGACTATTAGTAATGGCCAAAGCTTTTCCACTGCACTCTCCAGCTATAGTCAGTGTGTTCAGAATGGGTTACTGCTCTCTTCTTCCCCTGACATTCTTACTAAAAGTACGAGAAAGTTAGACTATTAGTAATGGCCAAAGCTTTTCCACTGCACTCTCCAGCTATAGTCAGTGTGTTCAGAATGGGTTACTGCTCTCTTCTTCCCCTGACGTTCTTACTAAAAGTACGAGAAAGTTAGACTATTAGTAATGGCCAAAGCTTTTCCACTGCACTCTCCAGCTATAGTCAGTGTGTTCAGAATGGGTTACTGCTCTCTTCTTCCCCTGACGTTCTTACTAAAAGTACGAGAAAGTTAGACTATTAGTAATGGCCAAAGCTTTTCCACTGCACTCTCCAGCTATGTCAGTGTGTTCAGAATGGGTTACTGCTCTCTTCTTCCCCTGACGTTCTTACTAAAAGTACGAGAAAGTTAGACTATTAGTAATGGCCAAAGCTTTTCCACTGCACTCTCCAGCTATAGTCAGTGTGTTCAGAATGGGTTACTGCTCTCTTCTTCCCCTGACGTTCTTACTAAAAGTACGAGAAAGTTAGACCAAATTTTGCATAGTGATGGCCAAAGCTCCTACCACCTTCAACACATTAAATGTGCACGTTTAATTTGCAGCATACTAGAGTGGTGATAAACACAAACAATATACTATGATATTATAACTTAATTATGGTTCACTCTATATCTGCAGCACTGGTATTCATGGATCATCCACTTTTTCAAATTAAAGTGAGTGATTTTGTATTAGGTCGTGTTTACATGTGTACACACCTCCAATATTGAATCGTTAAAGTAGACTTAATAAGCTACTACTGTATGTACATGTCAATATTAAGTTAGAAGTATTTTATCATACCCATACACCGGACTTATGGTGGATATGTACAGATTATCCATGCCAGCACTTGTACATAACTCATTCATCATTCCCATTAGTGTTCCTAAACAGTCTATAAGTACGCAATCATTGCAGTGACGAGACGATCAGACGACGCTGCGGTCCAGACTCAGTCGTCTATCTCTCCCTCGAACGACACATCATCCTTCTCCTCCTCATCTTCTCCTTCCTCTCTCTGGTCGTCATTCTGCCTGTCAACGTACATGGAGATCTTGGTGGGTTGTGGTATTACCGGATGGCCAGTTGTTATTTCAGAGACGACTCAGTGTCAGTACTTGGTTCTCACTAAGGCATAAGGCTCCTTAGATTTATATGTGCTATAAAGATTTAGACCGCAGTCACGCGCAATTGACCAATCAGATTACAGAATTGCGGGGGGGTTTATTTTTCATAGACACCTCGTTTCAGGTGTCTAATGGCGTTTGCAGGTGGTCTACAGCAAACTCCCCGTACAAAATGGCTATTCTCAAAAGTCGTTATCTGCGCAAACCGGCCGATTCCGCGTTCGGTATATGTAAGCGTAGAAGGCGCGACTGGCAAAGTAGCTCTTTTAAAATGCGTAGTGCACCTGCAAGAAGTCTGTGGACAGTCTCCGGAGCTCGCGAAAGTCAGAAATCACGTCAATATTCCACGAAAAAAGCGTCGGCTTCTTTAGCTCTGGCGATACACAAACACATTGGGCCGTTGCCGTGCGTTGCTAACCCTTTCAAACGCGCACCACCAATGAGGGCGTTTTATGATGACGTAAACGATTTTTGACGGGGGCGGGGGCTGTCTCCTCGGAGTCTCACACGTAAAAAAAGCGTCTTGTTCCATCCGAAGGTAAGGAATGAGGAATGAGCGCAGCGTTGCTAGCTTGTTGCTACCCATTTGAACGCGCAAACACCAATCAGATACTCCGGTCTAAACCGGTTAGACGCGGAAGCTCGGTTGTCTACGCAACATTGCAACCCTCGGGGCATGTGGGTAGCGCCCTCGCTGCGCTCGGGACGCCAACATTCCACAGCCCCTCGGGTTGCAATGTAGCGTAGACACCTCGCTTCCGCGTCTAACCTATATTTATTGTAGTAGTTGAGAAGGACTCATGCAGAGAATGACATGCATGTCCAACAAGTTTGAGGTACAGAAAGCAAGGCAAGGCAAACAAGTCAACTGCACCCAGGACAGCTCTTTCTTTTCAAAGAAAAGAAGAAGAGCTGCCCTGGGTGGGATTCGAACCCACGACACTCTGCAGTCTAGGCGAGCACTCTACCCACGACACTCTGTAGTCTAGGCGAGCACTCTACCAACTGAGCTACCCGCTATTGACAGTGGGGTAGTCCATCGGAACTCGTTCTATGGTGCTCTAACAGATGTGGACTATGTATCTGCAGCGGTGTAATGTACAAGACATTCCTTTCATTTCTACACCCTCTTATACTTTTGCACACAGCCCTAGCATGAGATAGGTTATGCACACGAAGGGGTAGAGTGCATGATATCGCGTGTGTACTTTTTTCTCCAGACAAAGTTGGCTTTGCAAGCACCACAATCAGCAACATTGATGCCAGGTTTGCACACTTAAAAAGGAATTACTTACTGAGCCTTTCACGTCAACTGTTGTTTGACTCTGTCTTACAGAAACAGTGTGTTGTGGGTCCACACGTGTTTCTCCATCCTCTACCTCATCATCACTGGAGTATTCATGATCAAATTCTCTCTCAAGCTTGGAAAATTCCAGCAAGATATGGTACACAATGTACACATACATACTAACGGTAGCCAATTACACGTGAGCAAAAGTAGTGAGTTTGCTTCTACGTATGTGTACAAATGTAATATACATGAGGAGGATAAAGCACAATTTATGCGCATACTCTAGAGCCATAATTGTACATGCATGCGCAGAAAGTGGGTACCAGGCTCTTTATCCCTCCCCTGAAGAGCCTGGGTATAAGGCTGATACACACTATTCTGTAGAAATCTTCAGTTTATACAAATACATATGTGTTTACCTGAGTTTACCTTTCAATGAATGGGGCACAGTGCATGCAGTTTCAACATGCATTTGATTGTTGTACAATGTCCTTACATAACGAGTGTTTGTTCTTGTACTTCAGTCCAGACATACAGTAATGATTCGGTGGATTCCGTCCATTGTTCATAGAGAAGATATCCTGCTTCATTTCCAGTTAGTGCCCCCCTTCTTCTCCATCACTAGCATTGTATGTGAACTTTGAACCATATCCAATAGAGAAGCGATGCCACAAGCACAAGTGTGCGATCTCCAGTTTGCATACGATGTTTCCACTCTTACTAAACTCTCAAAGAAACTGTGAGTTTTCAAGTACTCTGCCACCATACATTTCTTAATGCAACAAATGTCTGCCATCCACAAAGATTGCGCTCTGACTTGTCTTTTACGTGCCGATAATGTAATTGTGATCATGCATACGCACCCTCCTTGCCCTCTTCCTCTCTCTGCTCGTCCAGAGATAAGGTCCAGGAGGAGCTGCAGAGTGTGGGGAGCGTGAAGGAGGAGCTGGGGGTTGTTCAGAGGATAAGACCAGGATGGACCAAGTTGCTCTTCTGGAGAGACGACTACCTGGTCAGTAGCTGTACTTCTTCCTGTTTCGAGCAAACATGACTGATGTATGTGCATATGTATGTATGTATGTATAGTAGAAGAGCAGTAAGCTTGTAAGACTTTTTATGTTTAGAAGTCATTTCAAAGTGTGCACATTAAAAAAAATTGAGCTACGGGACAAAAATATTGTGGCTGAAAGAGAAAAAAAAGGAGCCCTTTGTAAAGACTCAACCCACCTCGCTCTGGTTGTTGGCTATTTGGTGCACATAGCATTTTGTTCCCAGTAATTACACCATTCGTGGCTCGATCATGTAAACTAAGAATCAGCATGTACACATACAGTATGCTTTATCACTATACTATGTGAGTATGAATGGCTAGTCACCAAATAGATCAACGATTGCGTAAGTAAAGGTTTTCTTTGTGGGCGGGTCTATTTGTACAGGTGGACGCTCAGACTCATTATGAGGCCAAGCGAGTGGAACTGACTCAGAAGATTTCCACAGAGAACTCTCTGGTCAGAGGGAAGAGGCTGTCAATTGGATTTCTAAGTTTTACTACCGAGAGAGACACTCGCCAGTGAGCAGACTTTCGTTTTTTTGTTGTGTGTGCTTTTGAGCTTTACTTTTTCAGCTGGTGTGTACACTAATGTGTTTTACTGTGCAGTGTGTCTTTTTTTACAGAGGCTAAAAGTTACCCTTCTCATTATACATTTTTATAGACTAGTTCTGTCGTATAAGGCCTGCCGAGCCCGCCCCACCTCCTCCATGTCTGAAGCTGTGTTGTCGTGGCGATGGTTGGTGAGCAACGCCTCCTTTCCATTGGACATACAATGGTAAGCCTATATAGTTCACAGAAATAATGTTAAGGATTTTGGGGTTTGCCTGTTGTTGTGTGGCATTGTACTGAAGATTTTGAGCCCTGTCTGCTAAGCTGCCCTGGTAGAACACTCATCAAAAGAACTGAGTGTTGAGTTGTGAGTTTGTTCTACCTATAGGGCAGTTCTCTTTGCTATACCGAGTGGTATAGTAGTTATTCACATGCCTTGTGTAACATTCACACCCAGTGATTCATGCATGTCTCATGTCTTTACAAAGTGGTTGGTATAATATAGTTATGCACATGTTTGGTGTGATATTCAATAGCTGGTTATGGTGTGCTCTTACAGGGAAAGTCTCCACATACCGAGTTTCGTATGGTGGCCGAGGTGGCTACTCATCAATATCTGTAAGAAAGATTTATACGCATACTGGACATTCCTCATCTACACGTGCAACATATTCATAATCAAATATTTGTTCCTTATATAGTCCTGTGGTTGTTTCTGTGTTTCTTCACGACTGCTCCTGTGTTGCTGGCTGGAGTGAACCAGATTAAAGTCATCTTCCTCAACGTCACGGAAAGCGAGGACAATTCTGAGGTAAGTGAGGCAGAGAGAGGGGGAGAGCCAGGGTTTTCCTAGTGAAGATGTACGTAGGTAATTGTGTGCAAGAGTTTCCATGGCAGTACAATGAATGCGGCACATCTTCTGGCTACTAAACACGGGCGGTTGCAAAATATTACAGCCACTGTGGAAACCACGTATAATGTACTACTAAAGTGGAGAGGCAGCAGGTTTTCCTAATAAAGATGTAAGTAATTGTTCAAGAGTGTAGATAGGCTCACTTCACTCGCGGAGTCAATCCTCTAGGATTTGGAAGATGAACTGAACAGCGTGTCGCCTCTGATCAATATCTACATCTCAAACCTTCTCCTACTGGCCATCGCCTCTCTTCTGGTGTTCTGTGTTTCAAAATCACACATCCTGGAATGTCACTGGACACAGTGAGTTGGAACTTTACATTGTATCTGTAGCCTTCATGTGTAGGCCATATGTTCATAAACAATAGAGGGTTAAATATCCCACCCTACAATACCACATAAAGCCGGTACGACATACAAAAGTACATATAAACAAAAGAACATACGTACATAATTATTACCCTTTTGTTGATGTAAGCTTCATAAGTAGTTCACATCTCAAATTGATAACTTATCGTTATCCCTACGTGTGCTAGTAGCTTGGAAGTAAGCTGTTACTATTTTTTGTTTTGTGCATAGCGTGTTTAAATCAAGAACAAAAATCGTTGTTAAATTGCAATTTGCTGCCAATACTGTTAGAGTGAGGGTCCTCCCTTCAATGTGTGCTACGTATAGTGTATGTACCTTTGAAGTATGGTAGCAATAAGCTGTTACTCTGTGTTAGGTCACGTAGAGAACAGGCAGTTATGAGAAAGACGTTCATCTTCTTGTTACTGATGTTGATCATTCTACCATCTGTGGGGCTTACCAGGTATAATAATCTTTGTACTAACAAATAAAAAAACCTAAAAAGTACAAACGTTGGTGCAACTAGTAATCGAATGTGAAACAGCGCAATAGGTTGAATGTGCAGAAAGTACCCGGTACAAGTCGCTGCAGTGCATAAAATGGTTGGGTTAGGTGAAAGTGATTGTTACTATTCCATGCTCCAGTTGTAGTCAGATTACTAAGGAGTATTGCTTTGGCTTGTGCTATTCTAGTGTGCCTGAAAGAAATGCAACATTATGAGGGAGCTGCACTATGGTGAATGCTAGGGAACTACTATATTATATATATAATATATAGTGTGGTTCATAGTGCATTTCAAGTACTCTTGACCATGTCTAGTACGCTTGTGTTTCTTGCAGTGTCAGTGCATTGGCACAGAGTGTGATTAAAGACAGCAGTAGCCTTCAGTCGAAGCTCAAGTGAGTTGTTATCACTTATCACTGCAGTGTGCCCAGAGAAATAGGTTCCACACGAAAGTTACACACTTTTACAGACAAAGCAAGTGAATAGACAAGCATACACTAACTGAGCATGTTCTGCTGCCTCAAGTTAAGGCATTCACAGTAATTTATATTATAGCACTAGCCTAACTTTTTCTTATTTTCACATCAAGTAGTGTGTATAATATGTGTTTATCTGGTGAATACACGCACATAGCTAATACCTGAGTTGGGGAATTTATGTATCTTGCTGTTGTGTAGTTGTCCTTCAACCATCATCTCCTCTCTTTCCCCCATTCAGTTGTGTATTCCTCCCTGGGAGCGGGGCTTTCTTTTTGGTCTACGTGCTCACGTCGGGATTCATAGGCACTGGGGTGGAGCTACTGAGGATTCCAGAACTTGCATACTACCTGTACTATAGAGCTACTGCCAAGACCAGGTGGCAGAAGGAACAGGCCCTCAGAAAGGTAAACTTAGCAGCAGTTGATAGGAGCTCTTTACCTCTCTCTCTATGTATATAGTACACTGTTATAGAAATCCTCTAATTCAGACACTGACGGGACAGAGGAAAGTGTCGATATGTATTAGCGAAGTATCCTTATTTCAGAGGTTAAGAAGACACTGTTCTTTGGGGAAAGAAAGCGTACCCCAAGAAAGATGTCCTTATTAGAGAGGTGTCCTCATTTCAGAGGTATTAGAGAGTGTGTTCTACTCTATCCTTGTCCTTCCCTCTCTACACTGATAGGCTGGAGACTGGGATTTCCTGTACGGTGTGCAGTATGCCTGGCATCTTGTCATATTCACTATGGTCATCACGTTCAGTGTGACCACGCCCATTATCACTCCTTTTGGTAAGACATTCTCAGCCACTCTCAGGAGGAAAGTTGCAGTATGTACACTATGTTACTAAAACGGGAAACTTATTTAAGGCACTTCGCCTTATGTTTAGCACTACACCTTTAGTAAAATTTAGCCCCTATGTACTGCCACATTCCCCTTAAGGAACAAGGTAATTATACTACTCTAACCCAAGGGTGAAAAGGTATTCATTGAATTCCTTAAACACCAGGATATCTTCTACTATCTTCACTGTCTCTTCCAACTCTTTTTGTAGGTGTGCTATACTTTATCCTGCGTTACTTCACGGACAAGTACAGCATATACTACGTCTACAAACCTTCACCCTTCCATGGCCGGCAGTTCCTGCATCGTTCTGCCATTAATTTCGTCATAGTCGGTGCCGTCTTTCTCCAGATATCAACGCTCTTCTTCTCTCTTGTTAGACTGGGTAAGCTTCCATGTACAATGTAGCTTGTGTACGAGTCTTCAGTACTTCAGTACCACACTGAATCCTGACGTATTTATTCTACAGCCTCGCAACAGAAATGTTTCCATTCTGTTGATTTTCTGTGTCACACTGTGATAGCTAACGTGTACACCTGCAGTTCTTTCCCACCACGATACACGTGGTTTCAACATTATTATTTCCATGGAAAAATACACTGCTGTTGCTATGCTCAAAATACCGCATCTGCCTAAACCGGAGACCCTGCATTCAACATATGCCATCTATCTTATCACAGTGGAAGTAAAGAATGAAAGAAAACACATTAATATGTAAACAGAAGGAGCCCTGTAATGTTACACTATTTTAAACTTCAAGGTGGTATAAAGTCTATGGACAGTGTTACTTGTACATGTGCTAGTTGCTGGACCTCTGTGTTATTATTTTGCATTACTTTACTGAGTAGTCTAATGCTTTGTGTTTCTGCTGGTGGTATAATACATATACTAGGTAAGCCTGATGGCCGAAGCATTGTGATGATAGTAGCACTGTTGGTGACTGTGAGTGCCTGCATAGGGTTCATGCTTTTTGGCTGGGTCTCTCACATGCTCCCTCAACTTCGACTCAAGATGGGACAGGTGGGACTACTATTACCTTTAACACGTGCGACCAACTCATATGACCGTTCCTTTCATAGCACATCAGAACCATATTTTGTGTGTCTGACTATAGTTTCGTTGTGAGTATAAACATTATACTATCGCTTTCGTAGCATGTATAACCATACATTGTGCTTCAGACTATCACGTTTGTGAGTATAGAGTATATAACCCCATGACTTTGTGTGTCTGATGTGAGTATAATCTCCATATGTATCTTTTGCAGGAATACCGTATATTTTCACAGACAAGAGAAGGTGGTGTGGGTCGTGAGAACACGGAGGAAAGAGTGATGAAGGTCTTAGTGCACAGTCACACATCAGATTACATAATATACAATGCTACTGTGAAATAATGAAATACTCTCTGTCATCCATCTACCGTTGTTCATGCATGCATCAACAACGGGGTAGAAAGGCAAGGCAAAGCAAACAAGTCAATTACACACACACTATGTTACGTTATGAATCTCTGATTTATAGGGTGGCGTGTGTGTGTGATTGATCTATACAGGGAGCCTATATTCCTCCAGTGCTGAAAAGGTTCACTATTGATCCAGCAGTGGCCGGAGATGATTCAGTCAACGGCTACCAATCATTTGGCTGCACTGACAAGTAATGCAAAACCCTCTCTCTTTGTACAGTCTTTTGCATAATATGAAGGGAGCAGGAAAAGGGAGAGGAATGAGAATACTTTGCAGTTTTGGTCTTTGTATGTGGCAGTAGTCTTTTTAGTGACTACCGAAAATGCCACTTGGCTGCAAATATGTACTGCACTAACACTTGATGACACACAGTGACTGTCTTACACCCTTTCACCACTCACTTATAATACTGAACTATGTGTATGTAAGCCAGTTATGGTTTCTTGGTCTGGTAGAAGACATTTTAGCCACGGTGTTTGCATGTCACTCTCTAGGGTTATATTTACATGTCCAATAATGCCACATACAATCCTCAGGTTGGGTCGGTATATTTAGAGCTATAGAAGATAGGTGGACACAAGAGCATATTATATAGAGCTACATAAGCCGAGTGAGTGTGCGTTCTTTGTCTGGAGACGTCACTTTAGCCATGCACTGTCTCTAGCCAAAGATAATTGTGTGGTACGCTAACACTGTTTTATTTACTCCAGTGTATTCACTCTGACTGTAATTTGCACATGTCTCCAGGTTGGGTCGACTCAGTCCTCCCAGCAGCTCATCGAGCTCTCCAAGATCCACCACCAGTCCAGAAGCAGCCTCGCCCGAGAGAAAATCCTCAGCAGCAACCAGACCAGCCACACAGGGAAGTGGTGGCTCCATTGACTACAATAGATACTCTAGCGTTCGCAGACAGCGTGACAGTCAACCGCCTACTAGTGGTGTTCAGGTTAGCTCAAGGACGTTAATGTCGGTCAACTCCCCTGTGGAGGACATGCAGGACCCAAAAGAAGAGTGAGGATTTAAAACTTTATTTCAAGTCGTGATTGACTTAAAGATCAAAGATCGAGTCTGACTTGATTTAACTTGTACATGATTGATTGATTAATTGATTGATTGAGGCGTATCATGGTACGTCAAATAATATCAGACACAATTATAGTTGTTTTACATACAGAGTGTGGTTTAAATTTTCATGTATTACTCTTTGTTGCATACTGCTCACACTATATAGAGTTCTTTATAACAGTATCTTTTTATGTAAGTCAGCCACAAAAATTATAATTAACCTCTCAACTGCTATCAGGGTTTTACCAATACTTAAGATAAATGAAGTTGTCTATTAAAATATTCCACAATGTACATTTGTTCAGTTACAGTACTGTTGTGTCAGGCTCACGACGAACTTCTAGTAGACTTTGTAGAGGACTTGAACTTGGTCTTGCACCTGGTAAACTGCTTCTCGATATTTGCCACGTATATGAGTGTGGAGATGGGCAAAAGCACGTAGGCGATTGTGGTTAGAGGAAACGTGGTGGGGGTTGGGTCAAATGCTTCAAACAAACTTCGATCGCACTGTCCATTTCCGGGCCCTTCACAGTCGAGGTATTCTTGAAAAGCTCGCGAAAAAACATCCTCCATTCTAAGCACGACACTGTATGATGAGTAGTTTATGATGGTGGCAAGCCCTTGTGTACAGAATATAAGCACGAGTTTTATCTGCGCTGTGGTGTAGTTTTTGCTGGAGCTGGTTGTGTGCTCACTGGTAGAAACAGTTTGCTTTGTTTCCTGCTGAAATGTTGGTGTGTTTGTAATGGATGGACAGTTATGTGTTGTACAACAGGTGCATAAATAATAGTTATAGCTATACCTGAGATCGTTTAAGTTTCCATCCTTGGATATTGATGATCTTGAACAAAAGTACCATCACGAAAGTGAGAAAAATGGCAGATATGAAGCAACCAGGTATGACCCCAAACACAAATGCACTTTCAGAAGCGGCCAGGCAAAAGATAGGCACCACCGTACGGCTGAATCCACCGACTGCAAACTGAAGCCCAACCAGGAATATTGAGAAACCAACTCCACATATGACAGCAAAAACATGAAGATACTTGTAGCCTCCTTTGGTTTCCAGCTTCCTGGCTCTGAATGGGAAGTAGGCAGTAAATAGAACAGTCCCGAGGTGGAAACAGAGTCCAGTGAGATCAAATATTGGGATGAATGTAGTGGCAGAACCTGCATTGACAGAAACCTCGCGTAATCTTGGGATGGGATTCAAGAGCAAAACATTGCTAGTAATATCCAATTATTATAGTAAGAGCTAATACACATTACCTATTATATTGCAGTATGCACTGCCTTCTTCAAAGCTTGTCATGCGATCTCTAGATGTACAGTAGAGAGCCTTCTCATCAGTGTACCCCACCAGGTGGAGGATACTCAGAATGGCACGAGTGAAGGTGATGTACAACAGGATAATATTTGGGTAGCGAAACCTAAATAAGATAACATCCATTGAAAATTCCTAACTCAGGATTCTTTGATTAGCACTATTATATTATCCAGTATTATGATGAAGCCAAGTAATCTATGTGTACACAACAAGTAATCTAATCTAAGGAGCTGTGTGTACACAACAATGTGATACTGAAAATGAACACCGGTCTTCTAGTCCAAATTAGGCCGAGAAGGGATTTACCGTCTCACAAATGTGTGTTATAAACATGTTTTTTCATGTGTCTATGCAGGTGCATCAACGCTACCTATAGCCTTCAACTTCTGTAACACAGTATGAGAGTGCCCAAATTTTCTAGATAGCTAACTACCTATATGAAAAGGGTCATTGGCTCATAATAGCTCACATTATTTTGCGTCGGAATATGGACCACACGAATGTGACCACACATACGATGATGGTCACAAGGATGAAGGTGATGTTGACACCATAGACAGCTCTGCGAGTGGCTGGTGAGTACTGATCCCACTCCCCACACTCTGGTCTACACAGACCAGAGCTGTTGTCCAGGAAGAAATCACGAGAACACTTTGGTGCTATAAGAGAAAACGAGTGAAAAGCAAACTACTCCAAATAACCGATGGTTACCTTCTCTTCCAGTGTTATTTACAGATGCAGTCTCATTTGGAAAAAACTGAAATTAGAAAAAAAATGTACTGATAAACATGCATATCACAATTTGCAACACTAACTAACCATTGCGTCAATTGAGAAGAAGACCAAAATTGGTATAGTATGCAGCAGCCAGATAAGCCAATAATAAGCAGGTATAAAGTGCAAGATTTACTGACAACAAAGTTTGAAACTACTCCGCTTTCTTTTTCTTCTCATCACATAAAACCTCTTAGAGGTTGTGCCATCTTCTGTTTCTGCCGCAGTGTCCAACTCCAATGCATTCACAGCTGAGGATTCTGTGCGTTGGGCACTAGAGTTACAGTCGTCGTTTGCCTGTTGCATCTTTGGCTCAAAGTTGCTTGCTAAGACTGCGGATTATTATACAACCGCAGGTCTTATATACGTCATTTGCCACCGCACAAACACGTATGTGCCGAATGCGCATGCGCGCAGGCTTGCGTGCGTGGGTCGCGAAGACCTGGAATCCGCTGCGTGCCGGGGGAAGGTCCTGGGGAAGCCCGCCCTAGGAAGAACTAACACTCGTCGCATCCTACGTGAACTACAGAAGGCTGAGACGATGGCGGTGGTGTCGCCAACAATCAACGCTACGACAGTCCCCGAGTCTCCGTCCACTGGCTCTACGACGGTAACAATAATACTAGCAACCGTAATACCCTCGCTAGTAGTAGTAGCAACGGCAATTATCTTAGCTGTAGCGACAATCTGTTTCTGCGTCAGGCGTCGAAGGGTGTCAATTACGGAGCACGACCGTGTATTACAACAACAACAATTCTTGGCTTTTCCCGAACGTGTCACGGACAGTGTTCTTTCGCCTCGTCCTTCGAGAAGTGAATACCCGGCGAGTGACGGGGCTGCAGGCATCTCCAGTGACCATCCTGTACCAAACGACGACAAATGGTCAATAAGTGCGGCATCAGGACGGAGCGGTATCAGCGGGCTGTCTGAAACCATGTCCTGCCCTCCCTCCCCAGTCGTGTCAAGTCTGTGTCTGGAAGAAGACGATGTGGCAGCACGAACTCCCGGCACACAAGACCACACGCCTATGAACGAGTTGCAACCACAATTAGACCCGAGGGCTATTTATCTTACTGGTATCGAGGAAGTTGGTGAAAAATCAGTAGGTTCATTTGGAAACCTTCCTAATCTCTTTGATAGTGCAATCAGCACCACCCACCGAGAGTACCCCATGCTGCAGTTTCTCAGTAAGACAACCACCACACAAAATGTCGACTCGGAACATCGCATGCATCGTCAATCTAGTGAACTTCACTCAGATTACTACAGTGACTATAATAGTCGTCTTACCAGTGAGCACCACAGCAGTAGATGTGGTGCTGGAACTAGAACTGATCGCAGCGACTACTACAGCGAAGATCAAAGTGGTAGACACAGCCTGCGCCATGAGCACCCCAAGCATCCGACTTTGGCTTCCCAAAAGACGTCATCTCTTGAGCATCCACCTATTGCTCCTATGATAGAGTTTGGCTCTCAGAATCTCTATCACAATGCCACTCTAGAAATGGACAAGGAAGAGGAGGTTGTAGATAGCGTTGTTCAGGAGGCTATCATGGGCTACCTCGTACACCAGGATAGTTGCTCCATTTTCAGGTGCCCCTGTAAAAAGATAAAAAAGCGATTCCATCACCTGATTCCGCTGGCCTATCGTCACATGCAAAATGAGGCACAGATTGACCGAGAGAATGGCCAGAGTAGGCAGCTTCTTCAGTTGCCACCACATGGTACACACAAACACAAGGCATCAACAGAGCAACCGGATACACATGGAGCTTCCGTATCATTTCAACTGCAAAAGCCCACTCGGAGTCAATCTCCCCAGTGCTGTCAGGAGTCACATCCCCGTGCGAATGTTATTCCAGAATGCTTGACTCAAACCACAACCTTGTTTCGATGCTCCAGCAAAAGGATGAAATTTGAAGACGAGGCTAATGACTTTAGCTTGGAAATTCCAGAGGGAGCAATTCCTGAAGGAGAGAGTTTGACCATCGATATTGCTGTAGCTCTCCACGGTCCAATTCCAATTTCCAGAAGGGTTGAGACCAGTGTCTCCCATTTTCTGGGTCTGTGTTCGTGACCAGCCCAGCATTCAGTTCTCAAAGCCCATCACAGTAAATATCCCTCATCTTCTCAATCTCAATAATTACAATGAGATCAAATCCCTTGGCCTAACTTTTCTCAAAGCTGACCACGAAATGAACTCAGAGAAAATGTATGAATTTCACCCTACCGATGGGACTATGATATTTGAACCTCTTAAGGGGTGTGGTGTTTTAAAAACCGCTCACTTTCTGCTCTTTGTGCATCGCCTGCCGAGACACACCAGAGTGTCTGGAAAAAGCTCCATTCTGCATCAATGCCATCCTTCCCAGTGCTGCCATTCCTGTCGGCAAGAAGGTGTATGGCTACTTCTTCATCACTTTTCTTAACCTGCAAACATGTCTGGTGAAGGTGGACGAACTGGTGGCAAAAATGCCAAAGGCAGAGCACTACGAGAGGGACATGCAACCTTTTGAATTCCAAACCGAAACCCAGTGTGATCCTGCACTCGAAATAGCCATCACTCAACCGAAACACGGCAAAATTGGGCTAAAAGGAAACAGAAGGGTAAGCCTATATACACTGCGGTGTTATAACCGAGGCCTTCTCCTTATGTCATTTTTTGTGGGTGAGGAGTGAGGGTTACAATATCAATTCTCAAATATACAGATTCTTCGAAGTCAGGTAGACTTTTTCATAAGGAAGAAGATTTCAGAGGATGAGTTGCAGTCTCAGGAGTGCAGAGATCTCTACCCTCCTCGATTCCGAGTGTTCTTCTCCTGCTCACAAAGAGGTGCCGCTCTGAGTGACGCCAAGATTGCCTTCATTGGAGCCACAAATGATCCCGAATTTGACATATACCTTGAATTTCCGGACCACGAATTATCTGGTATGTGACTTCACTGGATTTGAATGCTATGCAAATTCTTCCTCACCTCTCTTATAGGCAACAACACTGAGGTGCAAACTGTTGCTGAAAAACTGCTAGGTACGAGTAATGAGTTTAATTATTGAATTTAACTATCATCAAACAGTAACTTTGCTGTTTTTTCATTAGATATTAATGACCTTTTTAAAGTGAAGTCCAAACTCATTGGAGCGACCAACAGATGGAAGGACATTGGATTAGCTCTAGGACTGAAGAACTCTCAACTGGACTCTATTCTGAGCAATAGCAAAACCACCGAAGAGTGTCTTACAGCCATGTTGACCGACTGGCTGAACAAAGCCTATGACACGGCCGAGCATGGAGAGTCAACCTGGCAGAAACTGGCCAAGGCTGTTTGTGCTCCAGCTGGGGGTAATAATCCTGCTCTGGCCAACAGCCTTCCACCCATTGCAGAAGTCACAACCCGGACTCTTTGCTAATTAATTGGAATTCTCACTGCTAATTTGTAATTTGGGAATATCCCTTGGGTGGTCCCAGTGTGTATTTTGCAACATCGTCATATACACGCGAGCTGCCCTTCCCTACTGCGGTTGGTTGAGCGATGAATGCTGGCTAACATTGCTACCTTAGTGCTTGATCTTTTGTGCACAGTGCGTATGCGCAGTTCATGGGCAAAAGCATGGTTAGAGGAAACGTGGTGGGGGTTGGGTCAAATGCTTCAAACAAAGTTTTATCTGCACTGTGGTGTAGTTTTTGCTGGAGCTGGTTGTGTGTTCACTGGTAGAAACATTATGCTTTGTTGCCTGTTGAAATGTTGGTGTGTTTGTAATGCATGGAGAGTTATGTAATATAATTATACTTGTGTTGTACAACAGGTGCATAAATTAGTTATAGCTATACCTGAGATCGTTTTAAGTTTCCATCCTTGGATAGTGATGATCTTGAAGAAAAGTGCCATCATAAAAGTGAGAAAAATGGCAGATATGAAGCAAGCAGGTATGACCCCAAACACAAATGCACTTTCAGAAGCAGCCAGGCAAAAGATAGGCACCACCCTACGGCTGAATCCACCGACTGCAAACTGAAGCCCAACCAGGAATATTGAGAATCCCACAAAGATCACAAACGTTGAAAATTCCTAACTCATAGGATTCTTTGATGAGCACTATTATTTTATCCAGTGTTATGATGAAGCCAAGTAATCTAATTTAAGGAGATATGTGTAGACAACAATGTGATACTGAAAATGAACAATGGTCTTCTAGTCCAAATTAGGCCGAGAAGGGATTTACCGTCTCACAAATGTACATGTGTCTATGCAGGTGCATCCACGCTACCTATAGCCTTCAACTTCTGTAACACAGTATGAGAGTGCAGGTATAAAGTACATGATTTACTGACAACAAAGTTGAACTACTCCGCTTTCTTTTTCTTCTCATCACATAAAACCTCTTAGAAGTGTACTATCTTCTGTTTCTGCTGCAGTGTCCAACTCCAATCCATTCACAGCTGAGGATTCTGTGCTTTGGCCGGAGTTAGGGACATTTGTCTCTTGCATCAGCGAACATCTACGCCCTACGGCGGGCTTGCGTATATGCGGTGCGCTGGCGCCGCAATGGTCCGCGTATGCGCATGCGCGCGCACGCAGGAGCACACTTATCGGCAAAAAAAAGTAACTACAGACTTTGCACCTATACATTTTAGTGTGGATAAGGGCATCACTGTTGTGTCAACGGGAAGGTAATTGAAGGAGTTGGGATCCAGTGTCTCAAAAAATGTACAGCTTTACGAACTGTGGAAAAATGATATCGCTGCACCACATGATTTTACAACAAAGTCCTTAGTAGATAACATTCTGATTGAAAGCTCTTGAAGGCATACATACTAGCTTTTAATTATGTGTTGATGGGGTGTGAACTATTCTGAGTTTGAGTCTCAAAACTGTTAGTTATTAATATATATAATTATTATAGTTGTTCACTTGAAATCTGTTTTGGGTCACCATTAATTTCCGGTTATCTTGAACTTGCTCTTGCACATTTGGAGTGGTTTCTCAACATTTGCCACATATATGAGGGTGGACACTGGGAGTAACACATAGGCAATGAAAGCAAGCGGATTTGTAATAGGAGTTGGATCGAGATCCTCAAATTGTTGTCGGGTGCAAATATGGCTTGCAGGAGTGCCCGAGCTTTCACAATCAAGATAATTTTCCAGGGCTTGTGCAAAAGGACCCTCATGCCTCAGTACCACACTGTATGCTGAGAAATTTATAAGAGTTCCCAATCCGTAGGTACAGAAAATAAGCACAAGCCTTATCTGAACAGACAGGTGGTGGTTGGAAGACGGACTTGTTTGCTCGCTGGTACCTTTAGACTGTATGTTTTATGTGTGCGTTTGTGCAGAAAGAGCTAACTTGCACATACAAAATAATGACTATATTGTTAATACCTGTGATCTCTTAAGTTTCCACCCTTCAATGTCTATAATCTTGAAGAGAAGTACCATCACAAAGGTAAGGAATATGGCAGATGTGATACAGACTGGGATGACTGCAAAGACAAATGCACTCTCTGGTGCAGCAAAGCAGTAAATAGGCACAACAGTACGACTGTAACCACCGGCAGCAAACTGGAGCCCAACAAATATTCCAGAGACTCCAATTGTGGTTATGATAGTAACTATGTGAAGACGCCGGTAGCCTCCTTTCGTTTGTAGCTTTCTGGCTCTAAACGGGAAGTAGGCAGTGAAGAGAACAGTTCCCAGGTGGAAGCAGAGCCCAACGAGTTCAAATGTGGGAACAAATGTAGTGGCAGAACCTGCATTTAGAGAAACCCGAAACATTATGCAACAAACTGACTCATGCATGAACTTTCAGTGCCAATTACATTCAGACATGGTGTTCCTTATTGTAACTGCCCTTACCTATTATGTTGCAGTATGCACTGCCTTCCTCAAAGCTTGCCGTGCGATCTCTAGAAGTACAGTAGAGAGCCTTCTCATCAGTGTACCCCACCAGGTGAAAGATGCTTAGTAAGATTCGAGTGAAGGTGAGATACACAAGGATAATGTTGGGGTAATGGAACCTATATAATCAACACAACAGAAACCAGTTATAAATTTTAATTAAACGCAATGAAAGTCGCAAGGCAAATGAACTACACCCAGGACAACTAATTACCTTCTTGGAATCTTCACTTTTCAGTAAACAGAAGCACATCAAACTCATTATTGTGAGGTTTGGTATTTATGGCATTAACAAAATGTGATAGAATTGCTTATTAGAGTGCTATATTATATTGGCTAACATGATCTTGTGGCGAAAGATAGACCACACGATTGTCACCACACATACAGTAACCGTCACAAGAGCAAAGGTTATAGTAACACCATAGACAGCTCTGCGAGTGGCTGGTGAGTACTGATCCCACTCCCCACACTCTGGTCTACACAGACCAGAGCTGTTGTCCAGGAAGAAATCACGAGAACACTTTGTTACTGCGGAATAAAAGTAAAACTTGCATTGAGTTGTAGGTGATCCGCAACTCAATGGTACAAACATGGTACTACCTGAATTTAAAGTGCCATTGCCACTTGAAAGATCATTAGGAGAAAACTGTAGTTGGTACCAACAAAAAAAAAGCAAAAAATCAAGTATATAATTATTGCTTACTAACCGAAACATTGATCGAAAAGAAGATGATGATTGGTATAGTATGCAACAGCCAAATGAAAGCTATAATCAGCATATAGACAGCACATATCTTCTGCCTAAGGCGGTAGTAAAAACTAATCCACTTCTTTTTTCTTCCGGTAACAAAATCACCACTTGACTTTTGTGAGGTTGAAACATCAATATCTGCTGTGGTTTCTGATTGTAACTTGCTGATCACTGATATCTCAGTGTCTTGGCCTGAGCTTGAAGCTTTCATTTTCTCATTCCTTACTGTAAGAATGAAGCAAACTGAAGGAAACACTTGCTATTATACAAAAACGAGAACGCATGCGCATGCGCAGTATTTGCGCGCGCCGACGTCGCGCGCGCTACAGGTCGCGTGCGTATAGCTGCGTTCCCAAGACGTGACTCTGGGCCTGTGAGATTTATAGCCGCGTTCGTCGACATTTGTGGGCTATATAAGTCGCAGGTGTCGGTGTAATATGTTACACTGGATTCGGTTGTATATGCAACCCGTCGAGATCAGAGATTATGCAATGACACCAAGCTCTAGCCTTGCGTAATGAGAGTATTATCAATAACCCTTCTTCGTGCACTCTTGTGAGAATAATAATGAATATAGCTACTTTCTTTGTCATCTTGCTGAATAATATGTGATAACAATGTTCAATCGGTATAGTGGCCAGTTCATCACCACAGACACTTCGTCAGGAATTGAAACTTGGCCTTTCTCATGACATTGGATAGTTTGTCAACATTGGCAACGTATACGAGGGTTGACACTGGTAGAAAAGCATATGAGCTGATCACGAGGGGAAATGTAACCGAAGTTGGATCCAGTTTTTCGAAAGTTTCTCGAGAGCACATCTGATGAGTGTGATTCCCGAAACTTTCGCAGTCAAAGTATTCCTCGAGTGCTTGCGAGTATGGCTGCTCGTGCCTCAGAACAACGCTGTATGCCGAGTATATGATGAGGGTTGCCAGTCCATGAGTACAGAAAATGAGCACGAGTCTTATCTGGGCCGATGTGTAGCGACTGGATGAACTGTTGGTTTGTTTTTCCCCCTCACTCTGAGGATATACAGTAGGAATAGAGTAGGAAATAAAATGTGAAAGAGTACACCAGAGTATGTAAAATATATGCCTATGCATGATCACAGACCGGAAAAATCCTCCCATCTCTGATAATCTAATTGACTGAATGTGGGATTTTTTGTTTGTATGTGACTGGAAACTGCACATATTATATTTTTGTACGTGATTCTAAATACGTGTGAAAATTCAACAAATACACAAGCGAAAACTTGAACTGCTCGCGCTAGTTCACAAAAATTTGTGGCATTCGTTCTATATAGTATGATGCTGTGGTAGCTACATGAATACTTGATTGAGGGGATCTGCTGACTGGTTATACACACAAGAACCCCGAATGCACTTAGCAAATAACGGCTAAATGGAAGTAGTCTTAGCGCCTGTGGTCCAGGTGCATTGTTTAGTGGGAGGATGTACTTAATACATGCACTGTGGTCACACAAGGTCACTGTGGCTTGTCTTGGTTGGATCTGGTTTCCATAAACACCTCTAAATATGAAAGGAAACACCTGGAGCTGTGCTATAAACATAAATATATAGGGTATCCCAATGTATACTGCTATGACCATTTGGACGCCATGGGTATCTCCTTAACTAAACGCCTAGTATATAATTCTTATGGACTTATGGAGGCTCTGGGCATATTATAATAATATATATGCCCGTGGCTAGCTAAGGGTTAATGTTATTCATTACCTGAGACAATTTGAGTCTCCACCCATCAATGTTAACAATCTTGCAAAGAAGTATTATCACAACAGTGAGAAACGCGGCGGAGATGATGCAGACTGGAATGATTCCAAAGACGAAGGCACTCTCCGGGGCAGCCACACAGAAAATTGGCACGATGTTGCGATTGTATCCTCCCACCGCAAACTGAATCCCGACAAGAAATCCAGAGAACCCAAACCCGCACAAGACCGCCACGAGATGAAGGTACTTGTAGCCGCCTTTCTTTTCAAACCTCCTGGCCTGAAACGGGAAATATGCGGTGAAGAGAACAGTTCCCAGGTGGAAGCACAACCCGGTGAGCTCGAATGTGGGGACGAATGTGGTAGCAGAACCTGCAGGGGAAACACAAAGCCCTATAATCATTCTTGGGGAAAGAAAAGGTGTCCTTATTAGGGAGGTGTCCTCATTTTAACGGTGTTTTTTTAGAGAGGGGCTCCACTCCATGCTAATACATCCTGTGCTGTGACTCCCCAGGGAATCAAACAAAGACCTTCCAAATAAACAGAAATCTCAATATTAGACTGCATACAACTTACCCCATTTAAAACTACATACCGTGTATGTTGCAGACCACCTTTAGTATTGACTCATGCGTGTGGACATTCAAAATGGGTATCTGAAATAAGGTGACCCTCCACGGTTCCATTTGCATTTTTGGGATGGTCAAGGAATGTACACGGACACACAGGTGTTTAGACGTGAACCAGATTATAGGGAAAATTTCAGACATTTTAGAGAGAGCAATGCAAGTCGAACTTAATATTATAATAGAACACCTCTGAAATCAAGACACCTTTTCTTTCACCAAGAACACTTCTTGCATGCAATTCAACCCCTGAAACAAGGACACCTCTCTAATATGGACACCTTCTTCTGTTCAATTGGTGTCCAGATTAGAGGGGTTTCACGACCCCCTCTCTCTCTTTGCTAAACACGAGAGTTAAACAAGATTGAGGGGAGGGGGAGATTGTTGTATCTGCAGTAGACACTTTACCTATTATGCTGCAGTATGCAGTGCCCTCTTCAAAGCTCGTCACACGATCTCTAGATGTGCAGTAGAGAGCCTTCTCATCAGTGTACCCCACCAGGTGAAGAAACATCAGAAGAATATGACTAAGACTGATGTAGATCAGGATGACATTAGGGTAGCTCAACCTAAGAAACCAAAGGCACTGCGTATAAAAATCATACAATACAGTATCCTGATATACAATATTATGCCCAGCGGTCACGCGGTATGCTGATTGAGTAATTCAATGAGGTGTAGCTTGCTGATACACCTTCTGAGCGACAGAGTAAACTCTTAGTCAAGTTTCATCCAACCATAACAAAACACTTACGGCAATTCCTATGATACACGTGTAAATAATCTGAGTACCTGACATATCTTTATAATAATATGGTATATACTTCTGGCGTTATATTTCCGTAATTGAATCACTAACATAATATAAATAGTTTTGCACACACAGAGAGCAAAGTCCAAAGCTGACAAATTAGGTGTTACACACTGCCTTCCACATAATGTGTGCATCAGAAATTTGATTAGCCTCGGCAACTATAGTAAACTTAATGAGTCATTGCTGTTCCCACCCCTTCGTAATAGCTCACATGATTTTATGTCGAAATATGGACCACACAATTGCCACCACGCATACAATGATGGTCAAAAGGGCAAAGGTGATGTTGACACCATAGACAGCTCTGCGAGTGGCTGGTGAGTACTGATCCCACTCCCCACACTCTGGTCTACACAGACCAGAGCTGTTGTCCAGGAAGAAATCTTGCGAACATTCAGTCACTACATCAATCATAAAAGCCACCGCAATGAAGCGTCTATCCACTTAAAACTGTAAATACATACCTGTTTTAGTGCTGTTTACTGCTAAATGTTGCGGAGAGAACTGTTGAAAGCGAGAAGATAAAATATAGAACTACAACAGCTTTAAGACACTTACTGTTGCATTGATCGAGAAGAACAGAATGACCGGTACGGTGTGTATAAGCCAAATAAAGGCTATCACCAGTGCATACACGGCGTGTGACTTCCTGAGCACGCAGCTGAAACAACTGTTTCTTTCCACTTTTCTTCCAGTTTTGTACACACCATTTCCTGCTTTACCCGCTGGAGTTTCTTCGGCTGTAGTTTTCAACTCTTGCTCTGAGTTTGCACTGACGACTGATATCTCGGTGTCTGGGGCATTACCGTCCATACTCTTGCATAAAGGTACTGGAACTGATCGCTGCACTGGAACTGATCGCTGCACTTTTCCCGCCGGCGAATCTATGGCTTTAGCGCCAGCTAGTCGTAATTGAAGGACAATACTCCAAAGCGTCGCACAAAGGCTTTTGCCGGAAATAGTGCACAATAGGCGAGAACTCTTTAAAGTCTTCGCGTTATTCGAAGTGTAAGTGCTAACGATTTATCGGATTAACGCTTTTCTCGACTTCCGCCTACACCTGCGCGCGCGTGCTGTAACTGTAACTTTAGCTATTCAGAATTTGTTGTCAACAGAGAAAAGTTTGGCGGGAGTTCGCAACCGTCGAGTGCTCGCGTACGACGCGGTCGTGGGCCTCTCCCTGCCTTCGTGGGACGCGTGTAGTTATAAAATGTGTCACATTGCTTCACCGTATACCCCCACGCTCTGCAGCGGCAGTATATACTACGTACGCCCTGTTTCACAGGGCGACGCATGGCCATGCACTTTGGCTCTTGCAGTTGCTTTCGCGCGATGAGTAACTTGGCGCGCGTGCGCAGATATCTCTATAATAATAATTATGTCTGGTAGGCATGTTGATTGGATTCTACTGCTCTTTCAGAGAGGCAATTTAGTTTAACCACAAAGTTAGCATTGTTAATTGACTGATGAGCCACTAGGAGACAACTTAGTCCGGCACAGATTGAACAGCTTTTCGATGTGAGCCACATATATCAGGGTAGACACAGGTTGCATAATGTATCCCACGATGGTTAGTGGAAATGTAACTCTAGTTGGGTCGAGATTCTCAAACTTTTCCCGCAAGCATAGTCGGGTAGTAGAATTCCCTAAACTTTCGCATTCGAAGTATTCCTCGAGTGCTTGTGAGAAAGGCATCTCATACCGAATGACAACACTGTACGCGGAGAAGTTTATCAAAGTTGCCACTCCATACACGCAGAAGATGAGCACTAGTCTTCGCTGGGCTGCCACATAACCCGATGGCGTATGTTCAGCCACATTCTCTCCCTTTATAGAATAGAAAAGCAGTAAATGGCAGGTGCGCTAAAGAGCATTGTAAATAACCTACTGTTGATTTGAGTCTCCACCCTTTAAGTTCAATGATCTTGAAGAGTAGAATCATCACAAATGTGAGGAATATGGCAGATGTCAAACAGGCAGGGACGACTCCAAAAAGGAATGCACTTCCTGGGGACCCCAGGCAAAAGATGGGCGCAACGGTTCGACTGTAACCACCCAACGCGAACTGAAATCCAACAAGGAGACCAGAAACCCCGACGATAGATACGACAGCCACAAAATGAAGATATTTGTAGCGCCCTTTTGTCACCAGCTCTCTGGCTCTGAACGGGAAATATGCAGTGAAGAGAACAGTTCCCAGGTGGAAGCAGAGCCCAGTGAGGTCAAATGATGAAATGAATGTGGTAGCAGAACCTGAAATAAGAGATTACACTATGTATTAAAAAAATCCAGCATTACCACTTATTAACAACACACCAATGTGTCCAAGCTTCCTTAATAAGTCGATAAGAGCTTAGCTATAATATATGGGGTAGAAAAACTAGGACCTAATACGACTTCCACATACAAGCGATACCAAAAGGGTATAAGATAGGGTGGATTGTTTTGTCTGCTGTGGTCACTATATATACCTATTATGTTGCAGTATGCACTGCCTTCCTCAAAGCTCGTCACGCGATCTCTAGATGTACAGTAGAGAGCCTTCTCATCAGTGTACCCCACCAGGTGGAGGATGCATAGAGCAATGCGAGTCAAAGTAATGTATATCAGGATGATATTAGGGTAGTGAAACCTGAATAGAGATAGACCACCGTCATCAAGATCGTATCACTTTCCTTGACAAATACAGCCATACAGTTAACTAATGCAAAAGCTGATGTGTTCAATACAATTTAACTCACATGATTTTATGTCGAAATATGGACCACACAATTGCCACCATGCATACAATGATGGTCAAAAGGGCAAAGGTGATGTTGACACCATAGACAGCTCTGCGAGTGGCTGGTGAGTACTGATCCCACTCCCCACACTCTGGTCTACACAGACCAGAGCTGTTGTCCAGGAAGAAATTACGAGAGCAATCAGTCACTGTGTAAAGGTAAGCAGAATAATAATTATATCGTACTACTCTACTATTACCTGTGCCTTTAGTGTTGTTGACACTTTCCATGTCATTTCGATTAAACTGTGTAGTATAATAATCATTGAACATTAATTAATAGGCAATTAAGTGCAAAACAACACTGACCGTTGCATTAACTGAAGAAAAGAGAATAATCGGTAGAGTGTACAGCAGCCAAATAAAAGCTATGATTAATGTGTAGACGGCACAAGATTTCCTTAAAAGGCATTTACGAAGATTTCTCCACTTTTTGTTTCCACCTGCCACATACACACCTCTGTGTTTATCTGAGGCTGGCCCACTTTCTACATCTGCTTCATTGCTTAGCTTCAACTCTGTACTTGCACTAATAGCAGACATCTCAGTGTCTTGGCATGAGCTGGTGTCCTTCATCTCCTTCAACCAAGATAATGTCTCAAAAACTCCACTGAATGGCTACTCCACACTCAATTTTGCTTGCTTGCTTGCTTGCAGGCTATATACTTTCGACAAAACTGCCTGTGAGAGTTTTGAGTACATGATTATATCAGAAGAGTTTGTTTACTGCCACTAATTAGCACTTCAAAACAAACTGAATGGTGTAAAGATGACCACACAATAGAACAAGTCATCTTGCACATTAAACTAAAAGAGGTGATTATTGCTGCCAATAATAGCAAGTTAGAGGTGTATGACTTCTCGTGTGCTGATTCATTATCACACGTGAACCAAGGTGCCACCCTATAAATATTTCTTTGCCATGGAAATTTGTGAATACCGAATAAACGTCCCCACCTCCCCTTCCTGTGGTTTGAACCCCAGGTGAACGGTTGGGCCTCTGTTGCTATAACGGACGTGGTTCACTGTTTTATACAGCATGTGTTGCGTTCTCAGCGTTTTGCACCATAGCACGATTACCACGCCTACGGTGAACTCTAATTGTCTACAAAATAAATGCTATCCCCCCTGAAACAATGTACCAGTACTGGTACCAACATAACAAGCTAGTTCTCTAGCTTGCACCCCAAAAAGCATAAGAAAAGCACAGAAAATTGACTTACACTATATATAGAGATGAAGGGAAAACAGTGCTAAAGTAAACTGTAAAAAATAAATCAAAAAGGGAAAACATAACGTTGAAATAAAACAACTTTGCTTAGAATTTACATGGTTACCATCTTAACAAAAACATCAGACAATATTTAACATTAGAAAATACTGACCATGATGTGAAAAATAGCTTTTACTGCACTGGAAGTCCAGTGAGATCAACTTGACATTTGATATAAATCATGTTCCCCAGCGTGAAATTGTCATCATTCAGGACACCTTGGCGAGCAAATTTTGGAAATCCACTAGCAATGTTCATATCATTCTCTGGCTTATGAAATGAGGGGCTTTTTAAATCTGGAACGAATGCTTCCGTAATGCTGGCAGGTGGATTTTTCTGATTGATTAGAGTAAAACGAACCGATTGCTTGAAAGGCCAGGGGAGTAAATTATCATGCTCTGACCGCATAACAACGAAAAACAAGGAAATATGTGTGCCTTTGCCGATTCCGTCTCCGTTGAGGTAGGTACGGATGCACATCCGGTAGCCGTGGGGACTGGTGTAAAATGGAGGAGAATAAAGACTGATGGTACGTCGATCAATCGCATCTCGGTATCGCCTACGAATATCGGGAATCTTCCAAATCAGTATCCCATTTGTTGTCTTGACGTCGAGAATATCTTGCCTCAAACGAATATCATCTATTGCGACACCATATCGGGTCTGGTTGTCTTGAGTAGCCTGCACGATATCATTCAGCTTGTGCAAGGTAGACTGAACTGCCTCAACTTCTTGTTTTACACGACTCAGCTCTACTCCAACTGGTCGGGTGACATCGGGGACTCCAGTAAGAGAGAATAGCTGCTCACGTACAGGGCCGTTCAGCGCCTTTAACTGGGATGGCAAGGCATTGAACAAATCAGGCTGATTAACTAGCTTTACTTTTGTTGGAAGCGAAGGGACATTTGTCGGCCCATCGCTTTCAACTGCATCGCCGAAATTTCCACCTTTGACTAGAGCCAAATCCCGTTCATCTCTCTCCTTTTGCAGCTCTTCAACGATACTTTTGAGTGAAGTAATTGTGACATCTTTTTGCTGATTTTCTGTCATTAACTGATTTGTTTTGCCTTCAAGATCAGAGAGCGAGCTCTGGCATTCACTTAGCTCTTGGCGAAGTGTTTTGTTTTCAGCTCTAATTAAAATTACATCCTCGCGGAGGGCTTTATTTTCAGCTTCCACCACAAGCACTTTTTCCCCAGTTTGAACCATGAGCCTAAAAGATTGAATGAGGTGTTTTGCCACCAAATGCTGAACCATTTCACATCTGCGTCCCTGCATTGCAATGATTTTCATTTAAAATGCTTCGTCAGGTCTTATAACACCTCATTGTCTCTCTACCTTAAAAAGTCAAAGCATTCAGAATTCATACCTTGAAGTCACATGAGGAATGCTGGCACTCCATACAATTCTCATCACAATCTTGCTCCAGATGTGCTGATAGCTTAAGATAACAAAGAAAATGCCTGGCTCAGTGAACAATGATAATTAATATTCATATACCTACCAGTTTCCTAGCAGTGAGTTGTTTCTCACAGAATTTACAAGAAACAGGGCGCTCTTCACACACCCCATAATGTTCCTGTATAGAGAACAACACCAATGATTTGAGAGCACTGAAAAGAAACTACCAAGCAGTGTAGCTAACATGGGCAAGGTCTCTTGCAACATTAAATATGGGAGTACTGTACTTTCCCACATCGTGTCAACAGATTGTTTTGAAGGTGATCTAAGCACTCCTCTCAGAGCTTCCCACAGATAAAGGAAGCTTAATCATGGACAACATCCATAAAGGTATGATACACAAGGTAGTTCCCATCTCTTGAATAACAGGAAGTGCATTCATGCAGTCCTTTACCTCCATTGTATCAAAAGGTATAGGTCTCTTGCAATGCTTGCATGTACAAGGCCTCTTTGAACACTCAGATGTTAGGTGAGCTTCAATCTCTTTGGCCACAAGCAAAGCACCACAACCTTGAATACACACCATTCTTCTATTTGGACAGCATTCCTTATGGACCTGCACAAGTACAAACACAAGAGCTAATAGGGTGATACCGGGTGATACCCGGGGACTTTCCCTAGGAAATCCCCCTATGAATTGACATACTGGCATACTGGCATACTTATCACGTTACAGGTGGGCTGGCAAACATCAAACCCACTCTAGAGTATAAGGTGTCTTTTGTGGGAATACAGAAACTACCTCTGCACTTCTAAACTATAGTGCAATTTATGAGTATATACATACGTCAACATCTAGCAGTTTTCCCCTCCAGTTGCATTGCAGGTCCATAGGACAATCAACTTCCAAAGTCTGCAAGTCCCTCAGACAACCTTTATCACTTTTGACCTTTAGAAATGAAGATAAATCTGACTCATGAAATGAAATGATGAGTTGTTTTATACCTTGTTTATTTCAAAAACTTCTTTATCCAGCAGACATGAGTATTGGCCCTCACTGCAAAAAAGCACATTGAGAATGTACACTGGAAGGATTCCACTAATGAAGCTAAATCTAATGAAAGCTGCCTTCAGCAGTTATAGTTCCTAGTACAGTAGGTCCCAAATTTGATGTATGCCACGGAATTGAGCTTTTAAAAGCGAACTCAGCCCAATGCACTCACCACACCGATCCATATACGCGTACGCACTCATGATGTACTTAGTTAGCCTTCGCATCACAAGCAACGTTATAATTATAGTACGCTCTATCAATGCTACACTTTAGTTAGTTACCACACTGCCTTGTACCCCAGCTTACCCTCCACTTGTCAATTGATCTATGCATGTCTTGCAATAGCGGTGACCGCAAGTAATAACCTGGCATGGATCCCTCAGTAGTAGTGTACACATTGAGCATTTTAACGCATTCAATTCCGTTGCATTCATAGGTGTATTTTTGATGCTGTATAGTTTGGCCTTTCCGATATTGTATCCGCCGTAGTCTCTTGGTAGTCCGTTTGGTAAGCTTCCACTTTCCATGTTTAGGATAATGAGGTAATTTCAATGTGGTTATTTTGAATATTTATTAAAAGGAGAGCGTCCTTCTCAGGAGCCCCCTGAACAAAGAATAGGCACTTGTGTGTTCTAGTAAAAATCCTGTTTGAGTTGCCTCAGGACAGGAATGGCACTGAGCAGTTGGACTGTGAAGAATCACAACTTCCAAAAAACTCAAAGTGATGTCAAAACCTGGACAACCAGGAATAACATTTGTGATTCAATAAAGCATACCAAGAATACCTGATAAAAGCGGTCGAGCACTTTCGAGGTGATCAGGCGAGGTGATGAGGGGGCAAAGTATGCTATTAGCAGTGCTTTGATTGCGGCGGGGCTAGCGACCCCTCCTGCCAGCTGTCTGCGTGAAACATGGCGCTCCGGCCAGCTACGCACCTTTTATTTGCGCAAAATCGTGCGCATGCGCCGCGAACTACGAGCTACCTTTACGCGCGCATGCGTACCTATGTGGTGCAGACTGTTGAGATGGCGGACCCCCCTACGGCACCTCATCAGGTGCCGGGTGCAGATCCCGACACTGCGGCCTACCCTCCGCAACAGCTTGGATATCAACCTGCAGCGTACCCGACTCCTCAACCTGGATCAGACCCGCAAGCTCCGCAACCCCAACAAGACACTGGCTACCAACCCCAGCCAGCAATTATTACCACTGAAACAAACGTTGCAGTAATCGCGCAGCAACCCGCGGCAAGACCGATCGTCTACCATAAACGCTACGGGAACAACGACCACGGCCTACTGTTCGCTATCATCGCGACGTGCGGCGTGTTCTGGTTCGGAGGATGTTGCGGCCTCATCTGCACGCTCGCTGGCGTTTATTTTGCCATTCAAGCGCAAGACCAAGAGAACCTGGGGCACTCGGAGGCGAGTCGCCAGAATACCAGGCATTCGTACATTCTGACGATCGTGGGGCTTGTGGTCGGTTTTGGATGCTTCTTCATTTACATTATCTCTGGCGCAGCAAGCTCAGCTGAGTGATGTTAGAAATATCTCCATAGGAGCTATTATGGAACAGGAAGAAGGTGCTTTACTTGAACTATACTTCTAAAAAGGCTATGGTAGTGTGTGGTTGCTGTTATAAAAGTTCAATCGCAGATTCCTTGTGAGTCACTGCTGTCCGCTATCGTCTAACCACCAGAATTCCACCAATGCTCTTGGTGTGTTATCATAATTTTGGGGCAGCAAAATACGTAGCTCCCTTCATTGATAATATTACCTGTACCACGTGGAAATGATGAATGGTCTGACATTCTGGTTGCTGGGGTTTTTGTGTTCGGAGCTGCGTAGCATTAGGTGTGCAGTGCTTGGCAGATCAATTGCCGAGCTGTAAAGATGGTCCGAATGGTGTGATTTTTTTCTAGCACGGGATAGGAGTTGCAGGCACAACCAGTTACTTGCAGCCACCACGTTCGCTCGCTCGACACGCGGTCCTAAACTGCGCATGCGCTTTATGTAGATTGTTGTGTAATAATGTACATGACATCACTGGTTGAGACGTGATCTGACGCGATTATAGCCCATGCGCGTAGTATCATTGTGAAGCGAAAGTTATTGTAGCGAAGCGGCGTGACGCAAAGGTTTGTAGTTTCCGCAAGAACCTCTGCTTTGCAATCTTGCTCGATTCGAACTGTAGTCCACGCTCAAAACAGGCGCTCCCGCTCGCAAAAAATGCCATTTCCGCGCACGCGCATAGTCATGGGTGATTGGGTGTGTGTGGTCGTATAGACTGTGCACACGCGCAGTAGACACAGCACGAGCACTGCACCGCACCCAACAAAGCGGAAGCGAAAGCAGCAGCTTAGTGACCCTCCGACCCATCGCACGGTAGCAGAGAGAAACTGAGAACCATGACCGACTATCCGCCACCCTACCCGCCCCAGCAAGCCGGCGGCTACCCGCCGCCCCAGCAGCCTGGATACCCTCCTCAACAGGGGTACCCTCCTCAACAGGGGTACCCGCCTCAGCAGGGTTACCCTCCACAACAGGGCTATCCTCCAGATGTCAAACAAGGCGCCCCTCCTCCGCAGTACGGTGCCCCACCGCCGGTACAGTCGACTACCAGTACCAACGTAGTAGTCGTGCAACAGCAGCCACAAGTCGTCCACACGACGGTCTACACGCGTCGCTACGGGACCAACGACCACGGCCTAGTGTACGCCATCATCGCCTCGTGCGCCGTGTTCTGGTGCTTCGGCTGGATCGGCCTGTTCTGCACCGTCCCCGCCATCTTTGTCTCCATCAACGCCCAGAACCACGAGGCCTCCGGTAACCTGGAGGCCATGAAGCAAAACCACAACCTGTCCCTAATTCTGAGCACGGTTGGCCTTATCTGTGGTTTCGGCGGGCTCTTTCTGTACATCATAATTGGGGCCACCGCGTAACTGAGTGAGGAGCGGAGTAGCTAGCCCCCAAGACTCACAGTACTATTGACTGCTATGATGCTGTAAAATTTGTGTAGTTACCTATTCTCGTTTTGTACATACTCTCCTGAGACCATTGTTACAACTTTTGAGCATACTTTGGTCAATTACTCCCTGGGCTTAGACTTGATTATAGACAACCACCCACACTTTCAGTCTCATACACAGCAGTGTGACTTGCTGGCTGGATCACATGACAGATTTGTATACAGGATTCACAACTTGCATTGTGTATGCGCACACTGGTGGCAGTCATCCATTGGCTCCCTGAGCAGTTCCCACTCAACTGAGGGGGCGTGCATTGTGTCAGTATTTGCTAAAATCAGCCCCTCCAATAATCTATGATTGTCTAGTTATAGCTATAGACCCTAAGAGGGTGCTATATAAGAAACTGAGTAAATTTGCAGCCTTCAATGGAGAGTTACACTAGAAGCTAGTGGGTGCAGTGCTTCCGTTGTCATGGCACTGACTGAGGTGTATGTTTCCAGTGTTTATCTACAAACATCTGGGTCAAACAAGGAGTGCTTGCTTTGCATTGAACTGACAGGTATTCTTTCCCTGACCACTCATGCACGGCTTTCCTTGGGTGTTGTTGCTACATGCAAAAACAACACAGTAGTAAAGTCTAGATTCTGTGATTACAGATCTTAGCTGAGCATGATGTAAATGATAACACATGGTTCAATCAGGCTAAACATCCTGGAGGCCACTCAAGTTTACTTGGCACTTGACAAAAATCATATTGTCCTGCGTACAATCCTCGTCTTGGAGCACTGTTTGGCGGGCAAACTTTGGAAATCCGCTCGCCACATTCATGTCCCTCTCTGGCTTCTGAAAAGAGGAACTCTTTGAGTCTGGCATGAAAGCCTCAGATATACTCTGCGGCGGTCTTTTCTGATTCAGGAGAGTGAATCGGACTGATTGTTTAAACGGCCAACTGAGCAGATTGTCGTGCTCTGAACGCATGAGAAAGAAAAACAGAGAGATATGGGTCCCTTTCCCTATGCCGTCTCCGTTTAGGTAAATCCTGATGCAGACCTTGTAGCCGTGTTGACTGGTGTAAAACGGAGGGGAATACAGACTTGTCGTCTTTCGCTCGACGGCTTCGCGATACCTCCTTCGGACGTCGGGAATCTTCCAAACAAGAACTCCGTTTGTCGTTTTGACGTCCGTGATGTCTTGTCGTAGTCGCATGTCTTCAAGCTGATTCCCATGCTCTGTCACTTGGCTCTGGAGCCCAATTAGAGTCTCGCTGATATGCCGAAGCCTCGAATCATCTTCCTCTCTCCTTCCCTTTCTCTCTCCCCCTCCGCTTGCTGCCGAGTCAGTTTCTACACAATCACCCTTCAACCGTAGTTCTTCTCTCTCTCTACTCGCTACCCACTCAGAGTAAAGTTTTAGTTCTTTCATTTCTGTGTTCTTAGCCTCGCTCGATATCAGTAGTCTGTCAACTTGGCTAGCAAGATTCGAGACTTCGCTGTGTAGTGTAGAGTTTTCAGCACGCAGGGCCGCTAGCTCCACACGAGTTGTTAAACATTCTTGTGTTAGTTGGAATACATGTGAGGTAGCGAGATGACAGTTCATATCACTCATCGATCCCTGAAAAGTATGGGTGCAAATGGGTGCAAACACTAAGGAGTGACTCCTGAATTATGCACAAAGAGGACAGATAAACACAGAATAATGAACATTTTTGGAACTCTGCAAGAAAACCTGCAAGGACTGTGGGTATCTCCCAACAAGATGTGCCTATACCACCAACCCAACATTATGGTATGCATACTAGAGACCTGAGGCTGGGGGAGTGCTTTGGGAGTGCTAGATAGTACATACCTGTTGTGATAGTACATACCTGTTGTGTCACCGAAAGAATGGTCCTGCCCGCCCTGCTCTATTTTGTGCCAAAATCCGCTCACGCCCATTCACTAAACCGTTTACGGCACCAGGTCGAGAGCCTATAAGCTGGTACTTTATACAATATAAAGTGTGTGCAGGCACTATCGAGCCGCCCATGCTAGGTGACACAAAGCGTACTATATAGTTAGTCTCGCAAGCCAGACCTTCACACCATGTATGGTATAATATAGTACATACCTCTCTCCTGGGTGAGAGTGGGTGAGAGACTGGTTTGCTAGACTACTATAGGCTGAAGCCTGCAGGTTGGACACTATTACCAGGAAAAGGAATTGAACCTTGCACCTGGGTTGTAGTAGGAAATGAGCTCAGGGTATATAGAAGCAGGATTCCATGTGCCACCATGCACAGTTATTTGTCTTACTTCTTATGGGCAGCGAAAGCAAGTGGAAGGAGGGAGTATTGGGGATGCATTGACCCCATGTATGCCTCCCCACTTATAGCATACAAATTGGCCAACACATTAGTTGCCTTTCAAAAAATCCGCCAGTAATTACCTTGAAGTTGCAGTCACTGCATGGGCATGACACTGTATACTCGGGGCACACCTGAAGATGCTGAGAGAGCTACACACACACATACATGCATGGACAGCAAAACCTTTCATCACTAGCACACATAACACTAAAAGGACATGCTCAACAACTCTTTACTACCCAAATACGCAAATAATTATGCTGAGAGAGCTACACACACACACACACCATACATGGACAGTAAAACTTTTTACCACTAATATCACACACAACACTAAAAGGACATGCTCAACAACTCTTTACTACCCAAATACGCTTTCATCTGACACACTCGTACAACTTTAATGCCGCTTTATGGGTAAAAGTAAAACTGGGTGCCTAGTTTTTTTTACACAATGATACAATCAGTGCCTCCAAGAAATATGTATAATACTCTTTTTAATCAGTTCACACTTAATAGTATGTAATACATGCTATATACCCAAAATATTTTGGTTAAAGAAGTGTGTGTATTGACATGCAAGATATATGCCACTGCATTAAGAGCGGATAATGAAAGTGAGACTTATCAGAATGCGTTTCTCCCAACAAAAGCCGAATAAGTTACAGTGATCACACACTGCACGAGTTGTATGCACACCATTGGGAAAGCCCACATAAACTACTATAGAAGTGGCGGAAACGTGGGAACAGACAGACAGACACACGAGCAAGGTATACCCTCACACATGTGCGCCTAGGGTTAATAATATTATTGGTGAAACAAAACCCATCTAGTCATCTATCCGCCAAGCAAATAAAAACTTATTAGAAGCTAGCAAGAGAACCTTCCAGAAGCCTACAGCTGTCTACGCCCCTACAGTTAGCACCTGGACCTACATTGTCACCTGGGTGTTTATCTAATTGTCTCCACAAACATTACCACAACACATCACCACCTAGATAATGTGTGAGCAGAAGAGAGATTGAGTCCAGACACTCTCGGCGTGTCCTGAACGGCTGCGACCGTTCTCTCGGACCGCGCACTACATTGGCGTAGACAGCTAGGCTTCTGGAAGGTTCTCTTGCTACAGAAGCATACCTCAGTTTTTGACTCCAAAGTTTGTTTGCAGTGGGTGCACACTCCAGGAGCCTGTTCACAGCCCATGTAATGATCCTGTTGTGTGAAAATGACACTTCCTATACACAAGCTGCTAATAGTACTGTAACAGTTTACTTGTATCAATCACAATGAAAGGTTCGCCTCCAGCAACTTGGCAAGCAAGCCAGCATACTTAGTCATTGCAAAGCATATTTATCCAATGTTGTTGGAACTGAATGAGCATACATTATGTATGGCACACATAATAATATGCGTCCTCGGTCCCAAAAAGTCAGCAACTATACCTGTAAGTCTTTCATTGGCAGTTGATGCTTGCAGTACTGGCAAGGGACTGGTCGTCTGTTACAATCTCTGGCCATGTGCTGTTCCAACTCCTCTGCCAGATACTTGCCTCCACACTTGAGATCACACTCCCTCAGTCTTTTGGGACACTCCTCTGACTCATGATGCTAGTCAGATGAAAGCAATTGCCAAGCATTTTATTAACCCTCGGCACGCATGGGCAGCGAGGGTTACAGTACTTGGTCTGTGTTTCTGTCTGTCTGTCTGTTACCACGTTTTCTGCCAACACGCGCAACAAACCAGCCAAAAAGCGACACAAACAGGTTCAGCGCTACACTGACTTCATTCTTAAAATGGTGATTTTCGTAAAAGTACTGCGTTCAAAAGTAATGGTGTGAAAACCAAGTGAACAAGCCAATATGCTAATTAGCACAGGCTTACCCCGACCGGGTCGGCTTGCTCTGTGTATCTTGAAGGCACAAGAAGTCACAACGAAGGGCGTGTATAGGCTCCCGTATGCTATCTACTACTGTAGCTAGCCCGTGTCAGACTCTCTGCGAGCTACTAGCGGGAGACCACGAGTAAACGCATACTAATAGCCCAGCCCATCAACTAGCTGTACCGTGCATGCACAGTTCGCCGAGTGTTTGCACTTCAGTGCTTTTCATTAACCCTCGGCGCGCATGCGCAGCGAGGGTTACAGTAGTTGGGTCTGTCTGTCTGTTACTCTCAATCTCACCTCTCAGATGTCTGTTCGTCTCACAAACGATGCGACGTACTCAACGGGCAATGAAGGTCAGAACTTTCGAACAGTTTTCTCAGAAAATGCTCCGTTGCAAAGCTAAAGCGGTTCTACCATTGTACGGCTTATGGTAGTCGGCCATTTTTATCGCTGCGGAAAATGCGCATGCGCTTATATTTAGCACAGGCTTACCTCGACCAGGCTGTTTATCTTGAAGGCACAAGAAGTCACAACGAAGGGCGTGTATCGACTCTCACATGCTATCTACTAGCCCATGTCAGACTCTCTGCGAGGTACTAGCGGGAGACGCATACTAATAGGCAATAGCCCAGCCCCATCAATTAGCATTATCGCGCACGCGCAGTTCGCCGAGGATTTGCACATTAGTGCTTTTTCATTGTATATGTACTTCAACCAAAACACACAGTATTGATGCAGCCTAGCTATTATTTTAACAATGGCAGTTCTTTGATCATGGCAGGCATGCGCTATGAGTGCACAACGCGAATAGAGCATGCCTGCCATGATTAAACATACTTCGTACACGTAAAGGTGAATGCCATATCCAGTCGGCTGTGGTGCTGCTACTAGCCAATAGCGTAATTGCTAGGGTCACATGTACCAAGAATACCAAGACCAGTAAGTACCTCCATATCAGTGAGTTTGCCTCTCCACGAACAAGGATGTGGTTGAGTAGGGCAGTCAACCTCTAGAGACTCTATCTCCCTTTGACAACCTCTGTCCTTACGAACCTGAGAAGGTTAAGCATAAGAAGAGAGGTAACAATAAAGCCCAAAGAATAATTATGAAAGCTGGTGCAAAGCTTTTTTTACCCATTGTAGTACGTTGCGTGGGCGTATCGATCAGTTGCCGAGCACTAGACAATATTGAACGGTCTCACGCGGCTGTCCTAAGAGCTGCAAAAGTCTTGGGCTCGGGTGGCAAATGAGTGTTCGCTGATCCATGGACACGTGAGAGCCCTACCATTCACTGGAAACCTTGCTACAAACCAGTCAAAGCACTGTTCACGCTCGTATACTACAGGAATTATTGAACGTGGTTTGCGGTCGAGAGATGATCATGCATGAGGCATTGTACTACCACGACCTGCTAATAATCAATTTTTGCAGGCCTACTATATGGTGCGTATGAATGGGATGTACCAATGTGCAAAATACCAGACCATGACAATGCCCCTTAATGTACAACGTGCCTCATCCATCATTGTTGCTTACATCTCTCCTCTTGTACTTTGCTCCATCAACAGCACATGTGTAAACACTTTCAGCACTGTGTATAAAACAATATTGAGTGGTTATGTAGCTTCCCCATTGTCCAGTGGCCCACGAAGAAACACTGAAACAATAGCTAGTTGGCCAAGACAAAAATCTTACGGTGTGCGCAATGCGCGCATGCACTGGTGTATGGAAGTAACGCGGATGACATTCAGCTACGGAAGCGAAGCGAGAATGGCATGCATTTATACCTGCCACCCTGCGCTGGTCTCTGATCAATGCAGCCAGCACAGAACCGACAACCGCACACGGTGACTTGCCGGGGATCCCTCAGAATCTTCTTACAGTTAGGACAGTACAGACGACTGATTTCTGTAGATGTCATCAAGGCGGACGACCTATCACGTTTGCCCGGCGAGTTTTGTAGCCGCTCATCTCCACATGGCCGGCCTGGGGACACGCATGCGCGATTATCTTCGCGCATGTTAAGTTGTGTAGCTCGCGGCACCGTATAATTGGGCGTGTGTGCGTGCCCAAAAGTGCCTATGCGTCATTTATGGTTGAGGATGCAAAAAAAACACTATTGAGTTTCCTAATAGCTAGTCGTGGCCCTGTGACCTTTTTTTTTTATAGCTAACCCCATGTGTGCATGGCTTGCTTCATCCATAGCAGCTGCTTTGCTTGCGAGCCCTATCTGCCATCACCTTGTTCTTAACCGCCTATAGGAACGAGGCTAAATCGGTGCATCCTTGTCGTCTTGGCAGTAAAACCTAATGAGAAAATCATGTTATTATAGGTTGTAGGTTACACAAGCACCCAATTTAAAATCATTATGCATAGAAGATGTTTGCTTTCTTGCATCGATTAGTTCATCAAGGGAATCAAATCTGCTTGATCCATCTCTGTATCTTGAGTTCTGCAAGAAGGTAAATATTTTACTTATGATGCAGGATTAAATTACACATTCTTACCGAATCCTTGATAATACGATAATGACAAACACGATGTTGAAGTTTTACACTAAGAACCAGTGCACACTCTGCAGTTCTCCCATCACGAATCAAAAATGTACCACAATTACTCCTTTCCAACAATCTACAAAGAAAATCACGTACAACAACATGACTTCGAATCGTACTGCTTGCACAAGACTGCTTGCATATAATATACACATGTGTGGAAAAACACTATGCTCACTATGCAATACCGAGGCAGGAAACATGACATAAATCAAACTAAGCAGGGGTTTTGTTACTAGACCTTGACAGACTATACACTGACCTTCTCGCTCCGTCTCTTCCTATATCAGAGATCTTGTACTTCTCACCACCACTGAAAAAATTAATGGTCTATAATCACCATGTGCACACTTGCAAACTCTTTAGTCTTTTAACAAGCAGCTGAGTTTCCCCAGCTGTTGGTTTGTAAACTGTCAAAAACTGTTTGTTCCACAAAAAATTTTCTCTTTTGGTGTTGTTAAAGTACACAATAACAACGAACTCACTTTTCCCCGCCAGGTGTTGGAAAAGTGCTGTCCGACAGCATTTTCCTAACTTTATGTGCTAACTCCATCTCCTTCACCTTCTGAGATTCAAGAAGCGACCTCACCACTGTCCAGTTCACAACTGAATCTGTTTGAATCCCCTTGAGGGGATAAGCTACATGTCAATTTACACTAATAAACTGGCAGTGTCACTTACCCGTATTTACTGCCTCGTTTGTGCAATCGCTGGCTGTGAAATTAGATAACGCTTAGGCAAATATAATAAGGTGCTGGCTTGAATACCTCGTCGTAATTTTCGTTTTCTCATTAGAAACTGGGCACCACCAGATCCAGTTTCTATTCCACTGTCTCCAGTCTTCTCTTCCTCTCTCTCCCCTGCTTCTGGCCTCACACCTCACTCCTCTGTCAGTCATTCGAAATCGCTATAGCTACGTCAATAGTTTTTCAACTGGCAGGACAACTTACTTGTAAGTGTATCGCAAACTTTTGTATAGTGATTTACTTTCACATCTCTAATCCTCATAGAGCAGTATATCATCCACCGGCTGCCCATAAGTTTGTAAAATGGAATAACACATTGATATATAAAAGATTCTGCTTATTGTATGCAACTGATGACCAAACCTGGTGGTAAGTGAAACATAAACTGGGCACCACCAGATCCAGTTTCCAATCCGCTGTCCCCAGTCTGATCATCATCCTCTGTCACATGACCTTTGTACCAGAGGTAGGAAGAGTGGCTTTAGTGAATACAAACAGCTGTAACCAATGTACATATACACACCAGTTAAAAGCCAGCTATAAGGCAAGCAAAATAAAGCTTGGCTGCACTGAGAAACTCAGTTTCTCAACCCTTTTTTCAACTCACTAATGGGGGTTAGTGGTGGCATCATGGTGCAATCCTCTGCTCCACTCTCTTCAATACCAAACAAATGTGAGTCTGTTTTGATCTGCATTTCTGATATATAACACAATGACCGAGGCAAATGACTACACTCAAGATAGTAACCCAAAAAATATACGAGTTTAACTTGGTGGCAGGTGGCTTTGAGCTGTAATTTCAGGTTAAGAATAATTATTATAATATTTTATCTATCAAGTCACTAAATTGTTCAGGGAGCAAATGACTTCACTTGTCAAAAATCATGGGGCTTACAGTATGTGTATAGCTATCAGTTACCATGCTTCACGTCCATCAGATAATAAAGCTGTGTGAATTCATAGGCGTATGCTGCATATCACTGTGTGTGGCCACAGAGAGAGCATGTCACGCAAACGACGAGCACTGAACTCTCGGCTAAGCTCTCGACATACACACTGTAGGAGTGAACAGATGCATTTTCTGCAATAGCTGCCTTCAGCTGGCGGATTTCATATAGGGTGCAATCTGTGGTTGGCTTGTTGATTTTCATGGCCATGCGAGCAAATCCTTTGCAAATTTCACCATCTGGAACTGCTGAAATGGCTTTAAGGTAGACCGCAACAGTTGTAGTCACTTCAAATTTCTTTATTGAATCACAATATTTCAACATCCTTACTTTTAGTTCAACAGTACCAAACTTTTTGATAATTAGCACAATTATCTCATAGTTTGAGTAATTACAGTAACGGCCAAGGATGGCAAAAG